CAATAGTTTACTCAAATATTTTCTAGCTCTACTTCTTTAGATAATTGAATTCGAATTCCCGGATCGATATAACCGGTTTTAAGAAACCATTGCTTTAATTTTATTCGATTAGCACTGTGGGAGGGGGATAGCTAGATAGAGAGAGAAAGAGAGAGTGGGAGAAAGAGATAGTAAGAGAATGTGTGTGTGAAGGTTATGGAAATAATGGAACCAATTCGGAACGCGTTGCGTGTTGAGAGGTTAAGGTTTAAAAAAATAATAAACAAATGGTACTTAGAAGCAATGTTAGTTTAGGAGCGGCAAAGGGAAGGGGCAAATGGGTTGGGTGCATTCGCACAGAGTTGTAATTATTTTGTGATAAAATCCGAAGCGCAATTTTTTTCTCCAACTGTATTGGTAGGTTAAAGGTCTGTAAATAGAGCCCAGAACGGATTTGGCAGATAGATAGAGAGAGAGAGAAGGAGAGGGATTTAGCGATTTGGAGTAGGTATGGGTATGTTTATGAAGGTGCTACGAACAAAGACGTAATTGAAAATGTGATACAGTTTTTTCCTTGACCTATTTATTGAACGGTACGCAGAGCAGGGGAACAGAATGGAAATAGAACGGTAACGGTAACGGTAACGATAACGGAAACGGAAACGATAACGGAACGATAGCGGAAGGAGCTTAGCAATATGCTTTAGAAGCAAACAGATCAGAATTTTGTATGGGACTTGCGTTTTCGAAAAGCGAAATTGGAGTTTTTCTTTCACTTCACTTTCGGTTCGGTCTACATCACTCGGTTCACCCTTCCTTCGTAATATTTGAGATCTGTGAGATAGAGATCGCAGAACAGAGACGAAAACACCACAACAACACACCAACACACCACCACCACCACCACAACAAACAAAACAACCACGAGAAAAAACAACAACAACAACAAGAAGACAGAGATGGATGAGAAATTGTAAAAAATTTACACTTTAGGAAAATCTCTAAATTTTAAGCTTTCGGTGTTTTTAAACCAAGATAAAAACTAAAAAAAAAAACTACAATAAACAATGGCAAAATGTAAAAGAAAACTAACAAAAAAAAAACCAAAAACATTAGCGAAAAACACACGAAAATTTATATATATACATATATATATTTCGATATTTAAAATTTCATTCGGAAAGAAAGCAAAACAAAAGAAACGAAAAACAAAAGAAAACATTAAACAATTTTGAGCAAACTCTCGGTGTTTTAAAATTAAGCGCATGCGAAACCCCTAACACATTACACTAAACAAGTACAGTAAACACACAATTAACTAAACCAAGGATAAACAAAATAATAAGTTAAGCGAACAGACGTAAACCAAAAACAAAAACCTCTTTCACTTTCGTGTCTTTGACTTAAAACAACAACAAAAATACTAAAAACAAAACAAAAAATTGAAGCGGAAAACCAAACCAGAAAAAACATTAAGCATATTTTTAAAATGTAATTTAGCACAAAACAAAACAAAAAAACAACAAGTGAAAACACAAAATTTTTAAACTACCAAAGTATTGATGTGTATTTGATAAACAAAATCGAAACTAAAATATAATGAAATGGACATGGGACAGAAAATAAAGTTAAAAACGATCGATTTTTGTGTTTTTTTGTATAACTTTCACATACACACACATACATCATATATATTTCGATCCTATTTACGTTTTTCGGTTTCGAATATCCTGCGTTGAGCGTTGAAAAAACGTTAAAAAAATAATGAAACGAGAACACAACTTTTACAAAAACTACGAAATGCAATGCCTGCCAAAGAATTAATGTTTTTAAATGCAATATGCAATGGAAAACAAACAAATATTAATTATGTATATGCAACCAAAACAACAACAACAACAAAAGTTCAATAAAGCCGTTCCAAAATGAAGAAACCAAAACAAAAAAAGAAATGAGAAATGAGAAATGAGGAAAAGAACACAAGAAACAAACGAAAAAATCAAAAACTTGTTCAGAGATTTTTTGAGTTTCCTTATACAAGACATTTACGATGACTTAAAAACAAAACAAAAACATCAAAAACAAAAATTAAAAAACGAAAAAAAACGTATAAAAAATATAACAAAACTACAACTGTAACACGAACCACGAGAAACTTTTTTGCAAGTAACAAAAGTAAAGAAAACTAAAAAAAAATATAATGAAATGGAAGAAACTGAAAGAACAACTATTTGTCGTGTACAAGAAGTAAACTTATTTGTATTTAACTAAAAATTGAAATGTTTATGGTTTATTTTTTAAACAAACAAAAACAACACCACCATTTTTATGCATTACATTATAAAAAGAAGCCACAAGCAAATAAAATAAATTACAAAAAAAAAAACAGAATGAGTTCTTAATTAATTTGAGAAATTTTAAAGTTTTTGAAGAGGATATATTTATTTTACTTTGGGAAGTCGAAGATTATATGCCATTACAGTTTGGAATTGAATTATAGAATTATAGAATTATAGATTTATATAACGTTAATAAAATATTCCCATTCTTTGAAATTTAAAATTCTTTTAGCTAAGCCAAAAAGGCAACAATTTTAAATCGGAAAGCTGTTCTGTGCTAGTTTTTAATTCGTTAATAAATCTGCATACTCAGTTTAAAATGAAAAAATCCAAATTTTTGGCAATTTTCGCGAATTTTTTCAATTTTTCAAAAAATTGAAAATTTCTGAAAAAAAATTTTTTTCTGCCGGAGATGGCTAGAAAGATTCGCCTGTTGATACTGATCAAGAATATATATGAAATATAGGGTCGGAAATGCCTCCTTCACTTTGTTTCAAGCTCCTGACTAGAATGAAAATACCCTAAAAAGTATAAATTTAGAAATTATTTTTATATGCCAATCGAAATTTAAAAATCTCATAGCTAAGCCAAAAATGCATTAATTTTAAATCGGAAAGCTGTTCCGTGCTAGTTTTTAATTCGTTAATAAATCTGCATACTCAGTTTAAAATGTAAAAAATGAAATTTTTGCCAATTTTCACGAATTTTAATGATGTAACCCCTTTCAATTTTTAAAAAAATTGAACATTTCTGAAAAAAAATTTTTTCTGCCGGAGATGGCTAGAAAGATTCGCCTGTTGGTACTGATCAAGAATATATATGAAATATAGGGTCGGAAATGCCTCCTTCACTTTGTTGCAAGCTCCTGACTAAAATTAAAAAACCCTAAAAGGTATAAATTTAGCAATTATTTTTATATGACCATCGAAATTTAAAAATCTCATAGCTAAACCAAAATTGCATTAATTTTAAATCGGAAAGCTGTTCCGTGCTAGTTTTTAATTCGTTAATAAATCTGCATACTCAGTTTAAAATGTAAAAAATGAAATTTTTGCCAATTTTCACGAATTTTAATGATGTAACCCCTTTCAATTTTTTAAAAAAATTGAACATTTCTGAAAAAAAAATTTTTTCTGCCGGAGATGGCTAGAAAGATTCGCCTGTTGGTACTGATCAAGAATATATATGAAATATAGGGTCGGAAATGCCTCCTTCACTTTGTTGCAAGCTCCTGACTAAAATAAAAAAATACCCTAAAAGGTATAAATTTAGCAATTATTTTTATATGACCATCGAAATTTAAAAATCTTATAGATAAGCCAAAAATGCAGTAATTTTAAATCGGAAAGCTGCCCTGTGCTAGTTTTTAATTCGTTAATAAATCTGCATACTCAGTTTTAAATTTAAAAAATGAAATTTTTGCCAATTTTCGCGAATTTTAATGATGTAACCCCTTTCTATTTTTTTTTAAATTCAACATTTTTGATAAAAAAAAGTTCTGCCGGCGATGCCTAGAAATATTCTGCTTTTTTTGCTGATCAATAATATATATGGTTTATGGGGTTGGAAATAACTTCTTCACTGTATTGCAAGCTTCTTACTGCAAGGGTTTAAAAATAAAAATGTATACATTTAAGAGCCCAAAGCAACAACATCAAATCATGAAACAAAAACAACATTTTTCATATTCAAATTTGTTGTTGTTGTTGTCAGTAAAAGAGAGAAAAAATTGCTGAGTCATTACCTACAGCAAACGGAGTCATTTTCCAAAAAAAAAAAAAAAAAGTGCTGAGTCATTTTTCAAAAAAAAAAAAAAGTGCTGAGTCATTATCTAAAAAAATAAAAGTGCTGAGTCATTACCTACAACAAACAAAAACTTGTTGTACAACAACAATCTATCTACAACAACAACAACAACCTTGCCTTCCAAATTCCTTATAAATTTTACATTTTTCCATCTGAAGTACCAGGCGAACAGAAAGCAGCAGTTAGTGAAAAAGAAAAAAAAAGTGCTGAGTCATTACCTACAGCAAACGGAGTCATTTTCCAAAAAAAAAAAAAAAGTGCTGAGTCATTTTCCAAAAAAAAAAAAAAGTGCTGAGTCATTGTCTAAACAAATAAAAGTGCTGAGTCATTGCCTACAACAAACAAAAACTTGTTGTACAACAACAATCTATCTACAACAACAACAACAACCTTGCCTTCCAAATTCCTTATAAATTTTACATTTTTCCATCTGAAGTACCAGGCGAACAGAAAGCAGCAGCAGGTGACTGTGATTTCATCGATCTGGCAACCTTTGCGATGACGATCGAGAATCCGAGCGTTGCCAGATCGATGAAATCGACGAATTTGCTTGCTGCTGCTTTCTGTTCGCCTGGTACTTCAGATGGAAAAATGTAAAATTTATAAGGAATTTGGAAGGCAAGGTTGTTGTTGTTGTTGTAGATAGATTGTTGTTGTACAACAAGTTTTTGTTTGTTGTAGGCAATGACTCAGCACTTTTATTTTTTAGACAATGACTCAGCACTTTTTTTTTTTTTTGGAAAATGACTCAGCACTTTTTTTTTTTTTTTGTAATAAGAATTCCCGTATAATCTGCATCTTTTGGACTGACTTACCTGTTTTCTACCAATCCCTTTATTCTGAAAATATAATACTCTAAATAAATAAATACAATCGTTTAATTTTCCAGTACACAAGTTTATTGTATATATATTTAAAGTATCGTTTTGGTCTGCCGCGTTTACATTTTCTGGTTTTTGGGTTAGAACAGAAACAATTATAGTATATATTATGTATATATGTATATATTTGTATAACTAGCGTATATATCCGTATAATCCTTAGCTATTTTCGCATATATAGGCTGGTAGTTAGCGCAGGAAGCCAGGATCCAGCAGCAGCTGCCTAGGAGGGCTCGCTGGCGGCGCCGCATGTCTGGTTCACCTTGAAAATATTGGACAGCTCATCGAGCAGGGTCTCGTAGCGGTAGGCCACCCGAATTTCGGGGACATTGGTGCGGGTAATGTCGTTGCCCATGATTCCATCTTCATAGTAGACGGGCCCTAGCCACTGTTGCTTTATCTGGTTGGGGAAAGGATAAAGGTTACTGTTAGGCCTACTATAAAAGAGGATAAAACTCACGGGATGAGGAAAGCCGCTCATCATCACACTATTCCTGGCCAGCTCGCACATGTCACAGGAGCTGAGCTTCCACACCTGGGCCGCAATGCTGTACTCCTCCATTAGGGGTTCCTAAAAGGATACAAAAAAAAAGCAATATTAATTACGGAGGAAGATCAAGAAAGCAAGGAACCTTGGGCACCCACCTTGGTGAAGTGAAACTGCAGGGGATCGTCCGTGGATAGGGAGATGATGAGTCCACGGGCCAAATATTCGGGTAGCGGATTTCGATGATAGTTGAGGAACAGCGAGTTGTTCGATAGCGGCGACATGGCAATACCAATCTGGGTCAGATAGTACAGATACTGCAGCACGGGCACCTTGCGGAGCAGCAGGCCATGCGAGATGTTCTCCGCCATAAGGTAGCCGCAGACCAAATGCTGGACGGGTCCGGCCTCGCCGCAATGGGGTCGCAGCACAAAGGTGTTCATGCCGCGTTCCCTGTAAAAGCAAAAGCAGGTAGATTAAAGATCCTCATCCATATCCTCCATCCATACTCACTTTCTAAACTTATTCAACACCGTCATGTTGGCGTACATATAGTAGATGTAATACGCATATGGAGGATTCTCCTCGTACGTCCACTCCTCCGGCCGGGACACATCGTTGTCGAAGAGCGGATTCTCCGGCTTGGACTCATCATCGACGGAATCGAAACCAATCACATACTGCAGGAAGCGATGCAGCTCCGGATGCTTGCTGGGTCGGGCTGTCGCCTGGAAGAGCGGCAGGAAGATGTTGTTCAAGATCTCCTGGAATGACTTCATCATCTTATTCGACTTGAAGATATCGAAGAGTCGCGGTATCTGGATCAGCCAACGGATATTCGAGCTATAGACATCATTATCGATGGCCCACCGGGCCAGCTTGTTCCACTCATCCGGTGACTTGCCATAGATGGACAGGCGCAGTTCGGCGTTTTGATACTTGGACTCCTCCAGATCGAACGCCACCTCCTGTGGGTTAAATAAAGAATTAATAATACATAATTTTAAGCAATTAATTAGACGTTACCTTAATGATCTGGGCAAAGTACTTGCCATTCAGATAGTTGTCCGTCTTGAGGAACACCTCACGGAGCCGGGACTCGCCAATCGGATTGTACTTGGAGTTGAACTTGTCGAAGCGATGGAACGTATTCCGATCGGCATGCACGTCCAGCATGTCCACGGTGAGGTCGTAGGTGGTCAGGTTCATCGATTGGAAGACCTGGGCCAGAGTCATCGGCTGGCCGTTGGTGTGGGTCACCACCTCGTTGGCATTGTTCTTCAGCGTCTTCTTGATGAAGCGCAGCAGATGCTTCTGGTTCATGCAGGAGGCGGCATGGATGTGGGTATCCACCTTGCGGGTATTGTAGAAATCGCGATGCGGCACCGCCTTCTGGGCGGCCAGCTCCCGCAGCTCGTTGAGGAGGACATGCATCTGGTACTTGGACGACAGGTAGCACAGGCGACGATAGCAGAACGACTTGCTGCAAATGGAAATAATAATTAATATTTGATTTATTGCACAAGCAGAATGTAAATTTGTACTTACAGTGGCCCATCGGCAATCATATTGCACATGACCTGCATGTCATTCACAAACTGGCTCATATCCGGGTATTCGTAGACGATCTCGTTCTTCTCCTCCTGCAATTAAATCATATTTATTATTTGTTATTGTTAATTAAATAGAATGGGTTTCAAAATTAACTTTATATATATATAATACATAATAAATATCGAATAACGAAGAATTACTTAGTCCATAAATTACTTACTTCATCCGTATAAATGTGAAACACTCCGTTCACTGGCTTAATCACAAAATTCTCGTCCGGTGGAAACTCAACATTCCAAGGATCCGTCACCGCCTTCAAGGATGACTTCGCGTGAAGATCTGCACATCCGCAACGATTCATTCGGTGGTGTGGTCGTGTTTTTGTGATTTGTGGTTTGGTTTTCGATTTTTGTTATTTCGTTTATCGGTAGAAACAGAATTTGAAAATAGAATTTTGTTTTGTTTAGTTGCACGGGGCGTTCAAACAGTGTTGGCAAGCGGGGATAGGTATAGGTACAGGTACAGGTACAGTTACATATACAATTTGTGGCAAATGCTACACTCTACACTTCGGTGTTCGTGCGAGTGTTATTTGTGGTGAAGGATGCTTTAGAGTGGACCTTGAGAATGGGTAAAACTTTGCTTTATCTTGTTACCTTGAATTGTTATTTTTACGTTTACAAAACTATGAAGAGATTTATCAAATGTTATATTATATTATAAAATATCGTTTAATAAATAATACTTTAATAAAAGCATAAATAAATATAGATAAAAACAGCAAAACAAACAAGAATGAACCCGAGAAGCTGAATTTGTTATGCCCTTTATAAATGAGAATTTTTTGGGTAAATCTTAGTTTTACAAATATCATAACTAAGCCAAAAATTAATTAAATTTAATTCGGAAATCGCTCTTATGTTAGTTTTTATAAGCTTAAAAAATCTGCATATTTCGTTTTAAATTTTAAGAAATTCAATTTTTTGCCAATTTTTGCAAATTTTAATGATGTAACCCCTTTGATTTTTTTCAGAAAATTGCAAATTTTCAAAAAATTTATTTTTCTGCCGGAGATGGCTAGAAAGATTCGCCTGTTGATACTGATCAAGAATATATATGAAATATAGGGTCGGAAATGCCTCCTTCACTGTGTAGCATGCTCCTGACTAAAATGAAATTACCCTAAAAGGTATAAAAATAGGTATAAATTTAGCAATTATTTTTATATGCCTATAGAAATTTAAAAATCTTATTGCTAAGCCAAAAATGCATTAATTTTAAATCGGAAAGCGCTCCTAATTAAGTTTGTACTAGATTAATAAATCTGCAGGGTCGGAAATAACCTATTCACTATTTGGAAAGCGTCTGACAACAATGAAAATACCCTTAAAGATATAAAAATAGGTATAAATTTAGCAATTATTTTTATATGCCAATCGAAGTTTAAAAATCTCATAACTAAGCCAAAAATGCATTAATTTTAAATCGGAAAGCTGTTTTGTGCTAGTTTTTAATTCGTTAACAAAACTGCGTACTCAGTTTAAAATGTAAAAAAATTGTGTTTTTCGCAAATTTTAATGATGTAACCCCTTTGATTTTTTCAGAAAATTGCAAATTTTCAAAAATTTTATTTTTCTGCCGGAGGTGGCTAGAAAGATTCGCCTGTTGATACTGATCAAGAATATATATGAAATATAGGGTCGGAAATGCCTCCTTCACTGTGTAGCATGCTCCTGACTAAAATGAAATTACCCTAAAAGGTATACAAATAGGTATAAATTTAGCAATTATTTTTATATGCCTATAGAAATTTAAAAATCTTATTGCTAAGCCAAAAATGCATTAATTTTAAATCGGAAAGCGCTCCTAATTTAGTTTGTATTAGATTAATAAATCTGCAGGGTCGGAAATAACCTATTCACTATTTGGAAAGCGTCTGACAACAATGAAAATACCCTTAAAGATATAAAAATAGGTATAAATTTAGCAATTATTTTTATATGCCAATCGAAGTTTAAAAATCTCATAACTAAGCCAAAAATGCATTAATTTTAAATCGGAAAGCTGTTCTGTGCTAGTTTTTAATTCGTTAACAAAACTGCGTACTCAGTTTAAAATGTAAAAAAATTGTGTTTTTCGCAAATTTTAATGATGTAACCCCTTTGATTTTTTCAGAAAATTGCAAATTTTCAAAAATTTTATTTTTCTGCCGAAGGTGGCTAGAAAGATCCGCCTGTTGATACTGATCAAGAATATATATGAAATATAGGGTCGGAAATGCCTCCTTCACTGTGTAGCATGCTCCTGACTAAAATGAAATTACCCTAAAAGGTATAAAAATAGGTATAAATTTAGCAATTATTTTTATATGCCTATAGAAATTTAAAAATCTTATTGCTAAGCCAAAAATGCATTAATTTTAAATCGGAAAGCGCTCCTAATTAAGTTTGTACTAGATTACTAAATCTGCAGGGTCGGAAATAACCTATTCACTATTTGGAAAGCGTCTGACAACAATGAAAATACCCTTAAAGATATAAAAATAGGTATAAATTTAGCAATTATTTTTATATGCCAATCGAAGTTTAAAAATCTCATAACTAAGCCAAAAATGCATTAATTTTAAATCGGAAAGCTGTTCTGTGCTAGTTTTTAATTCGTTAACAAAACTGCGTACTCAGTTTAAAATGTAAAAAAATTGTGTTTTTCGCAAATTTTAATGATGTAACCCCTTTGATTTTTTCAGAAAATTGCAAATTTTCAAAAATTATATTTTTCTGCCGGAGGTGGCTAGAAAGATTCGCCTGTTGATACTGATCAAGAATATATATGAAATATAGGGTCGGAAATGCCTCCTTCACTGTGTAGCATGCTCCTGACTAAAATGAAATTACCCTAAAAGGTATACAAATAGGTATAAATTTAGCAATTATTTTTATATGCCTATAGAAATTTAAAAATCTTATTGCTAAGCCAAAAATGCATTAATTTTAAATCGGAAAGCGCTCCTAATTTAGTTTGTATTAGATTAATAAATCTGCAGGGTCGGAAATAACCTATTCACTATTTGGAAAGCGTGTGACAACAATGAAAATACCCTTAAAGATATAAAAATAGGTATAAATTTAGCAATTATTTTTATATGCCAATCGAAGTTTAAAAATCTCATAACTAAGCCAAAAATGCATTAATTTTAAATCGGAAAGCTGTTCTGTGCTAGTTTTTAATTCGTTAACAAAACTGCGTACTCAGTTTAAAATGTAAAAAAATTGTGTTTTTCGCTAATTTTAATGATGTAACCCCTTTGATTTTTTTCAGAAAATTGCAAATTTTCAAAAATTTTATTTTTCTGCCGGAGGTGGCTAGAAAGATTCGCCTGTTGATACTGATCAAGAATATATATGAAATATAGGGTCGGAAATGCCTCCTTCACTGTGTAGCATGCTCCTGACTAAAATGAAATTACCCTAAAAGGTATACAAATAGGTATAAATTTAGCAATTATTTTTATATGCCTATAGAAATTTAAAATTCTTATTGCTAAGCCAAAAATGCATTAATTTTAAATCGGAAAGCGCTCCTAATTTAGTTTGTATTAGATTAATAAATCTGCAGGGTCGGAAATAACCTATTCACTATTTGGAAAGCGTCTGACAACAATGAAAATACCCTTAAAGATATAAAAATAGGTATAAATTTAGCAATTATTTTTATATGCCAATCGAAGTTTAAAAATCTCATAACTAAGCCAAAAATGCATTAATTTTAAATCGGAAAGCTGTTCTGTGCTAGTTTTTAATTCGTTAACAAAACTGCGTACTCAGTTTAAAATGTAAAAAAATTGTGTTTTTCGCAAATTTTAATGATGTAACCCCTTTGATTTTTTTCAGAAAATTGCAAATTTTCAAAAATTTTATTTTTCTGCCGAAGGTGGCTAGAAAGATCCGCCTGTTGATACTGATCAAGAATATATATGAAATATAGGGTCGGAAATGCCTCCTTCACTGTGTAGCATGCTCCTGACTAAAATGAAATTACCCTAAAAGGTATACAAATAGGTATAAATTTAGCAATTATTTTTATATGCCTATAGAAATTTAAAATCTTATTGCTAAGCCAAAAATGCATTAATTTTAAATCGGAAAGCGCTCCTAATTAAGTTTGTACTAGATTACTAAATCTGCAGGGTCGGAAATAACCTATTCACTATTTGGAAAGCGTCTGACAACAATGAAAATACCCTTAAAGATATAAAAATAGGTATAAATTTAGCAATTATTTTTATATTTTTATATTTTTAAAAATCTCATAACTAAGCCAAAAATGCATTAATTTTAAATCGGAAAGCTGTTCTGTGCCAGTTTTTAATTCGTTAACAAAACTGCGTACTCAGTTTAAAATGTAAAAAAATTGTGTTTTTCGCAAATTTTAATGATGTAACCCCTTTGATTTTTTCAGAAAATTGCAAATTTTCAAAAATTATATTTTTCTGCCGGAGGTGGCTAGAAAGATTCGCCTGTTGATACTGATCAAGAATATATATGAAATATAGGGTCGGAAATGCCTCCTTCACTGTGTAGCATGCTCCTGACTAAAATGAAATTACCCTAAAAGGTATACAAATAGGTATAAATTTAGCAATTATTTTTATATGCCTATAGAAATTTAAAAATCTTATTGCTAAGCCAAAAATGCATTAATTTTAAATCGGAAAGCGCTCCTAATTTAGTTTGTATTAGATTAATAAATCTGCAGGGTCGAAAATAACCTATTCACTATTTGGAAAGCGTCTGACAACAATGAAAATACCCTTAAAGATATAAAAATAGGTATAAATTTAGCAATTATTTTTATATCAGTTTTTATCAGTTTAAAATGTAAAAAAATTGTGTTTTTCGCAAATTTTAATGATTTTTGATTTTTTTCAGAAAATTGCAAATTTTCAAAAATTATATTTTTCTGCCGGAGGTGGCTAGAAAGATTCGCCTGTTGATACTGATCAAGAATATATATGAAATATAGGGTCGGAAATGCCTCCTTCACTGTGTAGCATGCTCCTGACTAAAATGAAATTACCCTAAAAGGTATACAAATAGGTATAAATTTAGCAATTATTTTTATATGCCTATAGAAATTTAAAAATCTTATTGCTAAGCCAAAAATGCATTAATTTTAAATCGGAAAGCGCTCCTAATTTAGTTTGTATTAGATTAATAAATCTGCAGGGTCGGAAATAACCTATTCAGTATTTGGAAAGCGTCTGACAACAATGAAAATACCCTTAAAGATATAAAAATAGGTATAAATTTAGCAATTATTTTTATATGCCAATCGAAGTTTAAAAATCTCATAACTAAGCCAAAAATGCATTAATTTTAAATCGGAAAGCTGTTCTGTGCTAGTTTTTAATTCGTTAACAAAACTGCGTACTCAGTTTAAAATGTAAAAAAATTGTGTTTTTCGCAAATTTTAATGATGTAACCCCTTTGATTTTTTTCAGAAAATTGCAAATTTTCAAAAATTATATTTTTCTGCCGGAGGTGGCTAGAAAGATTCGCCTGTTGATACTGATCAAGAATATATATGAAATATAGGGTCGGAAATGCCTCCTTCACTGTGTAGCATGCTCCTGACTAAAATGAAATTACCCTAAAAGGTATACAAATAGGTATAAATTTAGCAATTATTTTTATATGCCTATAGAAATTTAAAAATCTTATTGCTAAGCCAAAAATGCATTAATTTTAAATCGGAAAGCGCTCCTAATTTAGTTTGTATTAGATTAATAAATCTGCAGGGTCGGAAATAACCTATTCAGTATTTGGAAAGCGTCTGACAACAATGAAAATACCCTTAAAGATATAAAAATAGGTATAAATTTAGCAATTATTTTTATATGCCAATCGAAGTTTAAAAATCTCATAACTAAGCCAAAAATGCATTAATTTTAAATCGGAAAGCTGTTCTGTGCTAGTTTTTAATTCGTTAACAAAACTGCGTACTCAGTTTAAAATGTAAAAAAATTGTGTTTTTCGCAAATTTTAATGATGTAACCCCTTTGATTTTTTCAGAAAATTGCAAATTTTCAAAAATAATATTTTTCTGCCGGAGGTGGCTAGAAAGATTCGCCTGTTGATACTGATCAAGAATATATATGAAATATAGGGTCGGAAATGCCTCCTTCACTGTGTAGCATGCTCCTGACTAAAATGAAATTACCCTAAAAGGTATACAAATAGGTATAAATTTAGCAATTATTTTTATATGCCTATAGAAATTTAAAATCTTATTGCTAAGCCAAAAATGCATTAATTTTAAATCGGAAAGCGCTCCTAATTTAGTTTGTATTAGATTAATAAATCTGCAGGGTCGGAAATAACCTATTCAGTATTTGGAAAGCGTCTGACAACAATGAAAATACCCTTAAAGATATAAAAATAGGTATAAATTTAGCAATTATTTTTATATGCCAATCGAAGTTTAAAAATCTCATAACTAAGCCAAAAATGCATTAATTTTAAATCGGAAAGCTGTTCTGTGCTAGTTTTTAATTCGTTAACAAAACTGCGTACTCAGTTTAAAATGTAAAAAAATTGTGTTTTTCGCAAATTTTAATGATGTAACCCCTTTGATTTTTTTCAGAAAATTGCAAATTTTCAAAAATAATATTTTTCTGCCGGAGGTGGCTAGAAAGATTCGCCTGTTGATACTGATCAAGAATATATATGAAATATAGGGTCGGAAATGCCTCCTTCACTGTGTAGCATGCTCCTGACTAAAATGAAATTACCCTAAAAGGTATAAAAATAGGTATAAATTTAGCAATTATTTTTATATGCCTATAGAAATTTAAAAATCGTATTGCTAAGCCAAAAATGCATTAATTTTAAATCGGAAAGCGCTCCTAATTTAGTTTGTATTAGATTAATAAATCTGCAGGGTCGGAAATAACCTATTCACTATTTGGAAAGCGTCTGACAACAATGAAAATACCCTTAAAGATATAAAAATAGGTATAAATTTAGCAATTATTTTTATATGCCAATTGAAGTTTAAAAATCTCATAACTAAGCCAAAAATGCATTAATTTTAAATCGGAAAGCTGTTCTGTGCTAGTTATTAATTCGTTAACAAAACTGCGTACTCAGTTTAAAATGTAAAAAAATTGAGTTTTTCGCAAATTTTAATGATGTAACCCCTTTGATTTTTTTCAGAAAATTGCAAATTTTCAAAAATTTTATTTTTCTGCCGAAGGTGGCTAGAAAGATTCGCCTGTTGATACTGATCAAGAATATATATGAAATATAGGGTCGGAAATGCCTCCTTCACTGTTTTGAAAGCTGCTGACTGAAATTATAATACCCTGCAAGGTTATACAAATTAAAGAAATATTTCTTAAAAATTAAAATCGAACTGGAAGCGCGTTTTTCCATTAGCATTTTCATTGTTTTCCCTACTTTCCCATTTAACAGAGGCCCACTCTCAGGACAGGATGGACATGGTTAATTTTTATTCTACAAGGTGATCAACGTAAAGCGTGTCTTTGTACCTTTTTTACAAGGCTTTGTGGTCAAAATAGGCGATCAAAAATACAGTGAAAAAGAGCGAACGCTCAACGGAGCGTGCTCTTTTCTGGTTAGCAAAGAAAATAGATCAAACAAACAAAGTACAAAACTAAAGAAAGAAAAAGCAAGAAACACAAACTAATAGTTGCAAAGAATGCATTTAAAGTTCAAATATAAACTTTAGAAGGAATACTTCCATGCGAGTGATCGACAGAAAAGCTTGGATGCTGCAACTCGTGCTGTGTCAGGCGTGTTTTCTTTTTCTAGGAAAGCGTTCAATGTTGCCACACAAGTATTATTTTCACAGGGATAATAAAACCCAATCATATTCATTTTTAAATTGAATAAAAATCATTATTTTACTTTAAGATAATACTCATAAATATTAATCCAAATTTGACACAAAATAAATGTAAGTTTGTTAAACAATTCTAATTTCTACAGTAAACAGAGCATAGCAAAAGCAATAGTTATTAATAACAAGGAAGGAAATTAACTTCGGGAAGCCGAAATTTATATATCCTTGCAGTTTGCAATTTAATTATAGGATCGTATCGAAATTAACTAACTATTCGGATTTTAAACTATATTTTTATATGACAATTTTTACGACTAAACTAATAATTTAAAAATCTCATAACTAAGCTAAAATGGCATTAATTTTAAATCGGAAAGCGCTCTAATGCTAGTTTTTATAAGCTTAATAAATCTGCATACTACATTTTATATTTAAGAAATTCAATTTTTTGCTAATTTTCGCAAATTTTAATGATGTAACCCCTTTCCATTTTTTCAAAAAATGGAAAAATTTTCAATAATTTATTTTTCAACCGGAGATGGCTATAAAAATTCGTCTGTTGATACTGATCAAGAAAATATATGAAATATAGGGTCGGAAATTACTCCTTGACATAATTTCAAGCTTCTGAATCGAATTGCAATATATCCTGCAAGGATATAAAAGCCCTAAACAACACTGGTTGGTGGCAACACTGACTGCGATAGAGGCAGCTCTGGCAGCGTGCCGTGTTTCTTAAGGTTAGGAGCAAACAATACGCAGAATACGAGGAAGCTGTGCTCAACGGAAACGAAATTCAAATGTCAGGCAGGAAGGAAAGGGTGAAAAAAGGAACAGGAAGTGGAGAATTAGCTGTTCTTGTCGTCTTTTGTGAGGAACAGAAATAGGAATGGAAAGGATACAAGAGGAAAGAGCTGTGCGCACGAATTACCTTGTATGGGGGCTACACTCATTTTGCGAATGATGTCTATAAGAAAATAATGAAAAATACGAGAAGAGAAATAAAATAGTTAAAAATCAAGGTGGAAGGAAAACACAAAGAAAACAACGCTAAAAAAGCTCAAACATAATAATGTTGTCACAATGAAATAGAGAAGAATAGGAATATAAACTAATGGACAATATAAATGTATATAGCTTCTGCTAAGGCTCAAAAAAAAAAAATTAAGGACATGAAATAATTAAAAAGGACGAGACACGAGCAAAAGGAGCTAAAGGAGCAGCTGCAGACACTGACAGGAGCTGCTTAGAGCTCTAAATATCAACGGGATGGCAACGCCAGAGCGTACAGTTTGCACTAAAATTATACAAACGCTAAATCTCTCGATTTGTATTATACAGATTATCACCGGAAAAGTGATGGCAAATTTGCTGGTGCAAAGCAAAACAACAACATCTAGGGACAACAATTTTCCTTATTCACACTTATTTACACAGAGACGCTACTGTGGAGTGGAAATACTTGGAAAATTGCCTGGAGAAGACAATTATCCTGCAAGTAGAGCCACTCCAAAACCTTGAGATATGACTAGAATTGTGACACTGTACAAAATTAGAACTCGATCTCGAATGAGATTCCGAAAGTTTCTTTCCAGATTGGAGGACAGGAAGGAAGGGTATAGGTTAATCTTGTCACTTACCCGAAACCACCTTGGCGGGCACATTATCTATGCGATCCTTGAGCCGCACCGTCTTGAGGAAACGCGCCGTGGTCGAGGGAAACGATTGATCCGACATGGCCATGTAGCGGCTGCGCAGGCGCAGTGCCTCAATCAGCAAGGTCGAAGCACGTTCCAGATCCTCGAGCGGAACGCCGCTGGTATCCTCGCCGGAAATGGAGACACGCTGGAAGTTAATGTCCGCATCGGTTTTATCCATTTCCACCATGATCTCGGGACCCTCGCTGCTGGAGGATTCCCTGTGAACGTGCGGCACGTGCGGGGCAACGGACACGGGTCGGGATCCTGTGGCCTGCCTGGAAAAGAAAGTAAGAAATTAATATAAATTTTGTATATTTCATTAATTTATAGAAATAATAATTATAATTTAAGGAAAAGGCCTCGTTCGAAGGGCTAACCACTTGGAATCCTCGGGCTGATACTCGTAGACGCGTCCAAAGCTATAGCTGTCATCCGCGAAAGACATCCTGCTCGGTACAGTGACCACCGGCAATTGGATGGAGCACTCTGCTCCTTGGTCCTTGATGGGTTCTTCTTTTGGGTACACAGATAGAGAGTGAGAGAGATGGGAATGATCGATTGGAAAGGAGTCACCACCAATTTTGGTGGGTAATTTGCAAACCCACAGCAGGACACACGCTATGTTAATATCTTCAACCTAGAAATTGCGTGTCCTGTGTAAAACTCTTTAAATTGAATTTATATATATCCCTCGATTGTCTGGTTTTGAGGGAGTTTTTTGGTCTATTAATTGTTGCAAGAAGAATACGTTTTCTTGGTTAAATTTATGAGTAGGCACTGTGAGATATTTTATAGTAATTCTATAGTTTCTACTTGGGAATATTTTGAATTTAATTTTATAGAAAGTTGAGAGATCTATTTGGTCTCATAAAACCTTCCTTTAGTTATTACTTTTTAAAAACTATATCTTATTTATAAGCTATATATTTTTAAGTCTTAAATGCTTAATCCTTTCTAGTTCTTTTGTTAGATTTACCATTTTTATTATTAATTTCTTTGTTGTTTTTCAACAAAAACTTTTGGGTTCTAGAACTTCAAAAACTTAAAAAACTAATCAATAATAACTAAAAATAGAACTAAAAAAACTCTTCAGAAGACACCTCAAGAAATTCTTTAAGAACTACTAAAAAACACGCTTCAAAACCCCTGCTATATTACAATATAGAAAAGTGTTTATAGTCTCTGAATTAAATCGCACGACATTTCCCATTAAGAAATTTCTTAAACTGATTCTTGGGGAGTTCCCCCTACGACTTTCTGGTGAATCCACCTCTGAACCTGACTTTTGGCGTGCCAAACTTGTTGGGATTCTCGCTTAACAAAAACGCAAACAACAACAAAAATTATATGAAATAAACTTCAAGTGTTGTCAAGTTTCTTTTTCCGAAAACGCCGCCACCTTTGGGCTTCCTTTCCACTTTACTTTATTTTTATTTATTTGGCGTGCGACACGAACAACAACGATTGGTTTTAGTGGGCCAGGAGGAGGAGGAGCTGAGGAGGAGGCGGAGGAGGAGCTAAAGAGGTGGCTCAATGTCAGCGTAGGTCGCCCAGGTGGAGGCGGACCTGTGCCTGACTTGGCAGGTGGCAAAAATTTGGGCCGCGTTTCGCGCCGTCGAGCTGCCCGTTTATTGGATCGGAGCGTACTGAAAAGTGACGGCATCCGCGACAGAGACCCGGCCAGCGGTGGCTCTGTTTCTGCCGGTTATAGTGGTTCCCTCCTCGTCACCATCGGAGGTGGTGGCAATGGTGGTGGTGGTTCGTTATGGCATAAGCCCCACTCAGCACTGAGCGAAATCTTGGACTTTACCCATCATTTGTGCATCATTTTAATGTAAAGAAAGTAGTTCAAAAAGTATTTCCTTAGCAAACTTTTGTTTCCTGACTTGTAAACTTTATATTTTACAGAAAACAATACTTTGTTTAATTAAATCTCTTACTAAACGTAATTTCTTTAGGTGTTTCGTTGCGCATTTTGGCTGAAACTAAACAGAATGACCGTCATAGTCAACTGTCGCCCCGTCGTTGTGGCTGCCTAATGCTGTTCTATTCAAAATCAAAACGTGTTCTGCATTGGCCAGACTTGGACCCTACCCTTTAGCCAAAACCCTCTTGGGTATTAGACGAAGGGAACTACTACCTCTGCTCCCAGGAGGCACCTGGAACCTGGCACCTCCCCATACATTGCCCCCTGTGAGCCTGATAATTGCAGCAATGTTGCAATGTTGCAACTGCCTCATTATGCGTCTATAGAAACTGATCAGAGAAGCACATGGACTGCACATGGAGAAAATGCTGAACAAGAACATTATAACAAAGAATTCCTTTAAAATTGTAAACTAAATTAAGTTAAATTACATGTAAATACAAATAAAAACATAAATATATAAATATTTTATAGAACTTTAAAGCAGAGGAAAGCAAAACAATTAATTCAGTAAGGTATTTAAACGGCAGAATTCCTTCACCAATGCGATCTTTCTATATATACTATATATTCTATATAATTTAAAAAAATGCTATGTTTAGACCGTCTACTGATAAGACCCTCAATCACGAAATCTGTGAACCCGTCGCCGTGCTTTGACTCGATTTGATTGCTTGTAAAGTAAACAAAACATTTTAAATTCGATTTAGGTACGGATCAGGGAATAAGACAAGACAATAACAGGGAGGTCAGTAACTTAGCGGGAACAGCGCAATAAATATGTAGAAATTTCTACGTCGAAGAGTATTTAAAATAGCTCTAAATTTGATATGGTAATTGTTAGTAATTGTATACTTCAGGAGCTTGCAATTCAGCGAAGGAGCCATTTCCGACCCTATATTTCATATATATTCTTGATCAGTATCAACAGGCGAATCTTTCTAGCCATCTCCGGCAGAAAAATAAAATTTTCAATTTTTTGAAAAAAATCAAAGGGGTTACATCATTAAAATTTGCAAAAATTGTCAAAAAATCTAATTTTTAAAATTTGTAAATTGAGTATGCAAATTAATTAAGCTTATAAAAACTAACATAGGAGCGCTTTCCGATTGAAAATTAATGCCTTTTTGGCTTAGTTATGAGATTTTTAAACTTTGAGTTTTTGAAAATATTGTAATATTTATAAGTTGCGGTTCCCCGAAGCTAGTTTCCTCTCCTATTTATATATAAGTTGTTGTCTGTATTCTTTATTAAAAATATCTTATTTAAATGCTATTAAAACTGAATTTTATTTAGTTAGGAATGTAATAAATTTCCTATAATATTTAGTCTTACATCGTTAAAACGCACTGGCTCATCTCTTAATCTTGATTTTGATCTTGCTTCTCGTAGATTGGAAATCCTAACACAAACTGACTTAATTCAAAGGGGGCTTTATTATTTATAATTTATTTTATATTCACTCACAATATCAGCGATTTATAAAGCATTTCTTATTGAGATTGAGATTATAAGGTAGAAATAGGCAAGGGTTTTTAATGTATTGGTAAAAGGTAATGGAGTAAACATACCTATAGGTTTTTGAGTTTAATTTTATATTCATATTTAATAGTAGGGATAGGAATATAAATTTTAGCACGTACACTTTGTAATTCAAATATTTAGGTTATTTAAAAACAAGTTTTTAAAGATCGTTATTAATAAATGTACATATTAATATTATCCAAAAACAAACCTAAAATTTTCTTTATTATTAAGAAATTGACATTAGATGGCATTTCTTGTGCTCCTCCTTTAAATATTATTTAATAATTACTTATTTAAATTATTTATTAATTTTATTAAAAACAAATTTCTTTACTCACTTTTCATTGAGGTGGCGCTGGACCTGCAGCTTCTTCTCAATCTGTTCAATGGGAAACTGTGGCACCTCATACGGGGCCGAGATCTCGTTGGTCAGCTCCACATCGGACTCGGCCTTCTCATCCACCGGGGAGTCCTGACGATCACCTGTAAGTGTACATAAAAAAATATATTAATTATAGTTTCCAAAACTAATTCAAAATCATTTATAGAGTCACTTGTCTCTGGGCTAAACCTACACAACTCATCGGTGGGAATCAATGAATCACTGGTGGATAGTACTTCATCCGGTGCTGACTGATTGCCCATCACCTGACCCCCAAAGAGACGAACATCAACCCGTAACCTGTGGGCAGTGTCCATGCGATTGAAGTTCATGGTGAAAATTGTGCCGGGAAATATGGAAAACTAAAAACAAACAGACGGCGACGATGTAAGCTGGGCGAGAGTTGTCGCTTTAATGAAATCGGAAAACACAAATCGGAGAATTCCAGGCGGAGATTTACTAAGCTGCGCTGCAGCAGAGAGACGCATCATCAGAAAAAAAAAACAACAGCGAAAGCCCATTAAAAAACATCAAACCAAATTTGCAAAAATAAAAAACAATAATAATAAAAAATACGAACCACTAAGGAAAAATTCAATAAGCTAAGAAATTTAATAGAAATTACATTACAAACATATTTACTAGCTTTTAAAATATATATAATAGGGAAAATCATTTATTTTAGTTTTCTTAATTTTTTAAAGTTTTCTTTAATAAAAAAATATTTATTGGTAAAGAAAATTAATTTTAAATCAATAAAATAGCAAATAATTGCATTTACAATGTAAATAACTAAAATAGGAAAAATGATGTATTTAATTTCTTTATAAGCAATCGATATTTTAGCTAGCTTATAATTTGAATAATTTAATATTATGAATTAAAAGAGAAATACAAATTTTTCCTCAGTGCATAGACACTGGAGATAGCGAAAGTCCCGACCAAATCAAAACACGCACTGAAATAAACAACAAACAAAGATCGGAAATGTGATACAAGAGATGCGAAGTTGAAATACACTTCAAGGTCAAGCAACTCAATTAATAATTAATTTAAATAATTATCTGAAACCCAGAGTAGAAATGAAGAGAGTGAAGTTCTTAATTAGATGAAGTAAATATTTTTTAAAAGCATCGTAAGCTTTAAATGCTCAAGAGGCTGCAAACATTGTTTACAAAGTACCCGAACCATTAGTTAAGTAGTAAATAATTTCAATATTAATTATAAATAATAATAATAATGCTTTAAAAATTTTCAAGATCTAATTTATTCCCTTTGAAATTAAAGTATTTATAAATTATATATATCTCTATGTAAAACTTATTCTGTTTCTCAATTTATAGTTAATAAAGGGTATTTACAAATTGTTAATACGTTTTTTGTACTTGTTCCACATTAAATAGGTTAGTGTCACTCACATCGACCCACTCTTAACAACAAAACTAAACAAAATAAAACTGAAATAGCAACAAAAAGCTAAAAAGCTAAACGAGAGCAAGGCGTGGGCCAGCAAAAGAAAACAAGCTACACTAATCAAGAAAAGTTGAAAAGAACTACAACTACTGAGCTATATTTCTTAAAATACAAAATAAATAAATAAATAACAATACAAAACACCTTGTATATTTAATTTTCCAAGCTTGGTTTGTTTTCAGTGTATCCTATCTGTGTTTTGTAGCTTAGTGCTATGGTGTTATTTACTATTTGTTTTTCTAGCCGCCTTGACAGAGAAAGAGAGTGCTTTGTGTCTGTGTCCGTGGGAGAGTGTAAGTTTTTGCTTTCTTTCTGTTGCAGAGAGAGTAAAAAAAAATACCAGAGAGAGTTTGGGATCAGAGAGTGATCAAGAAGAGAGAGTGAGTTACCTAGAGAGAGGTGGAGTGTAAGGTTCAGAGATTAAACAATATAATAATGTGAGTTTGTTTAGCAACACCTTGATTTGTAGTTTATCATAAATATAATAAAATATATAATGTATATATTTTGCTATTGCTAGATAATAGTGTTAACATTTACAAACTTTAAGTTGCTACTACATATGTAGAGTATAAGTAATAAATTATATAAATACTCGAAGACAAGGTGAAGAGTTTCAAGTAAAGATCATGACTAAATCGTTTCGCCTACTGATTTTATACATTTCCAGGGTATTTTCATTTTGGTCAGGAGCTTAAAAAGCAGTGAAGGAGTCATTTCCGACCCTATAAATAATATATATTTTTAATCAGTATCAGCAGGCGAGTCTTTCTAGCCATCTCCGAGCGAAAACTAATTTTTTCGAAAATTTTTAATTTTTTGAAAATATGAAAGGGGTTACATCGTTAAAATTGTCAAAAATTGATATTTTTTACATTTTAAACTGAGTATGCAGATTTATTAAGGAATTAAAAACTAGCACAGAACACTTTTCCGATTTAAAATTAATGCCTTTTTGGCTTAGTTATGAGATTTTTAAATTTTGATTTGCCAAACAAACATTGTCATATAAAAATACCAATTAGTTATGATCGATTCCTATTCCCGATTCGGTCCTATAATTTAATTGCAAGCTTAGTTTAATTTCTTGTTCCTTCCTAAAATGCGTTACAAAGCATTGATTTAAAATTTAAATACCCTACAATATATAGGAAATATTATTATTATTATTTGTTAGCTATATTTGCCGTGAAAATCTCGGGGTTTTTCTCCCAGTGTCTGTGGTAGTACACTTACATGTGCAGCGACTTAGGCTCCGACCAAGTCCGGTGGCAGCCACCGCACAGGTGGTGCACCTGCCGCTGGGCGTCCTGGCGATGGGATGCTTGCTGGGCTTCGGATGCGACATGACCGAACCGTCGAAGGAATCCGCATCCGGGGCTGGCCTAATGGAGTTCTCCGAGCTGCCACTCAGCATGCCGCGATACGACATCTTGTGCTGGTCCTTTGGCCTAATCCTGGTTCCCAGTGGGTTCTACTATCTGTGTATATATGTATGTGTGTATCTGTGGCTGTGTGTTTTTTTGGAATTTTTATTTCCGTCCGGTGTTCCGAGTTGCCTGCCTTGGGCTTCTTTGTTTTGCTTTTTATGTAATGCTGCTCCCGGTTGACAGGTGTCTACGCTCTGCTCGAGATTCTGCACTGGGCAATGTCTGCGGGCAACTGTCGCCTCAGATCGGATCGGATCGGTTGGATATATCTGCTGTGTGTAGTATGCACTTGATTTAGTTTGAAATTTTTCCTACAGACGCAATTCGCGCATCTTCTACGCGTTGTTTTTCGCTGCCATTTCTCTCTGTGTTTTCTAGCCAACTCTTGTTAACACCTCTCTGTCTCCCTCTCTCTCTTAACCGATTCGGATCTGTTCATCCAAAGTATATACTTGGGTGTAGTCAGCCGGTGGAGGAGGAGCTTTTCCCGCTCACTCTCGGCTTTCTACTATAGAGGAAAAGCTCTACGAAATAACATTTGCTAATTATAAACAATATTTTGGATAAACAAAGTGAACTGTGGAGTGATTCGGGGAATTGTCCAGATTAAAGCTCTTTATATATTGTATGATATATATATGGGATAAATGGTTAATGCTATCCTTGAATTAACTAAGGGCCAAGGTTCGAAATGTTGATTATATTGATAATAGAAAGGATATATCTTTTAAATTTGATTTGCCTTTATTTTTGGTTATTAAAATTAAATAATTAAACTGCATTAATTTACTGCATTTCATTTTATTTAACTTAATACCAAAGAAATGAAAAAAGAGTCTCTTAAAAAGCAAACAATTTGCATTTATTATAAATTTTTGGAGGCGGACTTTAGTCTAAATTGAAGCTTTGCTCGAACATTTAATTATTTACAACGTCTTAGTGTTTCTTGAATTTAGTTAATCGAACTCCTTTGATGGCCGTATGATATTCATTTATAGTTATAATAAAGATTTATAGCCTTGTTTACAATGCTCGATCATTGAAATAATTTAGAATACTACTGCGTTTTAGACTTTCAGGAAAGGAATCTCAGACGAAATTTCCATCTCAAATATCTTTTAAAATTTTTAGAATTCCTATAGTAATTGTAGACCTAATTTTCCAACAACTTTAGGGACCACTTCTATATATATTTCCAAAGTAAAAACAAAAAATAATAAATTAAATACAACGCCACCTTAATTAATCATAATATAACTAGTTCTAGGCATGGCCTGTCCATTATCATTTTGATTAATAACTGATAATAACTGATGATAATGACAATGATAAGAACGAACCTCTTGCTAGATTGTGTCTAATAATATGTCAATTGAGTTGTCAAGTGTTCACTTTCGGGTAACTTTCCTCAACCGAATCACTTAGAAATTTAATCATATTGATCATGTTAAATGTTGCTACAAGATCTCTTTATGTGTGTGTTTTTTTTAGACTCTGATTGTCGTGGAAATAGCAACAATAGGTTTGTTTAGTTTTGTCGGACAAATAATATTCACAGTCTGGTAACTTTCCACTTTTTAAAGGGAAGGGAAGAAGCAAGGGCTCGTCTCGGTTCATCTTGCTTATTTTAGATTGCAGAGACACTTAGCAATGCCTTTTCCTGGGATTATCAATGGAAACCAGATGGGGGTCTAAACTGGGGAATCATTGATGGTTAGCACTGGCTTGTTAATACACTAAAGGGGGGATGGATCTATGGTGATGGCTTCATCGTTGTCTATATATTATAGTCACTTTTGTTGAATTCAAGCTGCAAGTCATTGGCAGTTCATTTGCCTTATTTGCGATATGCAAACACACAGTCATAAACGAATATAAATACACAATATATATAGAGCGACGGAGACAGAGGCATTAATATATAGTATAAGCTATCTGTATACGTTTCAATTTATTATTCGATTGTGCTTAAGCTTATTTTGTATTCTCCTTTATTTGTATTTTGTTTATTTTGTTGTATATTTTTGGCACCGTCACCCGGTGGCCTCTTTGTTTTGTATTTATTGACCGAATTGCGAACTTATTAATTGCTGCGTTTGGCCTTTTCAGCTTTTCTGGGCAAAGTGCCCATCGCCGTTGATGATGATACCCGAAAATTGATTTTCACACAATTATAGTATAGCATATGGGGAAAAAGGAAAACTTTCCGGTGGCAATACTTGCGTAACCCCCGGAAAAACCCCAAACTAGAACTCTTTAAGGCAATATTTCCACTCGATTCGACTTCGCGCAGTCAACTGATTCTGATTTCTCACTCAGTTTTAGTCGTTCGCCGGGAAATGTAATGTACATACACCCGAACATATGTGTAACAACAAAAAAACAATAATAATAATAATAATAAGCATGACTAACTGCAGTCAGTCTCAAGTCGGAGAAAAGAGAAAAGCCCCCGGAAAAAGAGAGCATTCCGTGGCGTGTGAAAGAGCTGAAATGTCATTGGAAGAGCGCCGGGAATGGAACGGAACAGCAAATAAATCATTAAGGGGCTTAAATATGTAAGCCCAGGAGGGGTGACACGGTGGGAAATCGCTATATTATTTTCCTAGCCACTCGCCTTTCTTGTTCGTATTTGTTTTCTAATTGGAAAACCCTGACCTATGCCTACGACAACGACAATAGACGTCAGGGAGGGCACAGTGGCGGTGGAAAAAATAGTTACAGGGGTGCCATCAATTAATTAAAGGAATTTTTATGATTTTTAAGCGTTATTAGTATTTTCGAGTTTTAAGCAAAACGTATATTTTTATAATTAAAAGCTAAATATTGCTTCCCATAAAGGATACTAATAATCCAATAATTTATTTATTATTGTTGCTAAATTGCTTCAGTTAATATCCTTATTTAGTATATTTGATGTATATTCATTATCTATTTATTGGTCATTATCTATTATGTTAAAGAAAAAGAAGTGAAGTGAAAGAATCAATTTTAATCCTTATCTATGTATCAATTGATTATTCATTATATATATATTCATTGGCTTAATTTATATTTAAATAGTTTGCCCATCTTAGGACTCTTTATCTATTTATTGGGAAACTAACTATGATCACCAAAGAAACCCTTTCTTTTATTCAAGAATGAATTGTTTTAAAATTCTAAAAATATATTTATTTTCGTCAACATGTGTAAACCGAGTACCTTGAGTTGATTGAAAACCACACATTCCTCATAAATCGGACGGACACATGTCATATAGAGTCAATTAAGTGGATGTTGATGATATATAGAATATATGAATGAGTACTAGATAGGATTCGAGGCCCTAAATACTATTTAGATGGTCAGATAATAGAGCTAGATAGGCGTTGCCTGATTTCCACGAAATGTGAATAATACATGTTACTGGCACTCGCACTCAAATCTGGATGTTGTTATTCACGAAGACTATTTATAGACCGATAACAGTGCCAGAACACTGAGAGAAATACAAACAAAATATAAACAAGGTGCTGAAATGTTATGATAACAGTATGATGATAACTCATAATAAGGGGAAAGTAAATATTCAAATATTATTTAATTAGAAATAAAGCAACGTTGCATAGTTGCCTTTTAAATATAAATTAGTTCATTAAACTGGAGAAAATCCTACATTTTTGCAGTATACCTTTCATAAATCTTTAATACTATGTATGTATAATTTCTGCGCACTAAAGGGCCACGTGTGTTTTGAAGCATCCATAAATTCAGCTGGGCAAACATGAAAAATTCGACCTAGATTAGATTAAAGTCGACCACAACAAATAGGTACTGAGTTCTCCTTCATCAAACCCCAAGGTTTGAGGTTCCTGTTCCTTCGCCTCCTCCTCCTCCTCCTCCAATGATGATGATGATGATGATGACTCAGTGCAAACAATGACGGCGGCTAGGCTAATTGGCCCACATACAAGCTGGCCCATAAATATATAGAAACTGTGTCTCTCTCTCTGTCCGAGTTCGCATGAGTCGGCCTCATGTTTTAACCAATTTCCTAAATGGCTCGCTATTTGCTGTTGGTTTTCCCCATTGCGCCTGTGTTTGCTGCACCAACAAAAAACGCAAAAATGCGAAATAAACAAAGGGAGCAGGCACATAAAAAACTGCGTACTCACAAATCATAAAAGCAATGAACTAGGCAAATAATAATAGTAATTAAACTGGGCAGTACTTGAGCTTAGTTGCAATAAAATTGAAGAAATACATTGCAGTTTGTTGAGAATTGATAAAGAAAATTAGCAAGCAAATCAATAAAATAAGGGAAAATATGTTAATTTTTTAAAAGCTTAAAAATATTAGTAATGATGTTATGGCACTGCATTAATTAGTATAATTTTTCTTAGATTTTAAGGTATACTCCCGTACAAGTTATACAAATTATTAGAATTAACCTTAAAAATATTTTTAAATGTGGTAAGAAATCCTTGGATCCTAACAGCAAAAGCGAGAGATTTATAATAGCATTACAACACTATATAAATGCTGTCACTCTTAAGTTTAATTAATTATTCTTATGTGGCAATATTTTCAAAACATTTCCAATAATAAATTATAAAGGAACATACAAATGATTTATATTGGTGCATTGCCAAACTTCTTTTTGGCTAAAACATGAGCCAAGAAAATCGAAACTCTAGTGACATCATCGCTAAAAACATGGTAGTGAAGTTCTTTAATGCTTAGTTCTTTGCTTTCGATGGAAAACATCTTTTTAGCTTAACAACTTTCCTTGGAACACATCTGAGATAATTAAAGGGCACCCGATTCGTCATCATCAAAGGAGCCATTATCATTTCATCATCAGTGTCATTATTGTCAGTAGAAGTAGTGTATAGCTAGATAATTTATGCACAGTTACCAGCACGCCTCCTACTCGCTGCCTGATTATAATAATTGCACGCCATTAGCTCTACTTGGGCTGATGTGTGTGTCTACCTATAGGTACATATAGCTACCCCACTGTGGCTGTATATGCTGTTTTTTCTTTCGACTTTTTTTTGCCGTGGAAATTTAAATATTTCACGGCGATGACCAGTAAGCAAACTGAACCAAGGCGCAAAAGTCAATGCATCCCACAAGCCCACACACGCACACCCCCGTGTGTATACACAGTGGCGTGAGCAGAGGTTAACTTTTGGGGGGTTAAAGTTCTCCAAAAATTGTGTATGAATTTCTCTGGCATCAAAATTAACCAGAGTTCTGTTATAAACTTGCTTAAGTAATACTGTAAATATTTAAACTCCATTTTATAATTATTATTAATGTTGAGACAGAAGAAAATGGTTAAAATAATTATAAAATCTTGCCATACAACTGAAACAGCAAGAATAAAATGATTTAATTTCTTATTTGGTCTTGATTTTGTTTATTACTGGCCTGAACTTCCAAATATGCAATAAAAATGCCAAGTAATAACAATGACCACTGCAAACTTGCACACTTTTTAATTACGCATTATTTCAACATCGAAAGTTCGGCTTATTCCCCTTTGCAAGCTTCTCTGCCCACGCTCTGCATTGCACACACCTACACGCATTCACGTGTCCACGCCTCCACTGACACTGACAGCGACAGTAACGGTAAAAGGTAACAGTAAATGCAGACTCACCCCCTTTGCGCTTCTCGATGCGTCGCATTGTGAGGCCCATGTCCATGTCCATCTCGACGTCCGTGTCGAACCCGAAGCTCCGATAGCCCTTGGCGCTGAGGGCGTCCACGTAGCTCTGGCTCTGGCTCTGCATTTCGGACTCCACGGTATTTGCTGTCCTTGACCGGCGCCGCACCTGCTTCACGCCGCAGAAGATGGCCTGCCTTCCGACTCCTACTCTGGAACCTTCGGCTCAAGTCTTCCCAGAAGCCAAAAACAAGTCTCAAACACACACACGAACACACACTAAGCACTTGCACTTGCACTTTTTGCCTTCTCACTGTCACTGTACTTTTTCTTCTTCTTCCTGAGTTTAAGCTGTACTTTTAAAGTCACTATTAACAAAAAACACTGGCTGCTACACACTAAACAAATGCAGGCAACAATAACACAACAACAATAATACTGTTTTTTCGTGTGCAATTTACAAAAATAAATGATTGTGCGAAAATTGTTCTGTTTCTTCGAAATTTTTTTTGCGACTAAGCTTTATTTATGTCTTGTTTGGCAAAATACCAAAGTAGCGAACAATTTTTTAGTATTATTTCATACTTTTTTTTGGTCACTCTGAAACCGAAGCTAGTACTTAACATTTTACATATGACACGCCAACAGAGGCGTTCTCCACGTTTACAGATACATGGGGTCGAATGCTCACTATTGGGGTCGAATTCTCATTCATGGGGTCGAATTATCATGTTTGTTGATATTTTGCTTCTTGTAACTCTGAATCTCGAAGCTGTTATTTAACATTTTACACGGCTAGATAACATTTTACATGTTTACAGATACATGTATCGTATAGAAAGTAAAATGCATTAACAGACCCGCTCTCATTAACAGAATTCTCTCGCGTTGGTATTATTTGATATTTTTGTTTTGGTCACTCAGAATTTCAAATGACTTAACATTTTACATCTGACACGTCTAGAAATCAATTTTACATATACGATGTAATACCCAAAATACCAACATATCGATACTTTATCTGGTATTTTTAATAATCTTTTCTTTTTGGTCACTCTTAATTCCCACGGTCCCAAGTTTTGATTTTTTTTCTGAATGCACCACACAAAGAAAATGCTGAAAAGTGCCGACAAAGTGGAGGAAAAGTCAAGTGTCTGAGTGCCAGATTAGCTGAGACGTTTGCCCGGCCCGCGGAAAGCGAGCCAGACCGGGACCCCCACGCAGCCAGAGGAGGCGTAGAAGCAGGAGTGTGAGAAGGAGAGGGAGAAGGTGGAAAAAGAGGAGTAAAAGGAGGAGGGGCAGCAAAGGATTGGCGGCCACAATGACCACGCAGCGAACGCAGACGCAGATGAGGAGTGCAAACAACTCGGACTCCGACTATGAGACCCTTATGCAGCGCCTCCATATCGGCGCAGGAGGCGGCGGCGGTGGCGTCGGCGCAGCAGGCGGGGGCGTGGCTATGAGAAGCTACCAGCGCTCGCCGGGCGCCATCGAGCACTTTCTGCAGGATGGGCAGCAGCAACAGATGATGATGCAACAGCAGCAACAGCAGCACCAGCAGCAGACTCTGCACCATCAGGACTACAAGCTATACGAGCGCGGCAACATTATCGCCGCCTCCAAGTACGCCACACCCCGGCCCGTGGAGCAAGTGATGATGGGTCACAGTCACAGTCACAATGGGAGTGCGCACATCTATGCGCCCACGGCCCAGGTGCTGGGTCAGCGGATTGCACCCCAGAAGCACTCGCCCGTGTACGAGAACCTCGAGTTCTATGGCCAGTTTGATTCGAACCACAAGCGCGCTCAGCCCCAGAGTCCCGGCAGCAGACAGAGCGCCATGCTCAGCGACTACCTGCTGATGCAGCCCATTGGTGGAGGACGCTTTGCCCACACGCCAGTGCCAGTGGAGAATCCGGGCGGTGCTAGGGGAGCAGCGGGAGGCGGAGGAGGTCCAGGAGGTATGCAGCCGGGCAGATCGATGGCTCTGGGACCCACAGGGGATCTCGAGGAGCATGCAGCGCCCATCTACGAGAACATCATTCCGCATTCGGGCCAGCGTGCCCAGCCGCAAGCATCACCGGCCACCGCCACCATATACCAGGAGATGCAGCCGACGAGCACATCGTCTGGGGGCTCATCCACATCCACCTCCGGCCTGGATCTCAATGCCCTGCTCGCCTCACCCATGCACCAGCGCAGCATTAGCAGCAACACGGCCAGCACCACCGGTTCCCTGGGCTCGCCCACGCAACGCTATAGGAACCTGTCGCTGCCCAGTCATCTCAGTCCAGTGCCCAATGCATCGCAGTCCTCGGTGGCCAAGCTGCAGCAGCACACGCCCATCAAGTCGCCCATTAGCCAAGTCGGTGGCGCCATCAATGTCTCCGTGAATCCCAACTACATCGAGGATATCAACAGCTCCGATTATGTGTGCATGACTGCCAATCTGCATAGGAATACAGCAGCGGGCTTGGCAACCGGCCGAGCGGCGGCCACGGGTGCTATGCCACAGCGCACTGTCCAGGAACCGGCCATGATAACCACTTCTGCTTCAGCGGCGTTGGCTTCAGCTTCGGCGACAGCAACAGCAACAGCGGCAACCATGGCCACCTCTATAGCACCAACCACGGCGGCAGCAACAGCAGCACCGATACCCGCCACTGGATCCCTGAGAGCCACGCCCATTGCTATGACAGCTCCCCTGGCGGTGGCAACATCACCCACGCCCTCGCAGGGCAGTACAGGTGAGAGCTGGAACGAGCTACGGATCTTTAGAAGAGCTAGAATATTCCCAACCAGAAGAAATATATATAAAACAAGAACGCCTGGCTATAGATTAGTAGGTTTTCCTGGATATATATCCTGCTGCTGCTTGGGAATAAAGACTGCTCAATAAACTGATCTATCTTAATCTTAATATCACTTTTTCCCTTTAAAAATATGCTTACCCGCAGCGGTGAATGCCGCCCTGCGACCCAGGAGAGGTAGGCGGGGTAAAGCTTCGTTTCCCGAAAGGGGTTTGGTCCCAGGTTTTGGGGGATCCGGTTTCTGATGAAGTGTTCCTTGTTTTTTACCTGAAATGAGATTCAAGGAATTAAAGTTATTGATTTAAATATAGAGAAAAAATCAAGGAAATACCTGGGCAAATTCCTTTGCCGGCTAATAAATCTTGAATCTTTTTTATTTAATTATTAAATAATTAAGTTTTTAACCTTCTACTTATATGCTTTCTTGCTTATACTATTTATTTATTCATTCATCTGCTGACTAATAACATTTGTTACCCGATGACCTAATAATTTTTTGTCAATTCATATGCAAACAGGTCTTACCAAGAATCTGCTGCCGTATAGCGTCACCCCGCCGCGTCCGGCTGGTCCGACGGAGGCCCAGCGTAAGATCGAGGAGCTAACCCGCCAGCTGGAGGAGGAGATTGAGCAGAGCGAGGAGCATGGCGAATATTTTGGTAACTACAGTAAAAATCAATAATTAATACAAATAGTTAATGAATATTTGATTTCCAGGCATTTGCCACACCTGCGGCGAGAAGGTGAAGGGAGCTGGCCAGGCCTGCCAGGCTATGGGTAATCTTTACCACACCAACTGCTTCATTTGCTGCTCCTGCGGACGTGCACTGAGGGGCAAGGCCTTCTACAATGTGCATGGCCGGGTCTATTGTGAGGAGGATTATATGGTATGAAGCAGGATTAAAGAAACATTCCTCACCAGCTATTAATGTTGTTCTCCCTTGCAGTATTCGGGCTTCCAGCAGACAGCGGAAAAGTGCGCCATTTGCGGCCACCTAATCATGGAGATGGTTCGTAACATTCTCCTCCTGCTCATTCCCTCTCGCATCTCGCTCTATTTGACGCATTCTCTCTGCTCCTCTTGTTCAGATCTTGCAGGCCATGGGCAAGTCGTATCACCCGGGCTGCTTCCGGTGCTGTGTGTGCAATGAGTGCTTGGACGGTGTGCCCTTCACTGTGGATGTGGATCACAAGATTTACTGCGTCAATGACTATCATCGAATGTTTGCACCCAAATGCGCCAGCTGCGGCAAAGGTGGATTGTACCTCGTCTCTATTTTTAATCGAACCAACCTAATAGTTTGTGTTATTCCAGGCATCACACCAGTCGAGGGCACCGACGAAACTGTGCGTGTGGTCTCCATGGACAAGGACTTTCACGTGGACTGCTACATCTGCGAGGAGTGCGGTATGCAGCTAACCGATGAGCCGGACAAGCGCTGCTATCCGCTGGACGGACGCCTGCTCTGCCGCGGTTGCCATTTGCAGCGTTTGGCGTTACAGTCCTCGCCGCATGCCCGCCACCAGGAGCCCGTCTGCGCCTCGTACCAGTACATGGGATAAGGCAACTCCTTCCGACTGAAATCAGAACCCGAACCGAACAAATCTGGAATCTATCGGTATTCCATTTTGTATTCCAATTACCAATATTATTAACTTAAAAACAGACAGAAATGTGAAGACAAAATGCATTTATATACAAAATAGATCGCTTAGTGGGTTCTTGCTTCCTTTTTTTTACTTTTTTAAAGGTAGACAGTGCGAGAGAGATCTATATATATATTAAAGACAATGTGTAATAGGGGATTCCTGAAATATCTGACCATATAATTAATGTGTTCTGGGTCTGCTGTGGTGTTCCATAAGCTATATGTACACATATATATATTATATTATATATATTAGTATCCGGTGTCTCAAATATATTGCAATAAAGTATTTTATTCGAAAGTTCTGGCAGTCTTGTTTTCATTTTGGATCGATATTTAATTGTATTTTCTTATTGTAAATGCATAGAGCTCGTTTCGTGACCCGTAAATTATACATCTCGCATTTTTGCATATTAAATGTTAATTTCGAAAAGAAAAATAAAATTCTCGCCAATTTGTAAGGAATTTCCTTTAATTTAAACCACATTCTTCTTCGATTTGTTCAGCAAAACGTTAGTGTTCATAAATAATAAAGCAAACAAAAAGTGTAACTAGATAATTCCAAATTAAAAGCATCCTCATATTTGAATAGATAGAGGAAAGGTCCCACCCAGCCTTAGAGCATAAGGATCTCCAGCTGGAGGAGACGCTGATTGATGGCCGCTGGCATGCGGTAGGGAACACTCGCTGCCATATTGGTGAGCGCCTTGGCCCTGCCACGCAGATGACGGAGGACAGCCTCTCGGTTCTCATCCTGAGTCTCGTCGACGTTGCCATTTTCCGAGCCACCACGCTGCTCCACATACTCCGAATATACAATGTTCATGGCCGCCATGATGACCTCGGGCAGCACCTTGATTATCTCTGGACCCATGCGCTTCAGATTCGTCACGCATTCGTCGACTTCGTTGGAATTGGACGGCACCAGACGATTGTTGGCCAGGATTTCCGAGGCCAGACGTGTTTCCCCCTCGTTAACGAGATCAAAGAACTCCATTAAACGAGACAGTGTTCTGTATGTGATCATCACATGGGCCTGCACGTCCGTTTTACGTTCCCCTAGTGCCATATCCATACGATGAATGATATGCGTCAGACGCTCCCGCATGCTGCCCGGACGCGTCGCCTGGTGGACCACCTGCGCGAGCAGGGAACACACCAAACGCAGAGCCTTGTCCAGCTGACCAGCTATGTAGTAGAGCTTGATGGCCGACTCGAAGTTGCTGCGATCGGCGAGCTCGTCGCCCACCATGCCCGCCAGCGAGTACATGTCATAGTCCATGGTATGGAACTCGTCAAAGATGCCGCCCGTGAAGCCATTATAGTTCTGGTCGTCCTCAACGCCGAATATCAGCGTCAGCATCTCGTCGTTGCAGTTCTCCACGAGTAGATCACAGACACAGGTGAACATGGCATTGGGGCCACGGTACTCGGTCTTGAAGTGGCGCAGCAGGTAATAGTACTGCAGGGCCTGGGAGGTGTCCGTTCGCTCGAAACACTTGGCATACAACACAACAAGACGCACCAGGTTGAGACGCTTCATTGGCGCAGGATCATCCGGTTCGGCGCTGAGCAGTGGTTCATTTATCGATTTGGGCGTTCCCAGCAGACACATCTCGTTCAGAGCAATGGCCATGTGTACGGCGTGCGTAATGGTGGTCTGATTGCGAGCGAGGAACTCGATGGCGGACTCAAACTGGCCAGTGAGGGCCAGGACCTGGAAGTATAGCGGCGCCTTCTCCCTGGCATTGAAGTAATTCTCGCCATACTTCTCCAGGATGAGTGACTGCAGGCCGCTATATGTAAGCTGCTCGATGTTATAGTCTCGCTTCTCATGCTCCCGCAAAATGGACAGCTGCATCCATAGGAAATCATCGATGGTGCGTATCAGTTCCGCATGGCCGTCGTGTGGATCGCAGGCCAGTACGATGGCATAAACGGCCTTCTTGTACGGATCACTGCAGACGCGCAGCTTGTTGTTGTAGTCCAGTTTCAGCTGTCCCTCGAGCTTAGTGGTCGCCGATTTCTCCGTGGTGTTGTCCCCCAAACGCTGCAGCGTCATTAGCTTGAGGAGCTCGGTACAGGTGCCTGATTCCTTGAGGAACTGCACAGCTGCACCCAAATCGCCGCAGCGCAGACTGTAGTAGATATGCGGCCACAGCGGCTTGCCGTTGTTGTCCACATTAAGCAGGCCGACGCGGGTATGGCTCTGTTGGAACTGAACACTCACATAGGAGCAGACCAGATGGTAGACGTTGGGAATGCCACCGCGGTTGGCAACCACCAAATTACTTTCAGTGACGGCGTTCATGTAGATCTTGTAGCGGCATTCCAGATATATGCGAGCCTGCTTGATAAACTCCGGAGCCATCTGGCGGCAATGTATGGGATCGATGTTGCGCGACATGGGCGTCACATTGGCCATGTAATTCAGCACATTCCACATCTCGGTGACCAGCGGATCGTCGAATTTCTCTCTGGCAAGTGTAGCAAAGGTAGCCACCAAGTTGGTGCGATGGCCGCCCTGGATGTGTGATTCGTTGTAGGATGTAATTTCCTTGGCGTACAAATTCTCAAAGAGACTGAGACGGGAGTACGGCGATGGCTCGTCGGGCAGCTCCGTGGCCACCATTTGGCGCTGCACGTCGGGGAAATCCTGCTGGTTAGCACCAACCAGGGCATTGAGCAACGATTCCTTCATGTTGCCCCAATCACTGTAGATGCTGCGCCACTTTTGACGCTCCACGGAGGAGTAAATCTTTAGGAATATATTTGTCAGGACTGGGATTCACCACATTCGCTTTTGACTAAACTTACATTGCGATTGGTCTCTTCAATGACGCTCAGTATGGTGTTCTCTCGCTCGTTTTTCAGATAGCCCTTGACATCGGTTTCCTGGATGGGATCAAGCGGCTCGAGGAAGTTGCGAGCGCTGAGCGTCTCTAGCTTATGGATCATCTTGGGCAGGTCCACGCCCTTGGAGCCGAGCAGGATGTGGCTGCGGACGGAATAGAGGGTGTCCTTGAGCCTCCAGGTGTAATGGGTGTGCTTGTTCACTACTTACGCCTGCAGATCATTGGTGCCGGTTTGGGTGACACGCGCGTGCATCTCCTGGGTGGCCTGCAACACCTGCGACAAGGTGCGCTCCACGCGCGGCAGATCCGTCTCTATCTCGGTCTCATTTACCAGGCGCTGGGCCTGCTGCAGCAGCTCCGCCAGATCCATCGTGGATAGGAAGAAAAGCCGGGAAAAAATTACAAGCGGGGCACACGCGAAGCTTCTTGTACCTGCTAGTGTGACCAGTGGGTTGCGGACCACAGAAGGCCAGAAGCGCGTCGAACCGATGTTTTCGTGCGATATTTCGCACCCAACAAAAGTATTTTAGATATTTGTAACAAAGATGGCAAGAGAGATTCGCCTGTTGATGTTGATCAACAATAAATATGGTTTATAGGGTCAGAAATGACCTTCCATCCTTTCCTTACTGAAAGTATAATACCCTACAAAAGTATAAATATACTAAATCACACCTGTAAAACTGCGACTGAAAAACATACCAAAGATATGCAGGCGCTTGGCCATTTTTAGTGCCTCAAAGTCGCAGTATATCTGAGCGTGCCGGCGACGGTCACTCCAATTTACATTCGGCTTCGCAGCGCGCAAATCAGCGGCATATTTTTTTTCCGTCTCTGCCTCCTCCGAGAAATACTGTGTGTGAGTGGTGTTTGTGTGTGTATTGGCAAAGAAAATTAGCACAACAAAACAAAAGCGAAAAGGAATCGAACAGAAGCACGCACTTTGTCGTCTCGTCACGCGGATAAAACTTTTCGATCGGAAGTCGCCCCCAGAAGTCAACTCGAACGACAATGTCAGCCGCCGACGGTGAAGCGCAGCAGCAGATCCAGGAGACAAACGGAGGCAGCAAATTCGATGTGCCCGAGATAGAACTGATCATAAAGGTGAGGAAAAGTCGACAAAAAATTATGTCTATATCTGCATACATATTTTGCGGTACGCTTTGCATACACACAGTCGGCGTACAAGTGTGTGTGCCGTGTGGTTTTCCATTTCGCTCTGCGCAAATTTCCATGCAGAGTGAAAATGCAGCAGAAGCAAAAGCAAACAAAGCCAGGGCACAACAACAATAAACCTTAAAAAAAAACACACAAACTGCTGTTCTGCCTCTTCCTAGTCTTCGCTTTTTGCCCGCTTCTTTCTGGCATTTTGCAGTGTGTCACATTTGGTTAAAAAGAACAGAATATGATGTTCTCACTCTCTCCCTCACCCCCACAAGCCCCGCTTTATCACATTGGTCACCCGTTTCACGTTCTCCGTTTGCCCCGTTGCCCCGTTGCCCCGTTACCCGTTCTTTGCTGTAGTTTCTAAGCATCGCCAAAACCGGTTTCCTTTGCGCCTCTTCTTCTTCCTTGCTCCCTATCGTGCACACACAAGCACACATGCAGAAACTGCACAGAGCGAAATAACTTGGATATTCTTGCAGAGATCGATAAGAAAGCTTTTAAGTACGTTTCTTATGGATCTTATTAATAAGTATTTGAATAGTTCTTCATAAATAGTATATTATGACTTGATCTTCGATCTCTAGGAACGGGTGCCCCTTAAACGATCATGTGTTTATTGTTTCCTCTGCAACTATGTATGTGCATGTATGTTTTTATAACTTCTGTATGTGTGCGTGCGCACAAAGTCTGCTAATTCTGGAACGTAACATATTTTCTGTGGCTCTCTTATCTGTTATAAACTTTAATCACATTTCATTGCGCCAATTGCTCAACAAATGCTGCTCCCTCCCCTTCTTCCACATACACACTTCCCCACACTCCAAGCCCCAACCACAACTCCTCCTCCTCCGCTGCCGGAGACCCTTTCTCGGTGTGCGGTGTAGTATGTGTGAATTGGTGGGTTTTTTTATCTTTTAGTGATTTCTAAATTTCTTGACGCATACGTCATGCCCCTCCGAAAGAATCGAAGAAATAACAAAAACAACAAAAGAGCTAGCACCTACATTTGCGGTCACAATGCTAGGCAGTCATAATTAAGATCTTTTGTTTTGTTAAAACTTGAAATAAATTAAGGGAATATAAAAAGATCTATGAAAACCATTGCAAATTTGAAGGGAATTTCTTGGAAAAGCATAGGTTTTAGCAAAGAATTAATGTAGAGTTAACTTAAGCTAAATGAGTCAAACGGGAATCTTATTTTTACCATTCCTTGATGTGAGCTTTCAATTTAACCGCATTTGTAACTCGAGCATGACTCTCTCGGTTCTGTTGGTTCCCACTGTTTGCCAAAGTAATTGTAATTGTTTTCGAAACACTTTGGAGCCCAGTGCCGTTGCCGTTTCTGTTGATTCTATTGGCAAACTCGACCTGACGACTCTCGACGACTCAACTTAACCACTCATCCAGCCCACGCAAATGGCGGCCGCACCTCGCGAGTCGTCTGCCCGTGACTAATCCCCCCTCGGCCTTCCAGTGCCCCTCCAGGCCCCGTACCATTACCATTATAATATTATTTTTAAACAATTCCATTCCCCAAAAAACTAACAATTGGAATGAGCAATCCAGTGAGTAAGGAAAGGTATTTCTTTCTGAAAGGAAAAATTCGTGGGTTCTTTACAATGGAATACTATGGTGTTTAAAAGGGATGGGATATAATGTACAATGATTCATAAGATCAAGTTATTTTAAGCTTTCATTATATGTAGTCATTGGTATAAAGTATTCGAAGTTAGTACCCCTTTTCCATACCCATTTCGCAGAGAGGAAGAAAAGGTAATCCTTGGGTTCCTTATACTAGAATCTAATGGTAATATTGCTTCATTAAATAAAGTTATTTAAAGCCTATACTATATAGAGAGAGAGTACAAAAGTACCTAAAGTCGGTATCTCCCCTTCCATTACCAAATTTCAAATGCAATGAGCAATGACCAAAAATTTGTCTGTACAGAGAGCTCCGCTCCCTTTTCCTGTTTTTGTGGGAGAAAGTGCTTGCCGCACCTGTTGACTCTTGCTGTTGTTGTTGCTGTTGCCGTTGTCATCTCACCTGAATTTTCGGCTGGAAAACTTTTCCAGAAGAGCTTAACGAACAAACAGAAGCATCTTTGACATAACTTTACAACAAGCGGCAACGACGCACCATCACACACAGTCTTCATTCCGTACAAGGCGCACTACGTGAAAAGCCATTTCCATTTCCATTTCCATGTCCAATTCCCAGCGAAAAAAGTGAAAGTTCAATTTGCAGCAAGCCAGAGGAAAGCCAAGCTTCAGCTTAAGACGAAGCTATATATAAATATATATACATGTGTATTCCTATAGCCCCGGATCGTGGTGGCATGCCTCTCTGTTCCGCGCGTGCAGGCAACAAACAAATACAAATGTGTTTTCTTGTTTCGTTTGTTCGCTTCGAGAGGGGAAACAAAACAATCATTGAACGCTAAACAGGTTTTTCTCGTGCCCGCTTTTCCGCCTCCTTGGCTTGACTTTAGCTTCAGCTTCAGCTTCAGCTTCAGCTTTGGCTTTGACTTGGAAAAGCAACTCCAACTCCAACTCCATGTCCAAAGCCAAAGCCAATGGCTTAGCCGCGAGTCATCGCCCACGCGAGAGTTCCAGAAATTGGCCATGCCATCGAATCGAATCAAAACAAAGCGGCAATCAAAACAAATAGCAATCCAGAAGCACACAGTAAAAAATTAATACGATTCCCAGGAAGTTCTAGAGAAAAATTCCAAAGCAAATAATGATGAATACTATTTAAAGATACATCCAAGAACTTCTTCTATCTGAGGCTTAGGATCTTCAATTTACCTCTCTGTCCGTTACTTAAATATAACGTATGATAGGTATTCTTTATAATATTAACCTTCTGAAGCTGGAATACTCTTTCTTCCTTACTTCTCTTATGAAAACTTGAGCTAATTTAGTGCCTTTTGTTGGGCTCTCAACAACGCCAGCAATTGTTGTGGTCCAAGTTGTGTGCCGCCTTGAGGAAAATGCGCCGCTTTGTTGCCACTCGAGTTGCATTCAAGATGAGAGCTGAGGAGCTGGAGGAGCTGGAGGAGCTGGAGAGCTTGAGGAGCTGGAGAGCTTGAGGAGCTGGGTAGCTAGAGGTGCTAGGGAACTGTGCAGCTGTAGAGCTGAGGAGCTGGAGCTCCATGTACTTGAATGTGCTGATAAACACAGTACCCGCTCTCTCATATTAAAAGCCCTTCGGGTCTTCTTTTTACACAGAGAAAATAAAACAAATAAAAATCACTTGTTGGATTGAATGGTGTCATATCTATTTTTATAACCCAACTGCGCAGTGATGGAGTCATTTCCGACTCTATAAATCATATATAATCATGTCCGGTAGAAACAAAATATTTATCCATATATTTGGAAATATTTTAACCCTAGCTATGATCGAATTATATTTTTCACAAGACCTTAATTTGGTTTATTAGTTTTGTAACTATTTGCAGTCATACCTATTAATATTAATCTACTGAGTATAAATTTATTATAAGCACCTCTCATAAATAAATTTTATGATGTCTGTTTTCGTTTTTAAGCCCTCCCTTCAGACTCTATTTATAAAACATGACCTTCTTACATGGAAATTCATTAAGTAACTCATCATCTGTGAGTGATTTTGAGTTACTGCTTAAGTCTGCTTTGGTTTCTTAGACACTAAACATATTTCTTTTCTTGTATTTTTTTAACCAAGATAATTTGCAATAATTATTCTTCTCTTGCAAGTATGTGCCAAAGTGTTGTGGTTCTTAAGACACCTCCACGTGCTTCTACCTGTGTGTATGCGTTGGTGTGTGACTGACATTTAAGCACGCAAAGGCTTGTCATCCTCCTCCCACTCCCACACCCTCTCCCCCACCCCTTTTGCCCACCTGTAAAATGCATATTGTGGGTGGCAACTGTTGTTGTTGCTGTTTTTGTGTTTATCTCGTGTCGCCTGCTGCTTTAATTACCTTTCGCAACTCGTGCATTATTTGGTATCAGTTGATTACCTAACGCCTTTACCTGTTGTCCAACTGGAATAGCAATTAACCCAGAAGAGTTCTGAAAAGATATGTAAACATAATGAATTCTACAATTCTACAAGAGGATAGATCCCTAAGGGATATATTTAGTTTATCTGAGCCTGTCATAGTGCTCCCCCTCTGGGAGTTCTCCCTCTGTTCCCTGGTCTTGGAAAACCCATTAGCCTCATTACCAAATAACTTGTGGGCCAAGATATGCAGACGGCTGACTTCACCTGTGAGCAGCACTTTGCCTTGATTGTATTTCTATTATTTTGGCCATTACTTCATCGCGTCCACACACTGATGATCATCACCATCATCATCATCGTCGTCGTCACCATCCTCATGGCGATAACTTCCGCCGCTGGGTTCCAGATAAGATATGGAATGTGTGCGCTCGTATGTGGCCCAGAAATTGGGCGACCAAGTGCAAAGAAAGCTTCTCCCCACATAGCTCCCACTTAGCTCAAGGTTGACATCTGCCCTCGCCAGAGATCCGTGGATGATCACGAACCGAAAAGAAAAATTATTGCGCTGCAGCTGTCAGCATTGAGGGACCGACCAGGGAGCGGACCCCGGTTCAGTTCGGTTCCAAAAATAAAATCCCAAAGCAAACAGTCAACAAAAATATAGCCACTATTTCCACTAAATTCATTTTCGGCTTATTTATGATTTCTTGTTGTCGGTCGGTTGGTGGGTTGGTGGGTGGGTTGTTTCGTTGCCTGTTGTCTGGTTGGTTGCAAAGCCAACAAAATTTCATTTTATTTGATTTGACTTTTTCGTTTCCATCTTTATCTTATCGGGCCACGAATTGTACAATTGAAAGGAAAACAAATCGAAGATGTTGAGTGCGCCCCACAATATGTCTGAGTATATGTTTGCCTACAGTCAAGGTGGAAATATTAGTGGCCTACATTAGAGCAGATGAATTTAATTGGTAGCTGTAAGAGTTATACAAATTTATATTCATTAAAATAGGGAACCTCTAGGGCCTCCGGGGGCTCTGACTGATCACTCCTGCAAGGACTAACTAGATCACTCTTTGGTTGATTTAAATTTAAACCAGGAACAGATCAATCTTTGTTTAAAATCTAACTAAACTTAAATCTAACTAACACTAATGCTCCTATTCTATTTTAAAGTTTTTTAGTATATATGAAGATATAATATTTTACCTAATACCTTATTTAATTTCCCATTTTCCAAATTAAAGTATGATTATTATTTTCGAATATTATAGTCAAAGATTTCTATAAGTCTGATCTCACCTGTACTCAAACTCACTGCCATAATAGATTTATTCCGCAATCGAAATTGTATTTTAGAGAAATAAGCTAGGTATTTATTTTGCTTGCGCGGCTTTTATTAGCCAGATGTGCCACAGCCATATAAGTACATATAACGTATATAGTATATATCTCTGAGGCGTGCTGTGTGTGACACTTGACATTTGCTAACTGCTTTTCGCGTCTTCTGGCCTTCCTGCCTCGTCATTTCTATTTTGAAAGCGCCAATTGCAGCCGTGGTCTCTGTATCTCAATCTCTAGTTTCTAGTATCTGTATCTCGAACTGTATTTGTAACTGTATCTGTATCTTTGAGGCATGTATATATGCATCCGTGTGGACTCTCGACTCGCAATGATTGCCTGAGTGACTCCAAGCGACCTTTTGACGTTGCCACACATCGTGGTCTCCGATCTCCACTGCCAATTGCAGCAACTCATTCACATATATATATAGCTTGAACTGTGAGATATCCAAGGCTACAAGGTACTAAGTGATTTCAGTAATACGTTTCCCAGAACATATAGAATCGATCCATACCCAAGTTAAAAGAATTGGGTCAAGAGTGGAAGCCAGAGACTATCAAAAACAGCGAATGGAATGTCGAAAAGTAATCCGTGTCAGTTGGGAATTTATGGAATCTCGTACGTGTTACCATTGCGTACAGTTAATAACACACTATAACCCCATATGCCATGCTTCGTGCCAGCACAAATGAGCACCGTTTAAGCGCCGCGCCAGAAATTGATACGGAAAAACCGCTCCCACAACTATTGTGCGTTTATGTGGGCTGGAAAATGGGTTGGGTTGGTTCACTTCAGTTCCGTGTAGTTTGGTTCAGTCATTAAGCCATTTAAACACATGCAGAGGGCAATGCTAATTAACTCCTTATTCGAAATAATATTTTAATTGTCTGCAATTGAGGCGTAAAATTCAATTTACATAAACGCTCAGTTGACGCCTCGTTATCAAATCCGATTTCATTGAGATAAATATAAATGAGAAGGGGAAAATGTATGATTTATACGGTTTTATTATCACAATTTTAGCTAAAATTCAATGAAGGAGTCATTTGCGACCCTATAAATCATATATATTCTTCATCAGCATCAACAGGCGAATCGATCTAGACATGTCTGGTAAAAATTTAATTTTTTCAAAATTTTGAAAATTTTATAAGGGGTTACATCATTAAAATTGTGAAAAATTGGCAAAATTTTCAATTTCTTTAAATATTAAATGTAGTATGCAGATTTGTTCGGCTAATAAAAACTAACACAGCCCCGTTAACCGATTTAAGATTAATGCATTTTTGGCTAAGTTATGCTATTTTTAAATTTAGAAATTCCCAACCAATTTTCATATGAAAATATTTCGATTTTCGTTCTCTTTTTAATTAAAACTAAACAGAGAGTGTGTTTTGTAGTCCATATTTTCCAAGCTCTGAATTAGATTTGCTGTTAATTGCCTATAATGATTGATATAGACTCATTTCTATGGCTTCACGGTGTTGACCCAGTCTTAAAAACTTAAAGTGGCCTTGTACAAATGATCATTTTCAAAAATATAATTAACTTTGGCATGGCATTTGTGGACTATTATATGTATATATCGTATCTGCAATTAATTAGAGTTAAATGAGACCTAATATTTAATAATTTAATATGTAATATTCAATGTTTCTCAGTTTGCTTTAGAGTTTTATTTATAGAGTTTCGAATGTCAAACTCCTTTCCTCACTCGCTGACTAACTGACTGACTTAGTGACAGCCTTGTTCTTGAACACAGTTTTTTATATTTCTATATGTATATATTTTCTGTACTATCGTTGGTAATTACTGGTACAACTGTGCCGCTTGGCTTATCTAACGAATACGCGTATGCACACAACCCGTATATGCACATAAGCCGGCGAAAACGGCAATACAATGGCAATAGCAATGGCAACAGCAATGGCAACAAAAATAAATAATAGCAGCGGCAAAAAAGCAATGGCAACAAATTAAAAACAACAAAAAGTATAAAAAAAGGAAGGCAGGCAACGGCAATCAACAAGTAAACTTCACACACACTGCTGATGACATCATCATCATCATCACCGCATCGACATCGTCACTTGATGTGCTTTTTTGTTGCTGTTTCTGCTGCTGCAGCACTAAGCTACAGTGGACATTGGCTAAGAGATATTGTCAAATAAAGGAAGCCATAGGTAATACTATAGTATTACTGGAACTGATCAGCCTCTTTAACTTTAGATACTTTTCGTTCCTTAAGGATTTCAGTCTTCCAGACTTTGGCTAACTGATGTGTTGGTTGAGAATTAAACAGACTAATCAGCAAGCTTATAAATATAGTAAATCGTTTTAACCCTTTGATATATAAACATTTCGTAATCTATAAAAGTGGTTCTCCATCCCAAGCTGAACTTTCCCTTGACTAAAGCTCAGATTAGCTTGATATACCTTAAGATGCTAAGAGCGGTCTATCCAAACCTATTTCCCCTGTAGCTATATAGTCTCTTCTCTATCTATCTATCTATCTATCTTTGTATCTTTTCATCTTTCTATCTGTGTATCCACAAATGTTATGTTTATGTATCTCCTCTCGGGCTCTGGCCTTGGCAGTGCAGCGATGCAGAATTCTCTCGTTTGGCTTGGATTGGCTCTACTGCTGAGCGTCTTGGGTCTTGGGTTGCCGCATCCGGTCCCTAAAACCGTCGGGTAAACACACAAAGCACATCACGCGACGCCTCGATGATGTCACATGATGATGGGCATGGAAATTATGTTGTTTTATTTCGTTAAATTTTGTTTGATTTATTTATCGGTAATTGCTGGCACGCGAAGCGTTCACATTCCTGGACACTGGGCATTATATGAAAGTCAGCCCGGAACGCCCATTAATTGACCAGTTGCCCGTAAATGTGACCCACATTAACGCCTAATGGTATCGCTGACAGCAACCTCATATTTAAATTCCACTTATTTAAATGGCCTGTTTATAGAATCTAATAGAAAAAGCACCTACATAATGGGGAATAATTATTGAAATATATTTTTAGGAAAGTAGGCGTGAATTCCTGATAATTTCCAATAGGAAATACCTTTTAACATTAACCTGAAATTTAATAAAATGTATTATTATCCCATTTATATTTATACATACTAATGATTTTGATTTTCTTTTAGGCCAGCACCATCGATGGAAGGCGAAAGGGTGCCTGTCTGTTCTGCCAGGAGTACTTCATGGACCTGTATCTGCTGGCCGAGCTTAAGACGATCAGCTTGAAGGTGACGACGGTGGATATGCAGAAGCCACCGCCCGATTTCCGCACCAACTTTGAGGCCACACACCCGCCCATCCTGATCGACAATGGGCTGGCCATACTCGAGAATGAGAAGATCGAGAGGCACATCATGAAGAACATACCGGGCGGCTACAATCTCTTCGTGCAGGACAAGGAGGTGGCCACCCTGATCGAGAATCTGTACGTCAAGTTGAAGCTGATGCTGGTGAAGAAGGACGAGGCCAAGAACAATGCCCTGCTCACGCACCTGCGCAAGATCAATGATCATTTGGCTGCACGTAATACGCGGTTCCTTACCGGCGACACCATGTGCTGCTTCGATTGCGAGCTGATGCCGCGACTCCAGCACATTCGTGTCGCGGGCAAGTACTTTGTCGACTTTGAGATCCCGGTAAGCAATGGGAGAGGGGTACTACCGAAAGTACTATGAGTACTGATAAACCCACAATAAACGGGTTTTAATTTATATTTATAGACATTGAGGGAATCGATTATTGATTATTCACATCCTATGAGTCACTACTAATCCTCCTTCTCACTCCTTGCAGACGCACTTGACGGCGCTGTGGCGCTACATGTATCATATGTACCAGCTGGACGCCTTCACACAATCGTGCCCGGCCGACCAGGACATCATTAATCACTACAAGCTGCAACAGGTGCGTATCTGTGGCTAGTTTTCCCCCAAAACTATCTTTTCACCAACTTTAGTTTTCTCTTCCCCCCATGTGTAGAGTCTCAAAATGAAGAAGCACGAGGAGCTGGAGACGCCGACGTTTACCACATCCATTCCAATTGATATTTCGGAGTAGGTTTCCTATAGAAAGCTGAGCTGAGCGGAGCAGAGCAGAGCCATGCAGCCACACATCAATTAATAATATTTTGGACAACTTTACAAGCAAGCTGACACACTCTGAGCTAGAACTATACATAAATGTATACTTATCGGATATAACTACCCACGCATATACTATATATATATACCGAATATATATATAACGAGTAAATATAACAAGCATAACAACAACAAGTGTTCTTTAAGCAGCCGCGTTGCCTTTTCTTCAGCTATGCTTAATTTAAACCCTATTTAAATAGCAACCAAGCAGACTTTTGCGTGTACTTTTTTTTTGTTTAAATCATTAATGAACCATTTGTGTTTGACATACGAATGCGCGTACATACTAACATTTATGAAAATGTCAATTAAACTAATGGGTTGCCTGTAGTAGTGCCGCTTCTCGGTTTTATATTTTATTTTGTATTCAGCAAGGAGCTTTTATTTATTTTATAATTTTTTTTATTTTGTCATTCTGTAAATCTGTTTTTTTTTCTTATGATTTTAATTTTGAAATTTTGCCATTTTGTTTGCTTATAATTTTTATTTGAATATTTTTATCATAACAAGGAAAACTACAAAAAAAGGAAAAATAAAAAATATAAGAGGAAAAGAAGAGTATTTTTTGTATTTAAGTGAAAAATTATAAATAAAAAACACAAAAAGACAAACATTGTATTTTTTAATGATTACTAATTGCTTTTTACGACAAGAAAAAGGGAAAAGTTCCTGGGATTGTTAAAAAAGAAATGCAGGCAGAACGCACTCGACATGTACATGGGCTTTGCGCTGTAGCATCATCTGAGCTAAGCTGATCTGAATTTTCTTTTCATTCTAGAGGTTATTTAAATTAACGATTTTAAATTATTTTTGGTATAAATATGCGCAATTGTTGTCCGAATGTTGGTATTTTTGAACAGCTGATTTAACATCACAGCTAAGCTTTAACAGGCCACTAGTTGCGCCTAACAGCACCCACGGTGGCCGTCCACCTGCTGTTGCTGTAGTGAATTCCAAAGTTCGTTTTTACATCATTTGAAACAAGCGTCAAAATAACTTTAATTATTACTATTTCGAAATAAACTACTATCCTGCTGTGCGCAACATGTCCTTGGCCACCGCCAGCGGCGTGTGGCAGCTGCTGACAAGTCGCACAGCGCCTCTGCTGTTACGCCACCTGGGTTCCTCCGCTACGCCGAGGCGAACGGAGGACCCACGCGTCCTGACCGCTGAAGAATATGCGAAGCTACTCGAGCCGGAGGCGCAGCGTAGATGTCTGGAGAAGATGCGCAGCCTGCCGGCCTTTCCGCGTCCCAAGGCGCTGACGCCCAGTCGGCGGGAGAAGCAAACGTCCGCGGTGCTCATCCTACTCTGCCAGGAGCGGGGCACGTAAGTGTTATGCCAAGCTGTGTTTCCCCCCTGCTCTCTAACAAGCTGTGTATCCTTCTAGTCATGAGGTATCCCTGCTATACACGCGGCGATCACGACATTTGCGCAGTCACAGCTTTCAGATCTCCTTTCCCGGCGGCAGGCGGGACGAGGAAGATGCAAGCCATGCGGACTGTGCCCTGCGCGAGACTGAGGAGGAGGTTGGTTTGCCGCGCCACCGCATCGAGGTGTGGGGTGAGTCCTGCCAGCTGCACTTGCCGCGCACCTCGTTGATTGTGCCGGTGGTTGGCATGGTGCGCGACTTTAGCATTTCGGAGCTGCGTCTCAACTTGGAAGAGGTGGAGGAAGCGTTCAGTGTGCCGTTGAACTCGCTGATTGTGCCCAAAGCTACCCGGCACACGCAGTTCCGCAGCGGTTACAGTGGACCCGTCTTTGTGGTGGATCACCACAGAATCTGGGGTATCACCGGCTACCTGACGCACATCTTTCTGCGTAGCCTGCTGCCAGCCAATATGATGCCCGAGTGCCTCAAGACGAACATCAAGTATGTGAGACCCTTCAAGCTGCCGCCCCGACCGCCTCATCACAAGGAGTCACAGTCGGATCCCTCAATGCGTACCTGAGAGGCGATGTCCTCGCTTGCAACCCCACAGACAACGCTCCAACTCAGGCTGTGCCCGATGTGATTGGGCCAGAACTCGGAGCCGCCGCACGCTAGGCTGAAAGTGATTGTGTTCTTGTATTAAGTATACGTTTTTAATATGCGCCCAACTCGATACGTTGATATTGTAGCCATTTACAAAGTAAAGCTGTTGTCAGTTATAATCATGTGAGAAAGCTTAAGACGACTGAGGAACTCCTATAGCAGATCTTGCAAAATATTTATTTAACTCCAGCCGAAAGGTAATTTTTTTTTATGTAACGAGAAAAGGGATGATCGGTTGCCCTTTGTTTCAGTAGTCTTCACATGCTTGACCAAAAAGAGGGTCCATATGTCCAGGCTTGTTTCTTCCTTTTCCAATCATCCCATTGAACAAAACGATGATTACAACGGTAATCCATAATTGGATAGTTATCAAAACTATTGTGACCCGCTGGCTGAAGGCAAAGGCTGGGCCGAGTTGTCAGCCGGCTTGAAGAGGCGTCGCATAGCCTCGGGTAGTTTCTTGACGATGGCAGAGATCTGCTGCAATTCATCCTTCATGGATTGGCACGCCCTTTCGAGGTGTTTCACGCGATGCTCGTACATTGTGATCATTGAGTCCTTTGCCTGGCACTCTCGAGCAAGCTCCTCGTAGCGAGTGAACAAGATCATCCTGGAGGTCACCTGGACGACGTTGTCTTGCTCCACTGGTTTAGCTTTGTCGTGGCTCTGCGCATCTTGCTCCAGTCCCTTGGCATCTTCGTCATGCTCAGTGTCCGCACCTTTCTTCTCGAACGATGCAATCTGGTCCTGCCGCTTAGCAACTCTGCGCTCCTGCTGTTTTCGGAGGCGGATCAATTCGTAAATAAGTACCTCAATGGCGCCATGCGATCCTTTTGCCAAAAGCTCGATAAAATTCTTGTGGAGCGACATGTTGTGTCGCGACAAGAACTTAAAATTGAATGCCTCCCAATTTTCGGTTTTTAGCGAGATGCGGTTTCGCTTTGGATAATTTACGAGATCGATCTGCCGGGGAAAGTCACGCTGCAGTATCTCAGCCAATGGATAGACATCAGAGAACTGTCGTCGTACTTTCGGAGAGTCCGCGTTCTTTTCACGTAGCCACTCAAGAACCTCCCGGTGTTGGTCCTCGCTTAGCGTTTTGAATATTATGGTATACATAATTTTGAAATACGTAGGCGAATACTTTGTAGAATGAGATACGAAAATGGGTACGAAAGTTTTAGCCTCTGCTCGAAATAAAACTTTATGTGATGTGTTCGATGTTAGAAGGTAAACTGAAATGAGGCTATATCCCACATGCCCACAACTGCTAGAAATGGAGTCGGAGGGAAAATGAAATGTGGTTCATGGCATACTTACAATTTGGAAACATCTTAAATTGATCATTACTGTTTATTATTATTTTCTACGTTAGCATCAAGCCGCTCAAGTTGATGTTGTTCGCGGATTCCTCCTCAATGCAAAGTTGAATTTGAAGGGTGTTCCCGTGCTGCTTTGTGAGAAACCGGAAGCCTGAACTGGCTGGGGCGTGGAGACGCCGCTGTTCTTATTATTGTCGGCGGTGGATGGCACGGCAAAATCGAAGCGGAAATCTTTTCCAGATGTCAACAGCGCCGACTTCTTCACGAAACTAGACTTTTTTGCGGCTGCAACGGCAGGTGTGAACTTGACTTGCTTGGAAGCTGCAAAAAGAAAACGGTTTAATAGATGAGTTCAATTTAAAGGGCCGTCCACCTACCCAACATCATCTTCTTTTCCTCCTGCTGCATCTTTGCCCGGTAGTCGCCCATGGATAACTTCATCACCTGCCGCTTTCTGATCAACGGCGCCGTCGAGCTAGTCAGGATTTTGAGGTTCTTGGCGGTGTCTTCGGCTAAAAGGAGGTGTCAGTAATACTGATCGTCTGGCGGAAAGTTGAACATGCTTTGCTCACCAAGTTTCTGGCTCAATTTGCCGCCGTTGAGGGCATCCTGCAGTTGCTGGACGCACCAGCACAGCTCCAGTTCGAACTGCACGCCGTCGGGCGACGGTGCAGAGTCCTCTACCGGTTCTGCTATGGGAACAGTCTTTTTAGGGGGACCTTGAATGGGCGGCGGTTTGCTCAGCGTCTTGGGTGTTCGTCGTCTATGCATGTTTATGGAAATTTACGACTTATTGTTATTTCTCTTAATGTTCAATGTGCTCGCCGCTGGGTGGCAGAGTGACCAGTCCAGCTGGCCAAAAAAGTGCTAAAAGGAGCACTTAGTGCCAATATAAAAGAATCAGCGCCTCAGAAGTGATATTTGGCAGTTATTTAATAAAATTAATAAAAAATAACTCAGATAATTATCAACTTTACATAACAATAGATTAGCATTCAAAACTAAGAGGATTTGGACAATTGGAAAGAGCTCGATGGTACGGCGGTATTTTTTAGAATATTTTGTGAATAAATACCAAATTAAAGCTATCGAATCGGTTTTGTTTCACGCATGCGCTCATCTATATTGGGAACACATCCAGGTCATTCGTTCTATTCCTGCGAGGTTCCATGAGTTCCACCGGCAACCTCAGCGGCTATCACATACCCCACCTGGCGCCAGGAGACACTGCGAGTGGAGACCTGGACGACCAGTCACTGAGAGGTTCTCCAACACCACCGCCGGTGGTCGGGGCCGAAAACCCACGGCTCCTGGCACCCGGCAAACAGAGTACAGCACCTGGAGGAGAGCCAACGTCAAGTACGAAGTCGACGAAACCACAAAAGCGGAAGGCCAATGGAGAGGCTACCACCGGTGTGGATGATGGCAAGACCCTGGCCCTATTCCCTGGACGCGACAAGAGCTATCCAGACGAGCTGAACCGGCTAATCGGACCGCTGTCCTGCGAGCTGTGCAAGGCGCAGATGACCTCGCTGAAGTGTGCCCGTGATCATTACGAGTCGAAGGCCCACGATCGGCATATCAGCGCTTGGCTGGCCAAGAACTACACGGACGCAGGCCTGCAGGCGCCGCCGGTTAAACGGCTGCTGAAGCATGGTCCCAGCGGCCCCAACGCCTTCCACTGTGACCTTTGCGACCTAGATCTCACCTCGACCACTCACGCCCGCCAGCACTATCAGGGCCGAAAGCACAAGTTGGTGGAGAGTAAGGGCTCGCGACCCTCTGGTGCCGGTTACTACGATGACGCCGGCAAGTGGGTGCGGACGGGAAGCAAGTTCGAGCCGAAGGTTAGCTCCGATTCGCGGTATGGGATCGGAACGCTGTTCCTGAAGACCGAGACTAAGTTAGCTGAAGACGAAGCAGCAGAGGTAATCGTGGAAGGAGGATTACCAGCGGTTGGAGGAGCACCGGTTGCAGTAGTAGCACCAGAGCAGCCTGCCGAGGATAGCGAACGCTCGTGCAACCTTTGCAAAATCGTCGTAACATCCGCCAATCAAATGCAGATGCATTTGGACGGGGCCCGGCACCAGAGCAAACTGCGCAATGCAGGTCAAAAGGAACCACCGGATGTGTCGCCATCTGTAGCTTCAGCTTCAGCTCCAGAGAATCCCAATGGCTTGGATCTGCTCCTGTATCGCACACCCACTGGCCAGTACTACTGCAAGTCCTGCAACAAGATGATGAACCATGTGACAACCTTGCAGCAGCACCTTGTGGGGAAGAAGCACTTAAAGACGACAAAGAATTCTCTACAGGCCGAGAAAACGGCCTAAAAAAAGGTGGTTAAACTGAAAATAAACAATTAATTTAAATGGCATTTAGTGTCTTTGGCTAACACGCTAGCTTCATGCATAAGTTCTATCATAATGTACCATCCAATATCCCAAATAGAGCTATTACATAGCTTAAATTTATGGAACATGTAACTGTGTTCAATGATATCCGTATATATAAATATATATATAACATTAAAATACTTTTAACGTTTAATTTACAAATATTATTAATTATTTTCTTTAAACTTTAGTTGATTCAGGGTCTAAGTATTATAAAACATTTCAAAGTAAATAATTTTTCAGAACCTAAGCAGGATAGGAGTTGCTTTGATAATTAAGAACGAGGATCTGACATGCCCCCAAATTCTTTAATAAAAATCCAAGACTTTCGACCCTTTCAAATAAATTAGTTTCTTTCGTTTTACATGCATAGCGCTGCTTTATGTAACAGTTTCATAATAGCTTTATTTCTTTATACTAACAACAAAAAAGATTTGTTTTCTTTAAAATTTTTGGGTTAAATTCAAACGTTGTGCTTACATAGATCGATCATAATATAGTTCCGGAGGCATGTACAAATTGAGGAGAAATATGTCCACTTTGACCTTAATTTATACTAAGAGAACACTAAGATGATTAAATGGGTGGCTGGCATTATATACAATAACTCGCGACAGCAAGTGCCGACACTTCTTCAACTTTCTAGATCGCGAAAAAACAAAAAAAAGAGAAACCGAAACAGTCCACCTTCTTGCTTATTGTGTGGGCGAGAATTCAGTGGGAGCTAGGACGCGGCAGTGCATGTCGCGGATCAGGGGCACCGTATAGGCCACACACTCATCCCAGCCGGGGGTGCGCCAGGAAGCCTCCCTGGTCTCCTTGCGGTCCTGCAGAGATTTGTAACCTGTGACGAATAAAACCAAAATATACATATTAAGTACCATGAAAGGTGGCATGAACAGGCAGTACGTACACCAAATATGATGGACATTATACAGACGTCCGATCTGCGAGAAAAAACCGGCGAATGCCTCGTTGTTATGCTTGCGATAGTTAATGGCCCGGGCCCAGTTGTTGCCCCACTCGATCATGGTGCCAGGGGTCAGTCGATAGGAGCTAAATATAATGTATATAAAAATCAACATAGAAAAAACGATGTAATATATATGTGCATACCGCATTTCGTAAATATTCTTGCCGGGACGACTGGCAATCTGTGGCCAGTAGCTGAAGGCCAGGAGATATTGCAGATGGCGGGAGCGCAGGAATTTGGAGCGTTCATGCATTAGGCTGAGGTACTCTGGATCGTTCCACAGGTCCTCCTTGGCCTGATCGATTTTCTCAAAGCCTCCGGTGTACTTCCACAGATGCAGGCACTGATCCATATCGCCCACCTGGACAGTCCAAGAGGCCACCAAATCGCATGAGAGATTTGCCTTTTATCATTGATTAGAGCCACCGTCGTTTTGCTACAATATGAATGAAGTAAAAAATGTTTTAAACTTAATGTTTGCTTAATTTTAATTATAGTTATACCCACTAGTTGTTAAGATAGTTGCTCATGGAATCGGGCCTAACGTTGTGGGTATGCAGGGCATATATAATTTCCTTGTCGCTCAGCATGCGGCTGTGCGGCTCCTTTGTTGGCTCTATTTTCCGAACGAGCAGCTTTGAGAACCATGATTCCGAATCCTTGCAGCTAGCCGTGGTGGACAGGGCACTTAAAGGAGGAGAGGGAAATAAAGAATATGGATTTTAAACTCTGAGCCTGATTAATCGAACTCTGATTATATTTAGGCAATCTCCACAATGGCTCCCGTTCCCTTTTTAATAATAATCTTATCTTTATCGATATATATGTATTCAGGCCCTCATATCTGTCCAGAGATTGTATTTCCTTTTTTAATTAAGCAGCCTTGCATACGTGGATATGGTGGATAAATCTTGGAAGGGTAATATTACAATTTTTTAAATAGAAAATATATATTTATAATGAAATGGTATTTAAAGAATATTGCCAAGATATATTTTTGTAGGTTCTAAAATGGTCCAAAAGCTTCTGTGATTAAAATAAAACGTAGAATTGCAGTTTTTAGACTCCAAAGATTGATAGGAAATTTAAAATTTAGCAATATAAGACAAACATCTTAAAAGTTCCTATTTTTTAGGAAATATTAAAGACTTCATAAATAAGTAATTGCAGACATATACACTAGATTCCAACATTATCAGCTTGAATCAGTCAATATAACCTGGAAAAACGTCCAAATTATTCAAGAAAATTAAGAGACTGCCCTATATCTTCTATGGAATAGACCTTATGTTCTCCATATATGAAATATATATATATATACATATATAGGGTATATATGCACACACATATAGAGACACAGCTGCGGCTGTTTTGAATATGCATGTTGTTGTTTGTCTTACCGGACAGCCAGCAGAACGCTGTGGTTGCTGTTGTTGCCGCCGACGGCTAGGAGGTTACGTAGCTTCAACATTTTCGATGCGGAGATCTCGGCCGAATTGTGCAGCGATGCAGGGAGTAGGAGGCGGAGGCAGTGATTGTGCGACGGAAACTGCAAAGAATCGGGCGACTGGTTAGCGGTGTCGGTGTCACTGTTATCATTACGTTCCCATTGTGCCGCCCGCTGCCGCCTGTCGCGTGAACTTTAGTCAAGGTGAAGTCAGAGTCACACTGGCCAGTGCAAATGCGCCGGCGGTCGGAGGGGGGAAGGAGGAGCCTAACGTTGTCCTTCCAGACCTGTGCCCTCTCCTAGTGAATTCCGCCCACTACGAAAAAGCACTATTCGCACGCAGTTTGCAATGGCAGCCGGAGCCAAGTTCGCACGCACTCACTCTATATGTCGTTGCGGTGTTATCAAAAAACTAAAATAATAAGATCCAAACGAAATGTTAACGTTAAAAGAAAACAAAAAAATGTGGCCTATAAATAATAATTGTGTAGTTCGCAATGGAACTAGATCGAGTGAACCAGCGAACGATACTGCAGCCAATCGATAACGATATTAATGCCGTCCTGCAAAGGGCAGACCGTTTTTGGCGAGGCAAGCAGCTGTTTTTTGTTTTGGTTCTGGAAAATGCTAAAGAAATTATCACCAGAATTGTGATAGACAGACAGATTCTAATCGGATATATCTTTATACATAGAATAAATTTCATATATATATTCCTAAGTCCAGTTCAAATAAGTCAAGTTAAAATAAAATAATGGTATTTTAGTGGGAGCACGGCAATGAAAGCAACGTTTGAGCTTACGAACTGGTTCGATAAGTTAATATGGCGGTATCTATCGAAAACTATGGCAAGCCGCTTTTTTTCAAATATCTCTCAGTGCTACGTTATATATTCATAGTATGCCGAAAAATAAATGCATGCCATACTTACTATAGTTTATATATTAATGGTTCGTATATTTGAAAGTATCGTTTTTGATTTACTCGTTTAATAATAATACATTGAGTGTAGTTTAACAAAACGTTTTCATTTTCGTAGGCAGGCATCGTATGCATTGATCCTAGTAGATTGCCTCCCAAATAATACCACGTACATATATATTTAAGAACTTAATGTATAATCAACATGGTTAGGTTTCGAAGATCAATGAGAAACGAAATGGAAAATATAACTACATTCGTAACTTACAAATATTATATTATATTTACAGAACTATCAAACGCAAATGGTAAATTTTTTATACATTTTCTAACTTAGAAAATACGAAAAGAAAACCATACTGTTTAAGCTCACTGAATTTGTAAAATTTTCATATCTTAATTTTTTATATTTTATTTTCAAGAAATAAATTAGTTATGTTTAAAGTAGTTCTTAAGTTTTTGGCGGGCGTCATTTTTATATTTTTAATAACTGATATTTTGGACTTTATACAAAATTGTTGTTGTAGTTTTAGTTTCGTTTTGGATCGTAGAAAAATGTAACAATTCTAAATTATAAATATCCCGATACAGAGAAACAAGAAGCAATATGGTCTTTTAAAAGGATTTATAAGAAAATAAGGCCAAATTTTAATTGTTTAAGGAATCCCGTTTCTCTGTCTAGTGTTTCGTTTTGTCAATTTTCAATATCTTGTTCAGATACATAAGTGAAAAGTTCACAAAACAAAAACAAAATAGGGCATTAAGCTAAATTAATTTCCCAGTTGGTCACAGGAAGGGATTTCCCCGCAAATCGGTTTGATCAATTTTAATGGAAAACCAACATAAGGAAGCGCCACAGTTTCCAGTTTTATTAGAGTCTTTGTTTTGAAAATCCTTGTCTTTTATATATATTCTTGTCACTATATAATGAGGTCCCCATATTGGTTCCTAAAAGTTGTTTCCTTTTTTAATATAGCTGCATTTCTACCAAAATAGTAGGGTCCTTTAAAAAAAGGAATACATCAGCTGGCGTTTGTTCTTCTTAAACAAAAAGATTTTAAATTAAATAGATTAGTTTCTAAGAAAGTTTCAAGTGTTTATAAATATTAATTGTATTTAAGTATTTAATATATATTTAGGGAAATAAATAAGGTCAAACTGTGGCGTTTCCTAATACTGATTATACAATTTTTTAATTTCGACTAGAAAAAAAATTGCCCTTCTTCCGGTAACCGACTTTAGATTCTTTTTTTTTTTACACCCCGATATGCCCTTAATCGCAAATATTTACTACGTAAATGATTTGTGAAAATGGGCTACAATATGTTGTCTTGATGTTAAACATTCCTCACATTAAAGTCCTTCACTTTTTCGCCAAGTGTAGAGAAATATGGACGACGAGGAGAATAACCAGGAGCGCAGCAGGTGAACAGATTTGAAGTCTGGATGCTATGTTGTGTTGGACAGCCGCGGGTAGTTCCCCTATTAAAATTATAGTTTAAGCTTTAATAATAAACTTTTTAATTAGTGGATGGAAGGAAGAGTCGCACCTGTGAGTACCTGTACTTGGACAATTACAGTAAACAGTCGGCCAAGGGAACAGGAATAGTTGCCACTATCTGAGAGTTTGGCATCATCAATGGAAATACGACTAGTTAGCCATTTATCTGAAATGCTAAAGGTGGGGGAATATATAATAAATAATAGCTATATATTATAGATTATATATGTGCCACCTTGATCGCTTGTTGGTCAGTCCCTGGAGGGGCTCCTCATCCTTTGTCCAGGTGATAAATTTACTAAAGTATTTCTCCAGCTCCTGGCCCGTGAGCTTCAGCTGATCCTGGCTGGCGTTGCCCAATAAATTTGGCTCACCGCTCGACTCGTTATATAGTTTCTGGACGACACCCCCTTTTGTGGTTTCGGTTGACTTGAGGATGGTGTAGCGTTCTTTAAGGAAAAAGTTTCGCGATATTTGGCACTGCAGATCGACGGTGCTGCCGGATTTGTAGTATCGATCCCCCACATCCCGTTCATGCTCGTCGATTATCCTCAGCGGGGGTTCTGTCACAAAATTCTAGTTACAAAATCACCTCCCAAAGGATATCTCATTAGGACATACCCAAGATGGTTAAGTTCGTGGTAAACACCCGCGGCGGATGAGTGGAAACCTGACACATGTATATACCGGCGTCCTCAGTCTGCGTGGGATTAATCAGTAGCCGCCAGTTGTTCGGATATTGGAACTTGACCCGTATCCTTGGGTCGCCGCTGTAGGTGACATTGCCAACGGTCAGCAGGGATACCTTCTCACTCGTCCGTCTCACCCACATGACCTGGTAAGGCAAGTGATATATGTATATATATGATTTAATGACAATAATAATACTCTAGGACCCACCGTCTTGTCCTTGAGCATGCCAACGCGGCAGTTGAGCACCGCTTCCGTAAACAAGTGCACGGCGGAAACGAGGTTCTCGCCGGAGGCACCCGAATTGACGGGCTCCTCGAAGAATGGCCCCCAGTGGTGCTCATGGTGGTGCTTGCTGCGGAAGGTACGGGGTCGTTCCGTGTCACGAGAAGCGGATCCTGCGGAGAGAGAGCGTGTAATGAGGATTCCCGAAAAATGTTAAAAAGGACACTCGAAAAAAACTCAAAGTAACCTGAGAACAAATTAAGCTTAAAGTGGGCTAAGGCAATCCAAGGCATTAGGCATTTATAGAAGAGTGGCAACAAAATTACGTATACGCACTGATGTACATAGTAGTTTCCCATTTCTTATGATTTTTTTTATATATTTCTTTAACTTTTTATATTTTTTAAAGTAATTAAATCAATTAAATTAATCAAGACATTCAAGGCATTATGCATTTATAGAAGAGTGTCAAAAATATTACGTATACGCACTGATGTACATAGTATTTTCCCATTCCTTATGCTTCTTTTTATATATTTCTTTAACTTTTTATATTTTTTAAGTAATTAAATCAATTAAATTAACTTTTCATATATATATTTGGGCTAAGACAATCCAAGGCATTAGGCATTTATAGAAGAGTGGCAACAAAATTACGTATACGCACTGATGTACATAGTAGTTTCCCATTTCTTATGATTTTTTTTATATATTTCTTTAACTTTTTATATTTTTAAAGTAATTAAATCAATTAAATTAATCAAGACATTCAAGGCATTATGCATTTATAGAAGAGTGTCAAAAATATTACGTATACGCACTGATGTACATAGTATTTTCCCATTTCTTATGCTTTTTTTATATATTTCTTTAACTTTTTATATTTTTAAAGTAATTAAATCAATTAAATTAACTTTTCATATTTTCTTAAGATAGTCTATAAATGTAGATTCGTTTTGCTTTTTCGAGTGAACTGTGGGATTTGACATTGGCCTTGGGCCCGCCCCCGTTTTGACTTACCACCTCCACCCACACCCACTGTCCAATGGTTCCTGGAGCGCGTGGAATCGATGGGTTGCTTTATGGTGCTCTTGGCACTTTTTAGGGTTGCCGCCAGAGTTGTTGCTGTCGTTGTTGTTGCAACAACCGCCGTTGCCCCTGTCGGCAGCTGCTCCTGCTGCTGCTGGTCGTCCGCTATCAAAGCGGGGCGCCCAAAGCTAGTAATTAAATTTTTGATTGGCGTGCTATTGCTAATCTCATTGCTTCCCGCCGCTTTTACGGAAGCCCTGTCCAGCCGCACGCCCGGGTTAATGGCGAAGTGCGATAAGTCTGCCGCCGCCGCAGCCACCGGCAATGCTGCCTCGGCAGGCATTTGGGATTGGGATTGGGACTGGGACTGGGACTGGGACTGGGATTGGTCCTGGTATGTGAGAGCAGCTGTGCTGGCGCTAGCTCCTGTCGAAGGATAACCAGCGGCGGTTGATGAAGTCGTCTTCGTTGTGTTATAGTCATCAAAAAAGTAGCTGTGATTCTCGCCGGCGCCGCTGGAATGCTGCTGGGAACCCGTTGTGGCTGCCGGTGATGCTGCTGTGGGTTCAACGGATGCAATGCCTGTGAATGGTTGGTTGGTTGGACAATAATGATAATATTTTATGTTAACTGGAGTCTGGGATGATTCACGGGTGATTTAACTAGTTATTTTCCCTTGCTAAGCATTCAGTTATAGCAAGGATAATGCCTAAAGTAATGTCATAGTCTTACTTTGAATGGGTTTCATTATTTTAAGTAGTTTGTAGAATTTATTAAATTATTATAAGTTATCTTTTCTTTATAAAATTAGAAAGATATGAACCGTAATTTAGAAATGGCACAAAAACAAGTAAAGATATGAATTACCTTTAAACAGTAAGTATCTATGACCAGAAATTAACTATGGTCATAAATAAACTCTGAGCAGTAACTATCTATGACTAACTTCTAACTTTAAACACTAGTAAACAATGACTTGCAACTTTTGATTCACAACACATTTCTGAGACGTGGCCGGCAGCGGTCACTTCGTTCCGGGGATGTTTGAACCAGTTGGGAATCATAAGATATGATGATTAACTATGAAGAGTAAGTAACTCTGAACAGTAAGTATCTCTGACCACTAATTAACTATGACCAGCCAGTACCTACGATCAGTAAGTATCAATGAACATTAAGTAACTCTGAACAGTAAGTATCTATGACCACTAATTAACTATGACCAGTAAGTATCTATTAGCAGTATGTATGTATAATCAGTTACTAACTTTGAACACTAATAAACAATGACTTGCAACTTTGCAACACAACACATTTCTGAGACGTGGCCGGCAGCGGTCACTTCGTTCCGGGGATGGTTGAACCAGTTGGGAATCATAAGATATGATGATTAACTATGAAGAGTAAGTAACTCTGAACAGTAAGTATCTCTGACCACTAATTAACTATGACCAGCCAGTACCTACGATCAGTAAGTATCAATGAACATTAAGTAACTCTGAACAGGAAGTATCTATGACCACAAATTAACTATGACCAGTAAGTATCTATTAGCAGTATGTATGTATAATCAGTTACTAACTTTGAACACTAATAAACAATGACTTGCAACTTTGCAACACAACACATTTCTGAGACGTGGCCGGCAGCGGTCACTTCGTTCCGGGGATGTTTGAACCAGTTGGGAATCATAAGATATGATAATTAACTATGAAGAGTAAGTAACCCTGAACAGTAAGTATCTCTGACCACTAATTAACTATGACCAGCAAGTACCTACGATCAGTAAGTATCAATGAACATTAAGTAACTCTGAACAGTAAGTATCTATGACCAGTAAGTAAGTATCTATGACTAGTAAGTAACTAAGATCAGTAAGTATCTATGACTAGTAAGTAACTACGATCAGTAAGTATGTATGACCAGTAAGTATGTATGATCAGTTACTAACTTTAAACACTAATAAACAATGACTTGCAACTTTTGTAACACAACACATGCCTGAGACATGGCTGGTAGAAGTCACTTCGTTCCGGGGATGTTATAACTAGTTGAGAATCATAAGTACAGATGTGCGAGATTTGTTTTGGAACAAAGAGCAAGCTATTTGAATGAAACTATGGAGTTATCCTTCTATATAATTTTACTAGTATATAATTCGGAGCATGGCGAATCGGACGACTATATATATAGATATATATATCTGAAATAGGAACAATCGGAAAATTTTAAGAAAAGAAAGGTCTAACTTTTCCAGTTTTCAACAGATTTTCATCAAATTTGATATACAGCCACTATATATTAATCTAGAATTTTGTATTAAAATTTTTGTCAGAAGCTTGCCAAATTTTTCTACCTCTCTATTTGGTTTTATACAAATTTATGCATATATTTAAATTTAATTTATATCAAATTTTCAAATATATTATATGGAACAGTGCCTATCTATAATATCTTCCTACCTAAATTGTTGATTTATAATATTATTAGAGAGTAACAATATAATAAACATCTATTGAAGAGTAATATTAGATGTTCTTTGTATATATTATTTTTATTATAGTGCTATGATTTAATCACTCACATAGAACGGCATGAAATTGCGATCCAATTACTGTGACAATGGCCAGCAGCCGGAGGAGTCTCAGGCTTCTCAGGCAGCTGCTGGATTGTGAACTGCTGTGGGATAGTGGCACCGTCTGGGCCGCGCTCGATGCTGATGATAGTGCCCAATGTGCTCCTTTGGGACGCCTCATCCTTTGCACGTGGGTACGTGGCTTACGGATTGTGCTCGATAGAAATCAGAAAGCATCATTTTAGTCCCGGAAAGCCGATAACTCCGCCGCCGAGATCGATAAGCCGATGGTTTAGCGGAGCGGCCTCAGCCCTTCCTCAGAAACCTTCAAAATGCTGCAGGCAAATGGGATACATAATAATGAACGCAAATAAATAAGAAGAAAATCTTTATTGCTATTTTATTTTTGTTCAAGCTTTAAAGGTTTTAATAAAAGCTCTTTACGTTTTGCTTAAGCCTCTTTTCGCTTTTTGTATTTTCTAAAATTGATTTCATGTTAGTTATTTGATTTTGATTTAATGCATTTATTAGGTAAACCCCACAAAACCATTCTCGATGCTCAAATGTACCTGTCACACCATTCACTGAGCTTGTTTTGTGACATCCTTATGCCGACGTGCCTCATTTTTTCGCTATGCCCCGGGACTAGTGGTGTAGGAAATCATGGGGCGTATACGTAATATATTTTAAAATATGTATGTAAGCCAAAACATGTACATATATACATTTATTTTTTTGGGAGAATAAAGTACATGGGACAAAAGTTATGCATATTATTCTATATGTCTTGTTATTTCCCGTATTAAACAATTTATTTTGATGGCCAAAAATGGCTTAGGCACGCACATATGTGAGTACTCGGCTAAGTAGGCTACATTTTTTTTGTTTGGTTTTTCCTTTATTTTCCTAACCCTTGACGCAACGGAATGCCAATAACTGGGCATAATAACACATTTAATTTGTGATCTTGGGAAATATTTTGTGACTAGAGTTAAGCACGTAATGCTAAATGGATTTTGACCGTCATTTTTATAAACATTTATTGCCATACTTAAGATTGGGATATTGTTTGCAAGGAACTTTTCATTCGTTGTTTTGTATTTAAGTCTAGACTCTCTCTTTAATTTACGACTCTTTATAGAAGGCTTTAAGAATAATTTTTTCTGCTTTAACAAACGACTATATGCCTCTAAGTTCCAATTAAAATTAAATTTTAATAATTATATCGTGACATTCCCTAAGCCGCTTTTCTTTCACTTTGAACCTTGTTAGGGATTAAGGTGTCCATCAGAAGTATGCGTTAATATTTCAAATATTAATTTTAATAACAAAAAAGATAAATGTTTACTGCACAAAATGTTTAATATGTATTAATATTATTACAGTACTATAACAATCAAAATTGAAAAGGAAATAAATATGGTAAAGATAATCAAAAGAGTTAGGAATACCAACTGAAAAGAACATTTATAACCTAAATACCAACTCTCTTTGTTATTTTTGTAAGATTACTTATATTTTTACTTTATCTAATATCCTTAGCATATTAAAGTCTAAGTCTTTTCTATTAAATACCTAATATTTTGAGACAATTATAAATTTCTTTAATGTTTAGCTAAGGTTTCGGTAAAATAAGTCAAGAAAAAACCAGGCCCTGTCAAGGAAACATTCCAAGACATATTCTAATAAAGTTGAACAACTTTCTTGGACTTGGTAATTCTTGTTCATATATCTCCTTGTGCATATCTCCTTACACCCATATATAAATTCCTAAATACACCCCTCATGGTAACCACTTAATCAAATTGCCAAGGTGACATGGAAATGGAAGTGGCTAATTTCTATAAATCACAATATTTGACCCAGATAGCTTATGATTCAGTGGTTAGCCATAACGTCTGGCTTCCTTGCACAAATATATGGTGATGCGGGTGTTGAAGATATCTAGGCTGTTATAAGTAGGCTAATTAGCACCTTGTACTCAAGATATATTATATCTTTTACCTAACATCTGATTAATGCAATAAAAATGTAACAGAAACTTGAGTTTACTTGCAATTAAAAACTCTATACTAGCTCAAGGCTTCCATGCAATTAATAAAACCTTTCAATTTGTTTTCCTTCACCTTATATGTGTGAATCCCTTCAAGGACTACCCCACCTATTCACCTGACTAGGACAACCGGACAAGTGGAGGCTTGTTTTTCAGATTTCCACTGACAAAACCAATTTACAACTTTCCCAGGACACAATTACGGCGGTGACAAGCTTGATTTTATTTTGCCATCCTTGTTTGCTGGTAAAATCATTGCCTATATTTTACCGCTGCGTACAAGGGGATAATCCAAGGAGTGTGTGGCAAGGTTTTTATAGTTCTTGGACAACTTTTGGTCTGGTGTCGGACACTCTAAAATTCGATAATAAAATGTTCAAAGTTACACTCTGTTGTCCTGGCATAAAAGCCATCTTATGATCTCAGTGAGTCCTTGAAGGCATTGACTTTTAGTGCGACAGGTGAAGGATGTCGTCTGAGTGACTTAATTAAGGGCTTTATTATCAGATTTAATTGGGAATATATGCATATCGTTTCACTTACCCCTGGACCTCTAGAGTTTCGGCTTCCATTCGAGAAATGAGACTGGCAAATCACTTGACTCTTGACTTGAATTGGCTTCAATCTTGCCACACTTGCACTTTCGCCTTTGGGTTTTTTTTGTGAACAATAAAAAAAAGGTAAACAAAAATACTACTCGTGCCACATTGATTGGTTCTTAGGCAGCATCATGGTGTTTGTGTGGAGTCAACAAAAAGCTACGAATGACGCACTATGGCACTGAGACTGGCACTGGCACTGGCTGTCGCGAATATTCCACATGCGATGACCACGACGAACTGTTCAAAAGACGACAATTGGCTCTGGTTGAGGCGACGTGTTCCATCCGCGCTATCCGGAGCACGTAGGTATCGCTTATCCTTGGAAACTGTAATGAACTGAACTGGCGTCCAGCAATGCCAGACTCTCCTGCGAGCATCCGAGGCGGCAGGACACTCAAAACCGAAACCGAGTGGAAGCTTCAACCCCGGCTGCACACTTGCTCCTTCCCCTTTTTTTGCAGAGGCACTCATTCGCTGCTCCTTTGGTGAGTTCACCACAGCATGTCCTTGCAGAGAGTCCCAAAAGCTCAAGAGCTTTCTCCTGGAATACTGGGAATTTTTCAGGGCGGGGAAGAACACTTTATGAGTGAAATAAATATCCCAACTCAAGGATAAATAGAATAGGATTTCAAGATGGCAAAGAAAACACTTTCGATTACTCACAAGTAATAATTTTATAATGCTGCGAACGTGAAAATATATGTATATATGTAAACAAATTGATTGAAAGGGGCAGATTTTAGGCATCTTCGGGCCCCGTCTCAACAATGCGACTAATGATTGGAATATCCTCGACCTTGGTGCAAATAGAAAGGGTATTGATATCCAGGATACTCTGAATGTAATCATGCCGGAACTTCTCCCACTTGCGTGTCTTCAGAAAGTTCTTGAACAGACCCTCCCTGGTGGGGATATTGCATTCGATATAGAAACGTTTGCGCTGCCACAAATTTCCAGGATTCTGGGGATTCTCGAGGAGCCAGAAGCGCGGTATCAGGATGCACTGGACCGTGGTGCGGGCCATGATCACGCGATGGGCACTCGCCTCGCCAAGCCCAAAGATACCGCCATAGGACAGAGAGCCCACGTCGATGAAGTGTGTCTCATAGCGATCCGTGTCCAGCGATTCGCTCGAACCCTTGCTACGAACACTCTCTGGCGTCTCATGGGTGGCGGTGAATATCTCGGATTCCTCCGTCTCGTACTCCTCGATCATTTCGGTGCTCTCGGTCGACCGGGAGTGCTGCGTTGACTGCGAGTAGATACTTTCATCGGTATCCGAAAGATCGTAGTAGTCCTCGTACTCTTCCTCGGCCTCATCCGCCCCGGTTAAATATCGCTCGTAGAGCTCCTTAGTTTTGTTCGATTTCCCACCCCGAGTAATCCGGTCCCGGGTGCGTCTTCGTGACTTTTGGCGTGACCCTTCGCCCTTTGTGGACCTCCGGATGGCAGATCTGGTCATTTCGGCACACGCCTTCTGTATCTCCTTCAGGCCCATCCGGCGAAGCTGTCAAGGATTATTATGATAAGAGTGAAAATGAACCCTTTATCCTTTTAAGCCCAACGTTCATTTAACCTGACCAAATCCCCTAGAAGGAACTCACCCCCCGCGCCTTGCTCTGTTTTTGCTCATCATTCGAGGATGTGCTCATTACATACGCTTGTGCATCGAATTCTTCGCTCCTATCTTTTGATATATCATCCACAGACAACGTCTTGACCACCTTGGCCAGCTGATAGACCTTCTCCCGATTAACCATATTCACCTGGAGAAAGGAATGAGTGATCAGGGACCAAGTGGAATCACTTGGATTCCATGCAGACAGAGGCTCACCTTCATATGGAGACACTGCAGTATGACACACTCTCCGCTGAGCACAAAGTAGACGGGACTCATGGAGCCCTCGTCCTCGGTGTAGATCGTTTCCAGGGTATCATACTGTTGTATATTCGCGTATCTGCAGGCATTCACCGTCTGCAGACGTTAACCATGGAGTTGGAGGAGGAGAATGACTAAAAATCTCACTGACCTGCTCCTCGTTGAAGAAATCAAAGTAGTCCAGGGCTTTCAGGGCAGCCTTCTTTTCCAGCCACAGCTTCTGCATTGAATGCATCAGGACCAGTTCGTAGACATGCTTAAATACGACCAGGAGCTCACAGTTCGCTATTATATATTTGAGTTACTTAACTCGGCTAATGCATGAGATCTCCCTCAAGACTTACATGTGGCCACATATGTATTGGTCCTGGGGAGCTCTCTAGAATATCTATGTCCCCAATGCAATCCCCAGGCCCGAAAATCGCCTCACTGGTCGGCTCTACTACCTTGGTGTTCTTAAAACAGAAGAAGATGAAGCAATATACCAAGCAGATCTAACCAAGGATTCAAGGATCCCAGACAGCTCACCTTATTCAAGATATTCTTGGACATTTCCACCTCACCGGCGATTATAAAATAAATGGTCACTGGCTGGTCACCCTCCTTCATGATGGTGCGTCCCGAATTGACGGCCATGAACTTGACATACGGCACCAGGCGAGCGCGTACCTTCTACAAGGACACGCCAGTTGGATATATACCAATGGATTATAGTTTTGATAAATAAATAAATATAGCCCACCGGTGAGAACTTGGAGAAGCAGGACAAGCCGGCCACAATGTTGCATAGTTTCTTTCGCTCGTCAACGGACCGCGAGGAATGCGGTGTACGCAGCAGAGATTTTTCCTACAATTGGGATTAGGTTCATCTGGATAGGATGGAATCCCTAAGGCAGAGGCATCGGATCACTCACCGCCATGGTCATCATGCCAACCTTGCGCTTCTGGCGCACCGACATGGCCACGTTTTTCTTCACATTGAGGGACATACCCGTTTCCTCGGCGGCCTCATTGAGCCACTGCATATTGAGGATGACATTGCGGACCAATCTCTTAAACTTATTCTTGGCAACCTTCTTGTTCGGCCCCCCGAATGCGTCACGTTGGCGCTTTGACATGACCCCGACAGATGTCCCTAAGGATGTGTTAATTATATGTTTTTATATGTTTGCCTTGCTGGAAGTTTCTATCACCAGAATATGGACAATTGATTAGCTATAACAGTGGAGAGGTAAAGTATTATGTGACTTTAAGGGCAAAGGTGAGCTGTATGGTATCTGCTTTCAGACTTTCCATAATTTAAGTTCCTATAATCTTAGCATATTACCTAAAATTTATGGTTGAGTTTTCCAAGAAACTTTTGTGTTTTTTATAGTCTATATTATGGCATATTTTGTTCTGTATCCTTTCAATTTCCTAACTGTAAAAGCTTTTTGGTTTTTCCAACCTTTTGAGCTTTTGGCTTTGTGGCTGTAAAAAATGGGACACTCTTTTGCTATCAAAGCGAACAAGCTGTTGCAATTCGTAAGGATAACAATAAGAAGAAAAAATCAATAAGAGTATTATATTAATAGAGTCACAGTTCCCTAACCTGATTGTTTTATTTCGAATCTTGCAAAGAGGCTTAAATCCGTTCAACTATCTCATCTTTCTATATTATCGTAATATAGCGCCATCTATGGGGTATTGCGATTTGATAACTACTTTATCGTAGGGTGAAAGTACCTTACCTTACGATATTAAAAGCGTTGCATGGCTCAGAAATGGGGAAAATCATAAATTTAATAAGTTCAAAAGGTATTAAAACAACTTTAACAGTAAATGCATTTAAAATTGAAAGCTAGAGCTAAAAATCTCTTTCAGGAATTGATTCCTAAAATATTTCAAACAGGAAGTCCTGCTGGAAGACGGCTGCAATTTAATCAACATATCAAAGTTTAAAAAATTCATAAACAAGCCAAAAAATGCATTAATTTCAAATCGGAAAGCTCTCCTATGTTAGTTGTTATTATATTTATAAAGTTGCATTCAAATTAAAAAAAAATTCAAATGTTTGCCAATTTTTGAAGATTTTAACGATGTTACCCCTTTCCTATTTTTTTGAAAAATTAAAAATTGGGAAAAATTTTTGTTTTCGGCAAATATAGCTAGAAAGATTTGTTGCTGATCAAGAATATATATAGTTTATAGGATCGGAAATGACTCCTTTACAGCGTTTTAAGCTTCTGACTAAAATTATAACAACCTGCAAATGTGAACTATTAATAATTAAGTGAGGCTGTTAATATAAAACCGTATCTTGGAATTAAGTTATTGGCACTGGATAAATAATAAATAAAGGCATAGCTAGCGCAACTAATTCTTAGCCTAAGATAATAGCATAATATAATTGTCATTGTTAAGACTTACCCCAGTAGGTGGAAAACGGTGACTTCAATTAGACATGGTCATCTTCTTCCTGTTTATCCAGATCCATTCCATAGGCTTGTTGACAATATTTGGGCCGAAGTGCACAATCACTATCACTGATAAGGCCACGTATATAGTGAGCCAGCTTCCTGCTGGTCATCCAGATGCATTGCATCCGGTTAATCGACATTATTTGGACCAAAGTGCACAATCACTATCACTCCCACTATCACTGGAGATGTTATCACTAGTAAGGCCACGTACATACTGAGTCGGCGCGCCTTCCGCGCCCGTATTTATACCATTCCAGCAAAGAGATGATCAGAGAAAGTGTGAGCGAGAGCGCGAGAGTAAAAGAGATGCCTCTTGAGTGAGGCAGAGTGGGGCACAGTGAGTCAGAGAGAGACAGCGAGAGTAAGGGATCCCAGAGAGACAGAGAGCGGCATACATTTAACGATTGTTCCCATATATGTATATATGATATAGTCGACCGATTTTGATAAAATTAATACAGTAATTATAAAATAACACCAAATGGCTATATCTTTAATTAAAATATGAAGAAAATATGTTGAAAATTGGGAGAAATTGTTTGTTTTAAATAAATGCAGCAATCGTTCCTATGGCAGCTATATGATATAGTTTTTCGATCCGAATTATTTACTAGTGAGAGTATATATAGTCCCCTATATAGAAGACTGACTGCAAAGTTTTATTTAATACTGAGATCGAAGCGGACAGACGGACTTGGCTTGATCGACTCGGCTGTTGATCAAGGATATATATATTACATACATTATATGGTCACTGCGCTGCTAATTTAAAACAAATATATATATAACATAATAAAAGAATTAAAGCAAGGATTTAGGAATTACATTGCATCAACAGAATTGAAAAATTGATCTTAAAATATAACTTTATCTATTAAAATAAATCATTTTGAATATAGTAATCTAAAATATTTATAAAAATTATATATTCTTATTATTTATAATAACATATACCCCATGCATGAATTATTTCTCAATCGAATTGGCATTGAGTCCTGCCTTCTGTCAACCTTCCAAATAAAGATTCGCATAGAGCCTCATTTCCGTTTCGGCTTATCTAGTGTTAACATATCTAAAAATACTACGTAAAATAATTTTGGAATCGTAATATTTTCATAAATTTGTAATAAATTTTATAAATTCAATATCTGGCGCTTTTATCATGCAATTCGACCGAATTGAAGATTCAAGTATAGTCTTTGTTGGTATAGTAATGCATTTGCAGAAATTTAGTGTGTTCGCGGCAGGTAACCCCACGGCAACGTTGCTCCTGCCCAATGCAGCATCCACTCTCGTGGCCTTTAGCCTGCTAATGGCTCTGAGCAAGTGGCGTCCCATCCGAGGACCGGCGGGCACCACCATGCATCTATCCCATCGCATATTGCGTCTGCTGGTGGAACTGACGACCATAACCAGTTTGGTCGAATATTTGCTCGTCAGGATATGGGTACCCATGCTGGTGGCTCTCATCAAAGTCTGCGATTGGATCACCGAGGGATATCTCGAACAGAATTTTCCCAAAGTGGCCAACTTTATAGATAAGTCTTACTACACCATCCGCTTTGTGCTAGCATGGATTGTAGCCACCAGCATCCATGCCCTCCAACGCTGGCTGACGACCATCAGCAAGAATAACGTTGATCTGCCGATGGAGCAGGAAGTTGGCGACGAACTGGAGCTCTGTCCTTATGATCATTCGGAGGACATCGTCAAGGTATACAATCCTCCCATCGTTTTGTTCTATGGCGTGGCTTCCACTCGCAATCGGAATGTGAGGGTGTTGGCCATCAGTCACAGTGACCGAATCAACCGTTTAGCCGGACTCGGACTCCTTGAGGACATCTTTCCGGGGCCGCCACAGTTCCCTTCTGATGTGGGTTTAGTGAGTGGCTCCCAAGAGGCAGACCGCAACCCAAGGATGCTTCAACTAAATTAAATTCATCAGATACAGTAATACAGAAGTCAAGTAGATTTGTTTTCCAAGTTTTAGTTTTGTTTTATCGTTATAAAATAGTAAAAAGAGATGGGTTGACTTTTATTTATAATTAGAAAGAATGCACTAAAATGCATTCAAATGAAATGTTGATTTACTTTATTCTTTTCTTCTCATTTTCTACTCTTTCAAAGCCATTTTATTTGGCAAAATTTTAAGTTAAAACTTATTTCTAAGCTTATTTTCGTTGCCTAAATTAAAAAATATATATAGTAGAAAACCAGTATAATAATTGAGAAAACAAAAATCGGTACAAAGACAAACTGGAAGCCCAATGCTATCCACATAACTAATTTAAGCTTATAGCCTATAAATATATTAGATATAAAATCGGGATAAAACGAATCATGGTTAGAAGAACCAGTCCTGTTTTTAATTCGCTTCCGCGTCGAGGCTGACTTCCGGTTGGAGTCCATTATGAAATTGTGTAGAGAGAAGACCAACTAAATTCGGCCTTATAAATAAGGAATTTATTTATTTATTTATTTAATAAATAAGAGTTTCACTTAATACGCTTACTTCTCAAGTCAAGAAACAGGTTTCACCAAAATTTGTTTTTACTTTATTCCCTAAAAGAGTAAATATTTAAATAAGAAAGTTCAATATTAATTTAAATAGATATTACCTTTTAACTTGGAGGCAAATGTTTCATCGTAATTATTTTTTTTAATCAATAATAATTATAAAAAACAAACTTTTCTAAAGCTTATGCATTTTTTCTTTGTTTATATTGTTTAAGGTTTTACTTCCGGTTGTTTGCTTTAATAAGACTAGGGTTTTATGTTTTATTTTTGTAATAATTAACACTGGTTATTAATCACAATAATTATTTAATATTTTATTATATGAGCACTATTTTTTCTAAGAAATAGAAATATATTTAAAGAGCGTTGCAATGGTTTTCCTACACCGTCCGAGCGTCTGTATCCGTTCAAGCTCTTAGATAAAGTGAATAAAAATCTGCTACTGAATATATTTAAAGCTAAATATATTCAGTAAATGTTAATGTATGTACAAATGCACATATATATACATATTCTACAGAAATTCCTAGCCATCCTCAAGTTACGATCAACGATCTGTCTCAACAGCAGAACGAACAACATTTTGTCTATGAATGCATTTTGAATAGGTGTAAATTTTAGAATGGTCATACACTGAAAGCATAATATATAAATTTAAAAATAAATAATAAGTATTTTCTCATTTTTATAACTAACTATATGATCCTTATTATATCCGGAATATCAAACAGAATGCAGAAGCATGTTTCTAACAACATTTTCAAGCAAAATTAACTTTTTCATTCCGAATAGATTTTAAATTCAAAATGAAATGATTATAGTTAGTTTATCAGTTCCAAATGTTTATTATATCAATAATGGAAAATTAACAAGACCATTAAATGAGTAAGATTTTTGGTTTTAATTTTTTTAAATGTTTGTGAGAACGATTATTATAAATGTATTTCATAACAACTTACCTGAATACCATAATTTATTTTAACAAGTTAGCTACAAAACTATATATAAAAATCAATTACTTTCTAACGTTGAGGGTATTTTGTAAACTATTTTCATGCTGATAAAGTCCTAAATCCTTAAGCATATAGCAATTATAAAAAAAAAATTAAACATGGAACATCCTAATATATCATATAAATTGTTTCCTCATCTACCACTTGGTTATATTGAAACTTTTGGCTAACGATGTACTAAGCAAAGAATTATTCATATCGGAACCCTGAGACTCTAATTAGCAATGCATAAACTCTCAACTCTTTTCTTGGTTAAAAAGAATTGTGCTTCCCCATTCAGTTGAGAAATAAACTTGACAATTTCGAGATTTAAATTATAACATATAATGTACATCGTATTCATAAATAATTGGACAACACCGGCTAATCGACTGAACTCTGTCCCACACTGTTAACTTCCAGTTCGGTGCTGGAGACACTCGGCGATATGGTTGTGGAGCCCGAGTTCCCAGCAATGCCATCCAGATTATAGTACTGAACTATTCGCGGCGGCGGTCTGTTCGATATGACCTCTGTTATCTGGTTCACAATCCATTTGGCCAGCTTAATAACAGCCACATGGGCAACGAACTGCAGGATCATGGCTCCGAAGCCCTTGTAGAGTCCGCCCACGCCCTCCGTGACCATCGTTGTTTGATAGCAGTCAACGAAGCCCTGATAATTGGTCAGGATTGGCACTACGGCATAGCCATTGTCCAGGTTGTCGATGATCGTTCGAGTGCCTTGCAATTGCAGGCGATGCAAAATAGTCTCAAGGGGGAAGAATATCACCTCAGTGGTCAGCATGGCGATCAGGCTGGCATATATCTCGGCATTCTGATGCTCCAGCGTACTGTCGACCAGCTTGCCAGACTTCTCCGGGGAAAGCGTTATGCGTCGCCGCATAATCCGCGAGGAGATGCCGCGTATGACCAGGTTGAACAGATACTTGGTGATGCCGAACGAAACACTTGGCCCGATCAGCGCCCAAGCGGGTAGCATGCGACCCTTTTGCGGGGAACTCCAGTAGAAGAGTCGGAGGCTTCCCTCGCGGAACACATCGAATAGTCCGGGCTTCTCACTGGCAATGTCGCTCTGCACTGTTTCCACCAAGGAGGCAGCATGGAAGGGCACAACCAAGCCAATGCTTATACTGCAATTGGAATAGCTAATACATTTGCTGAGGATGAAGCGAGAGGCTTAATCACCATTTCAAGATAATGTGCTGTCCGAATCGCTTCAGTGTAGTGCGGCTATCCACGTCCTTGGGCCAGCTGGTGAACTTCGAGATGACATCGTCGATGGCCAAGGTCATGCCACGCACCAGCAAGCAGCTGCCCACACCCTTCCACAGCGTGGTCACGCCCTGTCGCCTATGCAGGTGCACGATGCTGGGCAGAAGGCTGAATGGATGCAAGTGGTATCGCTTCGAGGCATTAAACACCTGGCACTGTCGACGAAGCACTATAAACGGATGGCTCAATAGGTTCTCGGTGACCAGAGAGACCCACTGAACGCCCACGACCAGGTACTTGCGGATCGATGTATCTGCAAAAATGGAATATGAATATCCACTATGTGCACCTAACTGGTTCGACAACTAACCGTCCTCCTGATTATCTATATACTTATGCTTATCCAGCGGCAGCGATAGGGGATCGTCTAAAGTGAGATATTGTAATTTATGAATGGCATCCTGGTCGGCATTTATATTGTCTACAATCGCCTTCTCGCGGCCTTCAACGCTGGATCAATGGAGGAGTCAGGAATTTATATAATTCAGCTATTGGATGCAAAGATAATGAGGGGCTGTATCGTACCTGCTGCCCAGGTGCTTTTTGGGGCTGCGAAACTCGGCGGACCCCGCCTTTTCCTTCTCGATGTACTCATCACCTTGGCCGTGCTTCGCCTCGAATCTGTGCACCGGATGGAAATCGGAGTTCCTATTAGCATTGTGTGAGTAGCAGCAGTGATTGTTTTGCCAAACTCATGTACGTACTTTAGACTGGAGTAGTTATTAAGGCCTGCCATGATTCGGGACACGTGTTCTCCTGGCTGTTATGATGTGAAGTAGATGTTCCTGCTGCTCCTTTTCAGTTCGCCAGCGTAATATTTAAGGCATATTCAGTTGTTTTTAAGTTTTTGCTACTTTTGATATGCGAAATGTGTGCCGTAACCAGTGCGACCGCATCTGTGCCGCTCAAATATACCACGGGAGCGAACTTTCAACCACAGCAGGAACCATGGTGGAAGCAAACAAGGTGGTGTCTTTCTACCTCTTCCTGAGGCTTTTCTAAGACACCGGAGAGACACAGCAGATGAGTCCACCTGCTTTATTTACATCATGGCAGGCACAAAAGACAAAAATAAAACCAGCGAATAGTATTCTTATCAAGAGCAAACCGGGGGCTTAGAGAAATCACTTTAAAAATTCATAAATGTTGTAAAATATATTCCTACACAGTTTTATATATTTTATTTTGATTTGCCTAATTTCGCCGTTTCATTTTCAAGGTCAAGTGTATTTAGTATATAACAGCGTACCGGCTTTGGTCACACTTGGATAAAATTTATAAACAAATCTGCACCGGCGGGAACAATTTACTTGTATTATGGATTTTGCGTCTTAATTTTACCCTCTTTGAAGGGTATTTTGTGTTAGAGATCCCAATTGGATGTCCTTGCACCATCACAACATGACAGCAACTCTGCAGGAAACCGGAAACATAGAGCTGCCAGCCGAGGCATGTGATTTGGAGCGCAGTTTGCTTGGAGGACAGAGTTTCCGGTGAGTAGCTTTACCTGGAGGACACACATTCCTAATAATAACACACATTTTTTAGCTGGCGCTCTCTTAAAGCCGACGACGGCAAGACAAAATACTCTGGAGTTGTTTGCAACATCTATTGGGTGCTCCAACAGGAAACATCCCACATAACCTACGAGGCATTTGCTGAGTCCACGTCCAGGATTGCAGTGGACTACAAGTCGGTAATAGCCAAGTACCTGCGTGCAGATTTTAAGTTAAAACAGCAGCAAGCCGAATGGACAAACAAAGATGAGAATTTTGCCAAATTTGTGGGCAAGCCGGTGCGCGTTCTTTCACAGGATCCACTGGAGAACATAATAAGCTTCATATGCAGCCAAAATAACAACATTAAGCGGTAAGGAATACACATTACAAATGTTAATGTAAATATTCATAATAATCCCTTTTCGTTTAGCATATCAGCCATGATCCAATGGTTTTGTGCCACTTTTGGCACCAAACTAGGTCATTTTAATGACTGCGATGAGTATACCTTTCCTACATTGAAGAGCTTCGAAGGCATGGACTGCGACAAATTAAATGCTCAACTGCGAGCCGCTAAATTCGGTTATCGGGCAAAGTTTATAGCCCAGACCCTGCAGGAGATACAAAAACGAGGTGGCCAGAACTGGTTTATCGAGCTCCAAAGCCTACCGTACCACGAGGCGCGTCAGGAACTGGCACAGCTTCCGGGCATTGGATTTAAAGTGGCCGACTGCATATGCCTCATGTCCATGGGCCATTTAGAGGCCGTGCCCGTGGACGTGCACATATACAGGATTGCCCAAAAATATTACCTGCCCCACCTGAGCAATCAGAAGAACGTAACGAAAAAGGTTTACGAAGAAGTTTCGAATTACTTTCAAAAGCTACACGGAAAGTATGCGGGTTGGGCTCAAGCGGTAAGTCTATACATATTTAAAACCTTATGTTCCTATGTTTCTTATACATGTATTTTGCAGATTATTTTCTGTGCTGACCTGGGACAATTTCAAGAGACTCGAAAAGCTGGTGGCAAAGTAATTTCAAATAAAAAGGGCTTGAAAAAATGTTGATACTAAGGGATTATATCTCGATGAGCGAAAATCAGGTAAAAAAACAAGCAACAAAAGTATTAAAGATTTTCACATAAAATGCCCTTTCGTTTTTGTATCCAACTAAGATGTAATATGGTGTCCAACAGGGGAATTCCCTGGAATACGTATCCATATGGAAATTTTGAAAATTAACGTCTCTGTGTTCCTTTCTCACCGTTCCACTTGCAATTGGTATTTTAACACTATACTCTCCGCCATGCCGTGGTTTATTTCAACTGCCCAGATCCGGTCACACTAACCAGGCAGCATGTTTAAGATTCGTACCGGCAATATTTTTAATTAAAATAAGAGAGATTTGTGATTTTTACAATGCCCAAGGAGCAATTTCGTGCTTCGGCACTGAATAAGAAGATGTAAGTGTCATTGCATACAGTTGTTCACATACCGATTATGATTTCTTGTATTGCAGCTCACATGTCCAGTTCGGAATCAGTGGGGCGGCCGAGATCCAACAGGAGTCCCTGGTGCGGATCATCTCGAAGAATTTGTACCAGGGCCAGCGTCAGCCGGTGCCCTATGGCGTCCTGGACCGACGCATGGGCATTAGCACAAAGGACGCCCTGTGCGAGACCTGTGGCCAGGGGCTGAATGAGTGCATCGGCCACTTTGGGTATCTGGACTTGGCGCTGCCCGTTTTCCACATCGGCCACTTTCGGTCCACCATCAGCATACTGCAGATGATCTGCAAGGCCTGTGCCAGGGTGATGCTGAAGCCCGAGGACCGGGCCATTTACGAGAAGAAGCTGCACAATCCGAATTTCTCGTATTTGGGCAAGAAGGCCCTGCACGTCCAGATGCTGGCCAAGGCCAAGAAGGTAACGAAGTGCCCGCACTGCGGATCCCCCAATGGCGGCGTGAAGAAAGGACCTGGCCTGCTCAAGATTCTGCACGATCCGTACAAGGGACGCAAGGTGGATTCCCTCTTCACCAGCAACATGAACGAAATGCTCCGTTCCACGGAAGCCAATCGAGACCTCAATCTCACATTGGGCAATCACAGCACAGCCGAAGAACTAACGCCGTTAAATGTACTGGACCTCTTCGAGCAGATCCCCCAGAGTGATGTTGCGCTTCTGGGAATGTGTTCCCGTGACGCCCATCCTAGGCATCTGATTGTGACGCGAGTGTTTGTTCCACCCGCCTGCATCCGACCGTCTGTGCTGTCCGAGGTGAAAGCCGGCACCACAGAAGATGACCTCACGATGAAGCAGAGTGAAATCCTGCTCATTAATGATGTAATTCAGAGGCATATGGCCACCGGCGGTAAGATCGAGCTTATACACGAGGACTGGGACTTTCTGCAGCTGCACGTTGCCCTGTATTTCCACAGCGAGATCAGTGGAATTCCCATCAACATGGCCCCGAAGAAGACGACGCGCGGCTTAGTGCAGCGACTAAAGGGAAAGCAGGGACGCTTCCGCTGCAATCTGTCCGGCAAGCGTGTGGACTTCAGCGGACGTACTGTCATCTCACCGGATCCCAATCTCATGATCAATCAAGTGGGCGTCCCAGTGCGCGTGGCAAAGATCCTCACCTATCCAGAGCGCGTGAATCCAGCAAATATGCGTCACATGCGGCAGCTGGTGCGGAATGGGCCGAGCATGCATCCGGGTGCCAACTATGTGCAGCAGCGCGGCTCCAGCTTCAAGAAGTATCTTGCTTATGGAAATCGAGAAAAGGTGGCGCAGGAGCTCAAGTGCGGCGATATTGTGGAACGGCATCTGCGGGACGATGACATTGTGCTGTTCAATCGCCAACCGTCGCTCCACAAGATGTCCATTATGTGCCACCGTGCCAAGGTGCAGCCCCAACGAACGTTCCGTTTCAACGAATGCGCCTGCACTCCCTACAATGCCGATTTCGATGGAGACGAGATGAATCTTCACTTGCCGCAGACGGAGGAGGCTCGTGCAGAGGCCCTGATACTAATGGGCAATCAGTCGAATCTGGTTACACCCAAGAACGGTGAGATTTTGATTGCTGCCACCCAGGACTTTATCACCGGAGGCTATTTGCTCACCCAAAAGGAGGTCTTCCTAACCAAGGAGGAGGCTATGCAGTTAGCTGCCTGCTTTATCGCTGGCGAGGATTCCACCATGCAAATTGAGATGCCGCCGCCGGCTCTGATCAAGCCACGTCGCCTGTGGACGGGCAAGCAAATGTTTAGTCTGCTGATGAGACCAAACAGTGCCTCCCATGTCCGCCTCAATATGGTCAACAAGGGACGAAACTACACGGGCAACATGGATCTTTGCAGCAACGACTCCTGTTAGTGAATATATTCTTGTTAGAGAAAGTGAAAGTAATATAATCTGATTAACTCTTATCGCAGGGATTCACATACGCAACTCGGAACTGATGTGTGGTGTCATGGACAAGGCCACCATGGGCTCAGGCACGAAGCAGTGTATATTCTATTTGCTTCTCAGGGACTTTGGTGAGGCGTATGCCACCAAGGCTATGTGGAGACTGGCAAGGGTTCGTATATTCGAAGATCTTTTATGGAAAACATAATTTATTATATGGGATGTTTAATTTGGGGGTCTATATTCAGAAGAAGTGGGCAATATATCTAATATATTGTGCAAAAGTTTGATATAATGAAATTTTAAATATCGGAAGATATATCAAAGCTTAAAAAACGCATAACTTGGTCAAAAAAGTCTTAATTTCTATTCAGAAAGCTGTCCTATGTTAGTTTTTATTAGGTTAATAAATCTGCATTCTCAATTTAATATTTTAAGAAATCTAAATTTTTTTTCAATTTTTGAAAATTTTAACGATGTAACCCCTTATAAAATTTTCAAAAAATTTATAAAATTTTTTTTTCTTGGAAAAATGGCTTGTTCGACTCGGCTTTCGATGCTGATCAAAAATATATATGATTTATAGGGTCGGAAATGACTCCTTCCCTGCGTTTTAAGCTTCTAACTGAAATTATAATACCCCAATAGGGTATAATTAATTAATTTACTTTATGTCTTTTTACCGACCATTTTGGTTTGATAAATTAAGCAATATATATCTTTTGCAACGTTTAAATATTGATTAACATATATACTCTTGCTTAACATATCTATACATGATATCTTTGATATATTCTGCCTGCTTGAAAGGTGTTTACATATACATCTCCCGAAACAAACCAAATTTCGAGCTATTTTCTTGACTTTATCTTTCACACTTGTTATCAGAAGAACAAAGCACATTATCTCTGGGGTTTTTTCGAATAAGCTTTAGTGACTTTTTAATAATTACATTAAATTCGCATTCAATCGTCCAATATAATGCCTGTGGTTGTGCTAATGAAGTCCAAGAACGAGGTCAAACGAACATAGCCAGAGGGATACCCGGCGGTGCATTGATCTTCGGCCACAAAGGAGTTAATGCCAATCTGCAGCCATTGGTCTGTGCTGGAGTTGTACGTGATCAAAGGACCGCCAGAATCGCCGCTGCATATGGACATATTGCTGCCATCCGAGCCCTCGGCACACAGAGTTGAGTCCAGGACAACGGAGGCTCCAAAGACGGGCAAGCACTCGCCGTTATCGATGACCGTCACGCGGGCGAACATCAGTGTCTGTGAATAGTCGAGGTACTCGTCATCCATCAATCCGTATCCTGCTACGACGGCCGAAGTGCCCACAAAGTTATTGGATTTCTGGGACTGTGTCACCAGAGTGATGGGCTGAATGCTTTTGGTGAAGACCAAAGGCTGCGGCAGCTGGATCAAGGCCACATCGTTGTTCATCTTATCATTGTAATTCGGATGCACAAAGAACGTGGTGGATGTCATATTCTGTGCCTTTTCGTCGTTCAACTCGATGGTGCCGAAAATGAGAAAGAGCGAAGTATGGCCATAGGCGCAGTGGGCCGCAGTCAGCACCCATTTGGAAGAGATCACTGAACCGCCGCAGAGCAGATCATCCCATTCGTCTCGCTTGAGGATCACCTGCCAGGGGAACTGACCAGCCACTGCTTGGGATCCCGATATGATACGACCTTGCTGTGTAAATCAAACCATAGAGCTTCGAAATATTCCTACTTGACGATGACTGGACTCTACTTACGATACTTTCTGATGGCGCTGCCCCCACAACTGATTGCAATCCAAGACCCACTGCCAATAGCAGCAATAGCAGGCATGAGGACTTTTCGTAATTAACAGTTCCCTCCTTGACATTCATGGCTCTGTCTCTCTGGGCTCTGTCGGTAGCCAGACAATTGTTTTAATTTATATTTGTCACATTTCATGTTATCTCTCCTCCTGTCTGTATTTCGCACAAATTGTTTAAAGAATGTGAGTTGGACTGAATTCTGTGATAAGATTAACTACTTACTGCTAAAATTACGTCGGTTTGCTACGCTCGAGACTGCCTGGGGTATAGTTTATATGGTTAATACCTTGTTTATAGCGATTAATGGCTTCTTAGAACATGATTATAAGCCTTTGAGCACTGTGCGACTTGTCCCAGGGTCTTGGCTTTATTTAGAACTGCGGGTGAAGCACGTTCTATTTGTGAAAGGGAATTTCTTTTCTGCTTATTTTGTTTATGTATAAAATGTTTATTAGCTGCAAATGCAGGTGATTTGAGTACAGGGTATTCTAGAGTCGCATTTTACCCTTTACCTTAAAAGTGTTGACGGCCGTTCGATCAGAGAGTGTGCGGAAGGAGGAGGCTTCCTCAATTCATACAATCCAAGCCAGGTGAATAGGTCCAGGGAGGGAATTACATTAATTGGTGAAATTAATCTGATAAGTAGAGGTAGGTAGGTTTCGTTTCTAACTTATATTGTAGCTGATCCTCAGATCTGTATCATAACTTCCCGTCTTCAGCTGATAACTCATTGAAGTAAGACAATCTAGCCCTGATTTCTGGTAATTAATCATGCCAACTAGCTCGTGCTTGCCATTATCTCTAGCACTCTATATATCTCTATATACGTATACGTATACCTTGTGGGGTCCGAAATGTTTACCACTTTGCCGTCATAAATATTAATTTAATTTACTGTTCTCTCCCCCTTCAGATTGCCTCGTACTTCCTGCAGAACCGTGGCTTCTCCTTTGGCATTAGTGATGTGACACCCAGCAAGAAGCTGCTGGAGCACAAGGAACGCCTGCTAGAACGCGGCTATACCAAGTGCAATGAATACATCGACAGACTTAAGAACGGCACCCTGCAGAGCCAACCTGGTTGCACGCCGGCCGAAACTCTGGAGTCTGTAATGCTACGTGAACTCTCCGGCATCCGTGAGCAGGCGGCCAAGACCTGCTTTGCCGAACTGCATCCCACAAATAGCGCTTTGATAATGGCCCTCAGTGGTTCCAAGGGTTCGAATATCAATATATCCCAGATGATTGCTTGCGTGGGCCAGCAGGCCATCAGTGGCAAGCGAGTGCCCAATGGTTTCGAGGACCGTGCCTTGCCTCACTTTGAAAGACACTGTGAGTAAACAGAAGTTTATAATTCCTACAGACTTAATCCATTCTTGTATTCCCATAGCTGCCATTCCCGCTGCCAGAGGCTTTGTGCAGAATAGCTTCTATTCAGGTCTGACGCCCACGGAGTTTTTCTTTCACACCATGGCCGGTCGCGAGGGCTTGGTGGATACGGCTGTGAAAACAGCAGAAACGGGTTACCTGCAACGACGGCTGGTGAAGTGCCTAGAGGATCTGGTGGTGCACTACGATGGCACAGTAAGGAATGCCGTAAACGAAATGGTGGATACCATATACGGTGGCGATGGCCTCGATCCAGTTTCTATGGAGACGCGCAACAAGCCCGTAGATCTGGTCCATCAGTATGACAATCTGAGGGCACAGAATCCACGTGGCCAGCAACGTCCACTAGTGGGTGCCGAAATTCCCGAGGTTTTGGAGCAGCTTCTAAAGACGGAAGAGTTTGCCGAGGCCCGCGAAGACTTTAAAGAGGATGTTAGGTGAGTGCAGGGGAAATCCGCCTTCTACGACAACTCACATCCGTTTTATTACAGAAAACACCTTGCCACTGTCTCGAAACGCATTGAACTGCTGCACAAGCGGTATGACGGACATGAGGATCTATGCCACGAAATCGAAAGCATCACGACGGAGCAATTGCAGGAGTTTTTGCGACGCATCAATGATCGCTATAACCGCGCCGTAACCGAGCCCGGCACGGCTGTGGGAGCCATTGCTGCCCAGAGTATTGGTGAGCCCGGCACTCAGATGACCCTCAAGACGTTCCATTTCGCCGGCGTTGCCTCGATGAACATTACCCAGGGTGTGCCGCGTATTGTGGAGATTATTAATGCCACGAAAACCATATCGACGCCCATTATAACAGCCGAACTAAAGAATAACCACAGCATGGAATATGCCAGGCAGGTGAAGGCTCGCATCGAGAAGACAACGCTGGGCGAGCTATCGTCCCACGTTGAGATCGTGTGTCGACCGCAAAGCTGCTACATTGCCATCGGCGTCGATATGGCGCGCATCAAGCTGCTGGGCCTGAACGTAAGCCTGGACTCGATTGTGGCCAGCATTCTGAGGTCCCGCATGCGCGTTAAGCCCTCCCAGGTGGAGGTGGCTGTCAAGATCTCGGGAGTCGTTGTGCGTGTCGAGGCCACACGGACAGCCACCATAAACGCGGAGCTGGCACGTCTGGCGCTCAGCCTGCAGAATGTCGTCGTGTCCGGGCTGCCGAATATAGCACGTGCCGTCATAGCCGTGGACGATGCTAGACAGCCGCCCACCTATAAGCTTTGCATCGAAGGATATGGACTGCGGGATGTCATTGCCACATATGGTGTAATCGGCGAAAAGACACGCAGCAATAATATCTGTGAAATTTATCAGACGCTGGGCATTGAGGCAGCGCGTACCATCATCATGAGCGAAATTACCGAGGTGATGGAGGGACACGGCATGAGTGTCGACTGGCGGCACATTATGCTGCTAGCCAGCCAGATGACAGCCCGCGGCGAGGTGCTGGGCATTACACGACACGGCCTGGCCAAGATGAGGGAGAGTGTGTTCAATTTGGCATCGGTAAGCCCACCCTTTAATCACTTTTCTAGCTCACGGTATTAATTGTTATTCTTTCCCTGTTTCAGTTTGAAAAGACGGCGGATCACCTGTTCGATGCAGCGTATTATGGTCAGACGGACGCAATTAATGGGGTTTCGGAGCGAATTATACTGGGCATGCCGGCCGGTATAGGAACTGGTGTATTCAAGCTGCTGCAACACCACGAGGACAAGCAGGTTCCGCCCATAGAGCAGACCATTTGCAGTTTATTAAATCTAACGCCCACCACATGAGAGGAGGCGTCAGGGTGCTAGCACTTGTTATTATTATTAATGTAAAATTATATTAACAATTTAAAATTGTTTTATTTTTTAATAAGGTAATAAAATAAGAAAATAAAATGCATATTTAGTCCTTATTTTGGAGTTGCAAATGGAGAATATACTTTCATTCCCAGGGGGAATAAATTCCTTATAATTTTTGTACTCTCGCAGGGTATTATATATTTTATTAACTGAAGAAATCATTTCCGACCCTATATATCCTTGATAAGCATCAACAGCCGAACCGATTTGGGCATGTACGGGAGAAAAATGTTGTATCACTATAAATTTAAATTTAGAAATGGGGATCATGGCAAGAAAGGATTGGCATTGAATAAATAATAAATAAATGCATGGGGCAACTAATTCTTAGCCTAAAATAATATCATTGTCATTGTTCAGACTTACCCCAGTAGGTGGAACACGGTGACTTCAATTAGGCATGGTCATCTTCTTCCTGTTTATCCATATCCATTCCATAGGTTTGTTGACAATATTTGGGTCGAAGTGCACTATTATTATCACTCGCACTATCACTACACATTTTATCACTGATAAGGGCACGCACATACTGAGCCAGCTTCCTGCTGGTCATCCAGATGCATTGCATCCGATTAATCGACTTTATTTTGGTCGAAATGCACTATTATTATCACTCGCACTATCACTACACATTTTAACACTGATAAGGCCTCGCACATATTTGAGCCAGCTTCCTGCTGGTCACCCAGATGCATTGCATCCGGTTAATCGACATAATTTGGGCCGAAAGTGCACAATCACTCTCACTACTGATAAGGCCACGCACATATTTGGGCAGAAGTGCACAATCACTCTCACTATCACAACAGATTTTATCACTGATAAGGCCACGCACATACTGAGCCAGCTTCCTGCTGGTCATTTAGATGCAGTGCATCCGATTAATCGACATTATTTGGGTCGAAATGCACTATTATTATTATTCGCACTATCACTATACATTTTATCACTGATAAGGCCACGCACACACTGCGCCAGCTTCCTGCTGGTCATCCAGATGCAGTGCATCCGGTTAATCGACATAATTTGGGCAGAAAGTGCACAATCACTATCACTTCTGATAAGGCCACGTACATAATTGGGCAGAAGTGCACAATCACTCTCACTATAACTCACACTATCACACAAGATGTTATCACTGATAAGGCCACGTACATACTGAGTCGGCGCAACAGCAGCGCTCGTAATTATACTTTTTCAGCAAAGAGTACATTAGAGAGAGTAAGAGCGAGAGCGCGAGAGTAAAAGCGATGCCTCTAGCGTTAGGCAGAGTGAGACAGAGAAAGAGAGCTTTTAACATTTAAATTTAACGATTGTTCCTATAACAGCTACATATGTATACGATATAGTCGACCGATTTTGATATAATTAATACAGTAATTATAAAATAATACCAAATGGCTTTATCTTTAATTAAAATATGATGCAAATATGTTGAAAAGTGGAAGTTATTTTTTGTTTTCAATAAATGTACCGATCGTTCTTATGGCAGCTATATATATGATATAGTTATTCGATCCGGCTCGTTTCGATATATAAAGTAGTAAGAGTATATAGAATTCTAACGGCAATTTAATTTAAATTAATTCAAAAATCAAAAATAAAGCATAAAATGCGTAATGAATGCTTCTCCCTTTTGAGAAGTGAAAAATCTTGAATTTTTTGATTAGAATCTTCACATTAGTTTATTTCTGTAGCTTCACACACATATTGACTTTTCTCTCTCTTCCGTTTGCTTCAGCTCTTTTTTTATATAATAATAAAAGTAAAAAATAAATAAATATAGCATGCCGCTGCTGATGCTGCTGCTGAGTTAAATATTATTCCATTTCACACAGATGGAAATGAATATAAATGACTTTGTTTTCGCTATTCCAAAACGATTTAACCAATTATTTATGAGTTTTGGCTCTTACGCTTTATGTACTCTAATAGTATACATATATATATATATTGTCATATATATATATATATATAAATATTGTTATAAAAGGTATATGTATGTATAAATCCATAGATGTATGAAGAGGGGCTTACAGGCGCACACAGTTTTAGCTGATCATCTCACGATACTTGAGCTTGTGCTTGGTCAGCATGTCGGTGACGGTGACGAGCTTCTTAATTGAGATTATGTTGGATAGTTCGTGCAGTTCCTGTAAATGCGACACGCAGATGTGATGCAAGGTGGCCAGCTCGCGTCCTGATGGGAATTCGAAATTAATATTTATTAAAAATCGGAATAAATAGTAAAATATAGCCTAGCTTACCTGTATCCTGCGAATTATGATTAATGCTTTGGTCGACAAACATGCCCAGCGGCGGATTCGGATCAGTTACCAGGGATAGTTGGTCCAAAAGACAATCATGCGTTCTTTGTTCTTCAGAATGAACGGATTCACAACCTCCATGTATTGTTCCTGCGTAAAATATATACATATTAATAATCTGCAGCTAACTTCTGATAATAAAACACCCTTACCTTGCCTCCGAACTCTATCAAATTGGCTAGATTTTGTAGACACTTGGCGACCATGACTAAGGAACGTGTGGCGGCCATGGGCGGCGTCTCACTCACCAGGCCAAACTGGCGTGGATTGAGCAGCGCCGGGCACAGCAGACGCAGAAATATAAACCCAGAGACGACACGGGTGCGCACCAGTCGCTCCGTGGGCCACTTGGCCATCACCGCCTTCTGGAGGCAGTTGCAGATGTAACGCACGTTCCGGGGACAGGCGTCGGGCGATGTGAAGATCGATTGGGTAACCAGATCGAGAATCTGCAGGAGAAACTCGGCATTTGTGCAGGCATCATCGTTGACGTCCATTTTCGTAGGATTCAGCTCCGCCGACTGCTTGCTTTCCAGAATCCGTTGCACCGTCTCACTGACCGCCGACTGCAGGAAGCCATTGCATTCGGTGCGCATATATAGATCCATTAGTGTGGTCGCTAGCGAGGCGCCGCGGAAGAGCGTCGTCGTCTCGTTCTCGCGCATCACCTCCGCCTGGCACAGTGTCCGTATCAGTTCGGTTTCCCGCTTCTCGTGCCGGAACACTCGCAGCAAAGCCGTGGCCAGGGGCACACGGTCGTTGTGACAGAGCTCGGCCAGAGCCTTCACCGCATACAGCTCAGATTCGAGAAGCAACTGCTGCAGGGGGCTGTACTCCTCGCAGGGCATAATCAGATCGTCCAGATAGCGCATACGAAGACGCAGCGAGCCCCACTCTCCCATGGGCGTCATGCCGGTGAGCTGGTACCAGCCTTCGGTCTCCTGGCCATTCTTAAGGCTAGATAAGTCTATGGTTAACTCGGCCACCTCCGAGTCCTTGCCGCGTTTGCCGCGAGAGATTAGGGTAATGGTTAGGGAGACAACGTCTGGTGGAACGTCACTGTAAGCAGAGGAATCAAAGATTACAAATACTGAGAGAAAGAGGACTTCTTGTGATACTTACTCCAATACGAACTCCTCCTCCCAGACGGGTTCTGGTGCGATCTTGACACGAGTCTTGCCAACCTTGACCTGGTTGAGCGAAATACTGCAATAGGGATGTGGCACTAGTTTAAATGGCAATCGATGCGCCTCGAGGACGTGCAGGTTCAGGCAGCGCAGTTCGCGCAGGCGGGAGACCTTCTTCTGGGCCCGACTCAGTTGCGAGTCGCACTGGGCCTTCAATGCGTTTATCCACTCCACATAGCTCTCCTGGCTGGGTGCACACAGATACGTGACCGTGGCCAGGCAGGGCAGAGCCCGTTCGACAATCTGGAAGCAATAGGGTCGCTCCCACAGAGAGTCGTGGCACTGATAGAGATACGCACACGAGAGATCTATCAGACCCTTCGGTTTGGTTTTCTTGGGATTGTCATAGAAGCAGAGCTGCGTCTCGGACCCATCGTTAATCAGGGCGAAGTACAGTTGCTTCCATTTGGCCGTCTTGTCAGACTTCTTATTCAAATGGCCATGGTGCTTGATGCCCTTGATCTTCTTGAGGCCAATCTGGTCGCGGCATTCCCGCAGCGTGGCATAGATCTTCTCGGCTGCCTTCTCCACCACATACTGCTGATTGAACTCCGGCTGGATGCCGTTCACTACCGGATGATTGAGTGAATGTCCCTCCACGATCTGCTCCTTGCGATACCGATTAATCACGGCATCTAAACACTCAAACGTGCGTCCGCCCATCAAATACCGAACGCCCTTCTTCTCAATGCGAAAGCGTTGGATCTGGTTGTTGATATGAAAGAAGAGCGAGTAATCACCCGGTGAGTTGTCACTGGGACGAACCAGGAAGCTTCCGGGGCCAGCTGCAGGGGAGAAATGGAAAGTCATAGCATAAGTATATACAATTTGATAAGTAAACAAGTAAATAGAAACATTCTTAGATAGATAAACCTTATAGAAACGACTTCATACCTTTAACTAGCATATCGACGGCCTCATTCTTTGTACAATTCGGATGGAACCAGGGAAACACGGTATTCGGATCGATGGACACATCCAGGTCATCCACCAGTTCACGGAATATCATTCCCTGTTCGCCAGTACGATGAGCTGTCACCCACAGCCAGCCATCACCCATGTCGTTGTGCACAAAGAAAATATCACCCTTCTGGAAGCTCAACTCATCCGTTTCGGGCATTTTGGTGTAAGGCAGGATGGCAACCACACGCTTCTTGTCATTAACTGGCTCCGGCGGTGCTACGGGTATGACTAGACGCTCCCGCTTCAGCAAGTCGCTGCATGAGGTATAATAGCCGACGAGATCACTCAGCGAGATGAACTGTCGCCCGCCAATGTAAAAGTCACCGCACACGGCAGTGATCCTAAGGTAAAGCAGTAAATATATCGAATTTTAGAAGTCGGGTTAAGGCAGGAGTAGCTAATAACTACTCACCGGAAATGGTTAATGCCTGTGCGTCCGTAATAGCTTAGGACATAGGAGCCAGGCTTGCGGTCACTCTCGCGAACTGTGATAACCATTAGTGGGTGAAAAATACAATTAAATTGACAGGAAACTCACCCAAATAGCTGCCTAATTTACTGCTTCCCCTCAGACGGGATTCAGCAGAGTAACGATCAAGTCTTCCGTGGTACCACTCGCTTTCCGGCGGGGCAATGATGGCTGGACGTTCCCCTGAAAGAGTTTTCCCATAAATATACAATAATTACAGATCAGAGAGTGTAATCTTGTTACCATTAAGCATGTGGGGCCCATCGAACTCATCCTGATCCAATTCCTGTGCCAAATCCGCCAAATCAATGCCGCCACCGGCCATCATAACACCCAAGCCACTCATGCCGCCCAAGGCTGCCAGGTTGGCATCGTCCGTTGGCGACCCTGGTTGATCCTGAATGACAACGTCTACATTGCCCAAATGCATTAGATCCGCCATATGTTCCGTACGCTGGGTGAGTAAATGCTTAATGCTGGGGACCTCCGGATCGTCCGAACTCTCCGCTTAGTGGTGGCCACGTATAGCAAGGATAGGCTTGCGTTTATTCAAGGGAATGATGGCAGGCTCTTTTGATTTCATTGGGGTTCCGGAGGAGGACTGTTTGGAAGAGGATTAAATAAAATAGTAAGTACATAATTGCTAATAAGTCAAAAGAAAAACAAACATTTAAGTGGAAGAAAGTAAAAGTTGTTTAATAATTGCAAATAAAAGCCGTCGAGTGCAAATATTAGCGACGACCTAGTCTGGGGGCTTTCAAGGGAGCAATAAACCGAATGGGGGAACCCACTTTATTGTCTTTCAAGATAAGCGAGTCAACAACGCACAAAGAGAAAGAGAGGGAACAAATGTTTATATTTATATTTAGTATAAATCATTTACCAAACTTACTCTCATAGAATCACAAATTAATTTTAAAAATTAATTCCAAATTGAATCAAAACAGATGGAGCTATCCCATTAATTGTTTGTTAATCGGACAACTCACAATTTCTCCGAGACCACACCTCAAAATTGAGGCCAAAGGAAAAGTGCGAGTGCAAAATTTGGGACTGGACTCCGGCTCCGCCTGGCACACGGGATAGACAAAGAAGGGTCCCGCATGAAGTGAAGGAGTGTCGGAAAATGTTGACAGCTTTGAAGTGGCACCGCTAAATATAACAAAAGAGTAGCACCACCACAAACGGAAAACCGGGAGACAGGGAGGATATATAAGTTCATAGAACACGCTGCGTAGTCACTCCCTTTCCATCGGTAGGAGCTGAGGGGGGTGCTAATTGGTGGGCATATTTGTTTATATTTATTTGCGGTATGCACCGGTATCGGGAACCGTGTCATCATCATCGGACCACGAAGAGACACCACCCACCCCGGTCGTATATCACAAACGGGGTTACAGACACGCACACAGGCACACTCACTCACGCACACACAAGATGCTGGGAGCCCAGCTCAGCCCTTGCCCCCGGGGGCCGCTTCGGCTATTCACACAGACACGGAGCCGAAGGCATACGATAAACAGGCGAAAAATTAAACTCTGCTCGTCGCCGTCGTGGGCTTAGCCATGAATCACTCATACAGCCGCACTTATATTCCTCTGGAGCGGAGGCACGGCACACTCCCACTTCTTGGTTCTCTGTTCTCCGTTCTCCAGCTCCGCCTTCGTCTCCGTCTCCGCTCTGTCGGCAGTAAGGCAACAAATAAAAATTGAATCATACATTTTCCACAAACGATGATGTATTGGGCAAAGCGCGACTGGGCCTACACATTACAGGGCACTAAACAAAAAACAACAGCGCACGTTGTTGGCAAACTAATATTTACGTTTTTGGCTTCATTTACATTAATAAAACAAGTAATTTACGAACATAACAAATTTGTAGATTTTAAGGACAAAATTTTCTTCCGTACCGATTACTAGAGGTGCAAAACATCGATGGAAACATCGATGGCATTTTATTATTCATCGATGTTTTGTTCGACCATCGATGTTTCCGTGCCGTCACTGTCAAGAGAGTTTTGTATGCACTATCGATACTATCGATATATTTAAAAAGAGTCAATACAAGGCAAACTCCAATTTGAAACCATTTATATGTTAAACTTTGTACTAGGACTGCATTTTAATTATTTTGGGGGAAAAATCAACATTTTTTCAATAAAAAAGTTCTACGCGTAAAATTGTGTTATATGGGAATGCAGTTAATCGACGTTACTGTTATCGTTGTCAATGTTAAATTGCTGGGAACTATTGTAATTGGAATATAGGCGGGTGGATTCAAAAATGTATTAATTTAATCAGCGTTATCCACTTCTAGGGAAACTATAAACATGTTTCACTGTTCCCTCATTAACATTTTCCACATTTATTTACTTCGGTAAAAAAAAAACATACGTTTTAGCGATACTTCAGGTATTGCAGCTATTCCTTTTCATATATTATGGACTCATCCTTAAAGTTGTGCACCTTATCGTACCAAACATCATCGCTGGAATCCTCGTAGGACGTGGGAAAGGGCGGCGCCTCCTGGTTCTTGCGCAGCGGCAGGATTGTGTCGTATATGTAGACCAGGCCATTGGTGGGACCGGCCACGGCGCTGCCCTGCACCCACATGACATTGTATTTCGAGTTGATGCGCCAGATGCGCAGGCCCCTGATCACGCGCCACCGGTTGCCCATGTGTCCGGGCATCTTTGTGCCGGGCCAGACGCGACCCTTTTCGCCTCCGCCGCCAATATTGCCGGCACGACGATGCGTCTTGGTAACACCATGTGATGCGGGCATGCCCTTGAAGCCGTGACGCTTCACCACGCCCTGGAAGCCATGGTCAACTCTATAAGGGAATAAGGAGAATTATGCAATTGCTCAAACCAGGACAGGATGGCCAGGTTACTCACGTTTTTCCGCGAACGTCAACAAAGTCGCCAACACGGAAGTGATTTGCATTTAGGGGAGTGCCGGGCACCAGGGCCGCCTCGGGGGAAACAAAGAAACGGGCCAGGTTCTTCTTGGGCACGACCCCAGAGTCCCGGAAGATTCCCGAATACTCTTTGGTCAGCAGCACGGGGTTCGTGCTCTCAGACCCCACGATGATGCAGCCGCGCTTGTTGTTCGCAGCAGGTTCAAGGCGCCCGGGCAACTTTTGGGCTACATACTCCTCCGGGGGTATGTATTTGATCACATGGTTGTCCACAACCTGCAGCAGCGTGGTTCGTATCCGCTCGCCGTTCTTCAGCCAGAGTGGATACTGGCCAATCTTGCGGGCTATCACGCCGCAGCGCCTAATCTGTGGGGTCCATGTTTGGGGAGGCGTCGACAGATCCTTTGTCTTGACCAAGTTCTGCTCGTATGTCTGGACACCTTTAATCAGCGCTGGAGCACCGAAGCCCTCGTGGACCAGATCGTTGATAAAATGCTTATTTTCCGCCGTCACCAGGTCTCCCCGATTCTGTGGAAATGGTTGGGCAAATCAATTAGTAGGGTTTTCAGTTAGTTTTTTCATGGGACAGGAACTTACGGTGACTTCCTTGCGCAGAAACCATTGGGGATTCCGAAGCCGGGGCCGGCTCAGGTGGCCCTTGTCGCGGACCTGCGTGAGCAGGCCACCGCTGGGCCTGAATGAAACGAACAGTAAATTATAATGTATTCTTCTACACACAATGTGGAGGCGTTATTTATACTAACCTGAGGCCCATTAATTGAGAAATAGCAGTTCGAATCATACTATTTCTACTTATTTTATATAATGTAACCAAAGGCCAGTGTGACCAGCTTGTGCTTCGGAAAATACGTAGCACGCTGCTGCAACAGCTGATTGGAAACAGTAGGACCAAATTATTGGTATTTACCAAATACTAAATTAAAAAAATAGCAATTTGTTGAATAAAACATTAAGAAAAGTGACTGCAGACATATGAACATGGCTAGATAGACTCGGCTGTTGATGCTGATCAAGAATATATATACTTTATAGGGTCGGAAATAATTTATTCACTGCGTTGCAAAATTTTTGACCTGAAATCATATGACAAAGCAAGGGCATTGAAGCACTAGATTTGAGAAGCAAATTTTCGAAATAACATTTAATAGTCTGCTCAATAAATGATATTAATATTCTAAGCAATTTGGTAGCTGTTTCATCGAAATCCGTTCAGTAGTTTTGGAGAAATTAACATTTGAATTATTAATTTATATACTAAGGAGGCATGACTGTGCACCCCTGGTAGCCAACTGCAATAAATGAAAAGTCGGGATTTCTCATTAACGACTGAACGGATTTTGATGAAACATAGATCAAAATGTCCAGAATTGCGATGCCGTCTATGGGACAGTCTTCCTTTTGCATAGGTTTAACCATAAAGTTTAAATCAAGTTTTCTTGGTTTTCAGGCAGGCAGGGCTGCGGGATATATTTATTCTTCGCTGATGAAAAAGTCGAGATTTCTTATGAACGACTGAACGGATTTTGACGAAACGTGGATCAAAATGTTCAGAATTGCGATCCCGTTAATGGTACGATCTTCAGCTTGCATACGTTTTATTATAATGTTTAAATCAAATTGACTTAATTGTAGGCAGACAGTGCTGCCAGATATTTTTATTCTTCGTAAGAACATTTATGAAAATAAATGCAAAAGTGGGGTTTTCTCATGAACGACTGAACGGATTTTAATAAAACAACTACCAAAACGATTAGAATGTCAATTCCATTCATGGGGCATGCATATTTCATACAATTGCTTAAATGGTCAATAGGAATATTTTTTGGCGGGCTATTCATCGATAGGGTTTGGGAGGCGCACCTATCGATATGAAGCCAGTGTTTGTGAATTGGATCGAAAAAAGAAAAGACGCTAGCTCATCGACGCTAATTTGACGGACATTCGATATTAAGATGTATTTATAAATAAAACAATGTTTAATTAATTAAACATAAACCTTTGACTATATGTCTGCCAAGCCGCGCATCCTGATTATTGAGCCGTTCTACGGTGGCAGCCACAAACAGCTAATCACCGCCGTCATCGATCGTAGGTTGCCATATGGATCCTCGTGCTGGCAGCCGGTTAATCTTTGAATTCCTCGCTCCCCGCGACCCTCTACAGGTCTTAATCCAACCGACTATGAACTCTTCACCCTGCCTGCCAAGAAGTGGCACTGGCGGGCACGCACCTCCGCCCTCTACTTCTCCCAGTTGATACCGCTGGACCACCAGTACACGGTGCTCTTCACCAGCTCCGTGCTCAGCCTGGCCGAGCTGATAGGACTGCGTCCCGATCTGGGCTCATGCCGGAAGATTGTGTACTTTCACGAGAATCAGCTCATCTATCCTGTGCGAGAGGTGAAGACCCGTGACTGCCAATATGGACTGAATGAGATACTCACCTGGTAAGTGCTACTTATGCTTCTGTTCATCTTAAATTAATCGTACCACCATTTCAGCCTCGTTGCCGACACAGTGCTCTTTAATTCCCACTTCAATCGGACCTCCTTCCTGGACAACGTGCAGCCCTTTCTTAATATCCAGCCTGACTTTCGGATAAAGAATATTCGGGAGAAAGTGGAAAAGAAATGCGAGGTTCTGTACTTTCCCATCAGGTTCAGCGAGTTCCCTAGCCGGCTGGAGAATTCCCTCCGTGCGGAGGGCGAGCCCGAATGCCTGCATCTGGTTTGGCCCCATCGCTGGGAGCACGACAAGAATCCCGAGCTGTTGGCCGAAGTACTCATTGGGTTAAACGAGCGCCAAGTGGACTTCAAGGTGACCATATGTGGCGAGAGCTATCAAACAGTTCCTCAGCCCTTTGAACGCCTGCAGGAGAAGCTGGGCACCAAGCTCATCAGCTATGGGGCATTATCCCGCGAGGACTATGTGAAAACACTGCTTGCTGGCGACATTGTCATCTCGACTGCTGACCACGAGTTCTTTGGCGTGGCCATGCTGGAAGCCACCTATTGCGGCTGCTATCCCATTGCGCCCAACAAGTTGGTGTACCCGGAGATATATCCAAAGGAAAACCTATACAACACCTCCAATGCCCTGATCAAGATGCTAGCCAACTTGTGCCGCAATCCACGAGTGTTTCGCACGCGTCGTGATAAGTTCTTTGAGATGTTCTCCTTTAATCCCTACTCGGCGGAGCACCTGCTTCCTATTTATCTAGATAAAATAAAAGGAGACTAAGGTGGAAGAGATAAGATAAATGTATGTGTTCTTTCCTATTTCGGGAACTTGTGGAATATTTGTATATATAAAGGGATATTCTTTGAAGCAGTATGCAAAAAGAGAAGGCATTATTATCACTGCACAAATCCAAAAGAGAGGGCTTATTTTCGACTTAAACTCTGACTCAGAACAGCCCGAAGTTCTTGCTTTAAATTAAACAAGTATATAAACAATTAGAGCTAAAAATAGGTTTACTTTGACTTTAGAATTGCCTTAAATAAAAACATTAACAAACGGAGCAAAGCTCGGACACGGAATTAGAAGTGATTCTCCTTAAACTTGGGCGGGGCACTGTATTTTACCTTGACATGCGCCCGATACTCCTCGTCGTCGTCGTGGCACTCCTTGAAGCATTGTCCGCAAAACAGCTCGCCATCACAGCCCTGGCAACGGAAGACGGCATCCTCGTTACAGATATTGCACCAGGGGAGTTCCTCCACGGCGGCGTTGTTGTTCGGGACCTGGCTATTGAGTTCTGCCTGTTCATCGCTGGCTATTGTGGGCAAGTTTGCTTCGTCCAAGTACTAGTTGGAAGAGGAATTCATAATGTGAATATCCGATTAGATTTAAACCAAATTGAGACTTACCTTCTTCACTGTATTCTGTAGAATCGTCTCATCATTCTCGTCCTCTTCGTTGTCGCTGGGCGTGCTGACGTTGGTGACGCCGCCGGTTCGACTTGCCTCGGTATCGATTGGAGCATCGCGAAGAGCACGCAAACGGCGCTCAATGTCCGAAATAGCCTCGTCCCGCTGTTCGCCAACACGCTGATCCAGCTCCGATTCCCCCATGAACTGCTCGAGCAGATCCCTGATCTTCTCCTGGTCGTTTCTTTGGTCTGTGGAGAGTAGTAAGTCCTTCTTGTCGTAGTTCCTTTGGTGCGGCATGCCACTAAGATTGGCGAGGCGAGCGCGTATCTCGTCATCTGTGGCATCGACACGCTTCAGGTTCTGAATCCGCTTGGATATTGCACTGTCCAGGTTCTCGTCAATGTCCTCCTCGTGGTTCTTGGAATACGCTGCGGAAGTGGAAGCGCTGGCTCCATTCATGGGCACCAGCACAGCGGCCAGATCCTCGGACGGGAGACACTTGCTGGAAAGTTTCGACTTTCAGTGCCAGAGAACTGGTGCTAGTTTCGGTCTGTACTCACTCGAGAAGAGCGTCGGCCGCCTCGTTGAGTCCATCCGTCGGCGAGGTGGACTTTGGCGGCGGGGCTAGATGGAACTTGGTGACCAACTCGCCGGGCAGGGCGTCGCAGTCCACCACCTTCTCGGCATCGGCGCTGGCCTGCAGCTTGGACAGCTTGTCGTAGCAGATGAGGCAGACATTGAGGACCTTCCCCGCGTGCCGGGGCACGGGCATGGGCCTCTTCAGGCACTTGGCGCAGAAGGAGTAGCCGCAGTTGGGGCATCCGTACTACGAGGGGTTGAAATTTAATGTTTAACTTAATTACTGCCTGTGGACGATACTTGCTTCCTTGCAGAATAGACCATATTTGCGGCTGCAGCCAAAGCAGCTCATTATGGGGAGAAACAGTAACCGCAAGTCAATCACATACAAATTAATTTAATAAAAAGCTTTAACCCTTTTTCTTGGACCTAAAAAGTAAACAAAGAGCTATTCGATAATTCGCAAAACAATCGATGGCTTGCCAAAGCTGAATAGTCGATTGTCTGGCAGTGTCTTCGGTATCTTTCCAGTTCCGCCGAACGGTCACTCTAAGAAAACTTTTGACAAAACACGGCACGCGTCGCTCCGCCTTTCTCTTTTTTTTTTAATACAAACTTCGAGCGGACTTTTACACGGCGCGCGTGATCTAAACGAATATAAATAAAGTGCGCGGCGTTTGAAGGACACAAACAGAAACCAAATCAAGGATATTCCAGCAAAAAGGAAAAGAAGCGAGACCGCAGAAGCGAAGCCAGGAAACGAGGACCTTCGACGGAGAGCAAGAAAACGATCCGAGGGATACAGGGTGACATGTGGAGTCCAACGCACTGCAGTGTAACGGGTAAGTGGGGGCGACACGGGACACCCGTTAGCGAGATCTTTTTGCGGCGGCCTCTCCGGTTTGGTACTGGTATTAGTATGGCAAATAAATCGCATTAAAAATTAAACTTGTTTTCCGTGTCCGTGTGCGTGGAGGTGTGTGCTTGTGTTGCATTTGAGGTTGAGCTGTATGACTGTGTGTGTGTGTGCGCTTAAAATATTGTCATGACAGAGGAGGCAACAGTTAAGTCGTTTGTTTTGTTGCTTTTGAAATTTCACTTTCTCCCCCGCCCCCGCAAGTGGCCCATTCCCAATCCCAGTTCCTGTCTCTCTCTCTCTGTTTTTACTTGTATTCCGTGATTGCGCCTTTCCTATCAGACTGGAATGCTCCGTCTGATAAGATTATTTTGCCCAGCCAGCTTGGTGTGCTTACTCACCGCTAGAAAATTGCGTTTGCCAACTCCTATGTTCGCTATGCGTTCCATTATCCATTTAAGGTCCCACCAAAGCGCCCATCGCATTCTTGTTTACGTTTCTACGCTTTCCATTGTCGTTCTTCTTGCTGTGCTCTCAGGAATGTCAATGAGAAATCACAAAACATAAAACACAAAATGGCAAATCGCGTAAATATTCGTGACAAAAACACAAAGAGCCCATTCTAGCTATCTGTCTATCTCTCTCCCTCTCTTTCCCAGTTGGCAATTATGAAAACAAATATCGAGCAATTAACTACAAGTGCACATTTCTAGGGTACATTGGTATGTGTGCCTCAGCGAAATGAGTCAGAAATTGTTGCCAAAGCATACATAAGTCAACAGAAGATAAACACGGGCTTGATAGATTATTAAATTCTGCCTTTCCACCTTGAACTTGCCCGGCTATGCGGCTCGTGCTTCTCCCCCCTGGCTATTCTCGGCTCGTTATTATTGCCCTGTTCTTGCTTTATTTTGCATATTTGCACAGCAAAGAATAAAACAATGTTTTATTCCAGCGATTAAGAGCCAGCCGCTGACGTCACGGCGAAGAGCAAATAAATCCGACGGCACGTCGTTGTCGTCGCTCTTCCAAATTCGCCGCGTCGCTTGCCTTGTTTGCCTTTTTGACAGCACACGCATTCACACTCACACACGCGTCGCTGTCAATATTTGCACTTGATGAGAGATGAAAGCAAGCTCTTCGGAAACAGCTGTTTTCGCCGCAATTGGCAGCAGTGTTATTTGGTGGGTTAGATCATCATACCCGCCCCCACCCTTAGCTGGCCAACCAACACCTGGATTTCACCTTCCTTTTTGTTTGTTGTTCGAAAACTTTTCCGCAGGCAGTCGCCACAACTCCACCCTTGGAAGTTTTTCCAATTGCGTGTCTTATTTTTAGCCGTAAATTCTTGGCGGCCACTCACTAACTCACACACGCACACACACATACTTACCCACAGACACACCTGAAAATTCCACGGCGGGAAATTGTGCAATGAAAATGCGCTGCAAATGCGGCCATTCAAGCAAACCAAACAAACAAACAAATGAATTTTCCTTTTCATTTACATTTCGGTTTTGGTTTTTTGGTTTTTGCTTGGGTTTTAGTTTTTCTTTTGGTTTTGCAACACATTTTAATGCGGTTGCATTGCACAGAATGAGAGAGAGAAAGGGAGAGAGAGCAATTATCGATAAGGAAAGGTGGCCTGCACAGTAAACCCCCTATACGTAAACCCCCTGTACATAAACACCCTGTAGGTAATTCCTTGGCCTTCCTGCCATATGAAAGGATTTCCCTTGAAAAACTAGCTTCGATTTACCAAGAACTTGCAATTATTAATTATATATACCAACCTGGTACCTAGAAAACTGTTTACAAATCCATTTGATGTAATTTAAATCCAGTAAATATTTATAAACAACTATTTCTATCAAGTTGTATATAAAAATGGAATCAAAATACTCCTATTTATTAAATCTATCCAATCGCAGGCTGTTTTCTTAGAAGAACTCCAATTACTAATAGGGAAAACGAGGTTTTCACAAGCTATATGGGAAGATGATATCAAATTTCATATAAATCTAATTACTATTAGTATATTTCTGTGGAAGGTTTCGTAACGTAAATATTATAAAAGAAAGTAAAGACAGCCGAGATGATGTACCTACTATATTTTGCACATTGTTTATAGTATCAAGTACTAGGTGATAAGACCTAAACCGAATGCCCTTTGGTCATGTGTCTTGAGATTATGCCTAGTACCAGGTGTCTCTTGCTCCAGCTACAGCTACATCTACATCTACAGCTCCAGCACTCGTTGCGTCTGACTGTTTGGGACCGTTTTAATGCGGCGCTGTCGATGCACTTATGCGAAACAGTTACGTTCCATTGCCCGACCCATTTAGCCATGCCGTCCGTGCGATGAGTGTGGACTTGGGTGATGAGGAGACGAGAAGCAGCTGGGCACCAGAATGGAATGGAAGCGAACCAAACCGAACCGAACCGAAACGGAGGGTAGGGGATAAAGCAAAAAAAAAAAAAACAGGTCTGGCATTGGATTTGATCTTCCGTCTGGAACTCGGATTGTGGCTCTTCCTTCTCTCCTCTGCAATTGATTATTTTCCAGTTCCAGTTCCAGTGCTGTACTGGCCACATTCTTGCTGCTGCTCCTCCTCCAACTGGCCAACCCATTCCTGATGCTACCCTAGACCCTGCTGAATATTCATGATGTGGGCCTGGGATTCTTTTCGGTGGTCCCAGAGGGGCCTACCCTGAGTATTTATATTCAAAACATGCAATGATAAACAGAAGAAGCAGTAGCAGCAGGGAAGCCCACACCACACCACACCTTCCCTTCCCTTTTCTTTTGCTGCCTCAATGCTAATTGCCTTTCATTTGGGAAAACTCTGGCTTTGCAGCAGGCTGCTGCTTCTGCTGCTGTTTTCCATTTCAAAATCGCACGGCTTCGTTGTGGGTTCAATGCGCGCAAGAAAGAAATTGTTTATGCATAACAATAAAATGATCCGCTGTGGGATAGTTGGTGGATTGTGAATTGTGGGGAGGCATTGATAGACCGTTTACTTTGATCGCCGGCCGTCACTTTGCCTCTGCCTCTTTGCCGTCTTTGCCCCATCGCATATACATATATACATATATCGCATTTTCGCACGATCCGCACTCATATAACATGGCTCGATGTTGCAGTTGCCGCATTAATTGTGGCTAATGCTTTTCATCAAACGGGATCTGCGTCTATCAAGCTGGCCCAGTTTGAACCCTCTTTAAAACATGTGCTGTGTCTGGTTGATATCTGAACCCTGATCTCTGATCTGTGATCTGTGATCTGTGATCCCTGCTCCCCTGGCCCTTGCTTCCAGCCTTGGCTCTCTCTCCATTGAGACATCTCCCAGTGGCTTCAACTTGCTTGTGGCCATTGGGAAAGCAGTCGAAAAGTGATCTGCACAAGAACTGGAAATGGGGCAGCAAGTGGCTCATTAGCATGCGTGGTTGGATGCCCCAAGGAGCAATGGCCTCGGGCTGCGTACGTCTGTACATTCTGCTCTGGCCACGCCCCCGAAAACAAAAAGTGGAACACGAAGAAACCAAGTCTCGAAAAGTGCGTGCTGGGAATTCCACTTGGCTGTCATTATAAGAAGCTAGCTAGATGGTTCTTTCCTAATACTGCTGCATTGGGTCTTTGGTATGGTCTGTAGATACTTCTTTACCCCTTGCTCGCTCTGGAATAATCTCCACGGCCCTGGAAATGAGGACTTTCTTGTGGCTTACCTGCAGCTGAATTTGATGCGGTGCATCGCTGGAAACGGCAGGCAACTGGGAAATGATTTCATTAAAATTAATTAACCCCAAAGTTGACCTCACAGACAGATATACACACAGATACCGGTATAGATACAGCTTTTGTTGAAACACACAAGCCAAAAAGGTCAACAAAATGCGACGACAGTCGTCGATTGATGTTGTTTTTGCTGTTGTTGTTCATTCTATTGTTACCGTCTCTGGGGTCACATAAAACGGAAAATAAAGGTGCAGTCAGTCAGCTCGTTTGTCTCCTCCTCTCCTCGTTTTCTCTATTATTTGTGGAAGCTTTTAGGTATAATTGACAGTAAACTAGCAGTGCTAACTGGGGGGGAAGATTGAATCATTCAAGTACTGACTACGTGACACACAACTCTCTAGTATGAGGCTTAGTTCAGTCAGTAGAAGAGACGACCTATTTGTGGGAGCAGTAAGGTGCCTTGGTTCATGGACTAGATCTGTGTGGGGTTTCAGCTGCAGAAAGATAGTAGAAACGGGTCTAGAAAGTGAATCTAAAAAGGTTAAAAGGAACTTGATTGAAAGGTAGCAAGTGAGCAAAGAACTTACCTAGAAATAGTATACTTTCAAGTCCCTTTGGACCCCTTTCCCATCTGAAATCTGATCAGCATCAATAAACAGTTCGATTGCCACTGAGTGTACGCTCAACTGACACAAAGAAATTTCTCTTTTTTGGTATCGATAAACAACGACCGTTATTTCGGGCTTCTTATTTGGGCCACGCGCTGGAAATGACAACAGGTGATTCATTCAACTGGCTCTGGAGCTGAGTAATCAATCCCGCCGATCCTTACCTGGCCAAGATATGGATGGGCTTTACTGCCGCTACATGCTGGTTATATAGATAATTGCTCGAGTTCGGTGTGGTAGGAGGTAGGGTTGGCCTTTATGCCATTGAATCACCTTGTCTGTACGCCCTCCTGACTGCTTCTGTTTGCTCTCGACAAACCCCTCAATTAGATCCCCTTCTTCCCCTCTTCGCCATTCAGCACGTGATTGAATCGAAATTGAAATGGGAAAAGTGCAAAAAGTGTTAAGAGTGTGTTGGGCTTCTGTTTTGGCAGTGATTTTATCACCTCTCTCGCTCTCTCTGCCAAGATTGCTTCCCTTTCGCCCCAAAAGCGAAAATTAAATGCGCCACTATTGGTACAGTGGGACAATAGATACAGAATTTTAAAAGGAATTCCTTCAGATTTCGGGTAGATAAACCATTGGGAACCTACCTTAACCTTATCTTGGAAGAAATGCTTTAATAACAGCCTAATTTTGTTTGAGGTAATACCTATTTTTATACCCTCGCAGAGGGTATTTTAATTTTTGTCAGCGAACGCGTCATTTTCGACCCTATAAATCATATATATTCTTGATCAGCATCAACAGACGAATCTTTCTAGATATGTTGGAAAGAAAATTTTTTTTACAATTTTTGCAAATTTTTATAAGCCATCGTTGAAATTTTCAAAAATTGGCAAAAATTTGAATTTTTAAAAATATAAAATGCACTATGCAGATTTCTTAACTATCTAAAACACTAGCGTAAAGCAGATTCCCAAATTTAAATTAATGCATTTTCGGGTTAGTTATGTTATTTTTAAACTTTGATTTGTCAAGAAAAAAGATCATATAAAGATGTTGATAAAAATTGATTTATTTAAATTGTATACTTGTATTATTATTCTTAGCTTTAAAGGCTAAATAGGCTAGTATTTGTGTTCAACTAAAAGTCAGAAAAACAGTTTTTAAGTAGAGGTTAGTAAGCTCGCAAATTTGTCTGTTAAATATCAAGGAGTTTGCAGATTAGCCTATAGTTAAAAGAAATTATATATTCTTGTGAGATTATATTCCTAACCTGAAAAGGTATGTTTAAAGTTATATTATTATATATGCTTAAGAGACTTAACATTTTAACACTTGATTTAATTAAAACAAAAGTCTGCTTAACTGCCTTCTAAGTTTAACTTAAGGTTAACCTAATACTTTTCAGTAAACCTAAGATTTTGTGGAGAGAAATATGCCACTTTTGCTCCACTGTGCGGACCATTAGTTTTGAGAGGCGGCCATAAAAGCGGACCAACTTAACGGTTTCGCCGTTGGTGGATCGCCGCCCCCTCTCCTTATTCCCCTATCTTATGGCTAGCATTGTTTGCTTTTTGTTGTTGTTTTTAAGTTTTTGGTTTTGGTTTCTTTTTTTGGCGCTGCTTGCCATGTTTCTTCTTGCCTTTTGCCATTTAGTATTTGGCATTTCTATTTTTGGGGCTCCCCTCCATGCAGGCAAATATACACACATACTTATATATAATATATATTTATGAGAAGGGAAAAGGGAAGGGAATTTGCAGGGCATTCGGAGGAGTCCATCTATCCATCCGTCCGTTCGATCTGCATATCTTTTGGCGTCCACTGAACCGCTGCACGAAATTACCGGGCGGGTCATTGACAGCCAAGGCACTCGGAGCCATCCATCTTCCCATCGATCGCATTCATTAGCCAAAGAAAAGCCATAAGCCAGATGAGATGAAGTGGAATGGGTTGAACAGGTGGCATGGAAGAGGTCAGGCTGGAGCTGGAGCTGGAGCTGAAGCTTAAGCTGGATCATCGATATTAGCCACTGGCTTTGGGCCCGTCTTTAGCCTCAATTATCGGCGGGGGAGACAGTAAAATGGTAGAAAAACGGGAAAAAGCGGCAGCAAACTTCCCAAATTGGCTTAAAGGTAGGCAGGTGAGGAAAAAAAAAACTGTTAATGCGATAATAATTATGAGAAGACCACCCACCCCGCTCGAGGAAAACCCAAAGGAAAATGAAACCGAGATGCAGAAATCTGCAATGAGCAGAGGCAATGCCTTTCTCTCCCCTCGCACTCATTGGGTGCATGTGTTTTTCCGCTTTTCTTTCTCCTAACCCCCCTCTTTCGGTCGATTTTCACCGCCTTTCGTTGACACCGCTTTTCACTTTTTTTTTTTTTGTGCCCGTATTGTTTATGCCCGGTAATTGCTTCTGCTTTGCCAGCTTTTTGTAGTATTATTTTATATTTTTTTGTTGTTGCTGTTAAGCATTACGAAACCCCGGGCAAGCGCGGTTTCTTTTTGGGGGATTGAGCAAGTGCTGCCTGGCATGCACCATCTCACACTTGAATAATCAAATCGAACCGGGAAGGGAAGAAGCTTTCCATCGCCACATCTGGTGGGTGGAATGAACTTCGGGCCGGGAATTATGGGATCGCCATCGGTACCGGTACCGGTACCGGCCCCATCCCAAAAATAGATCGTTTCGATCGAAATGACTTAATTTCTGGTGCTTGGAGCAGGCACACAGCGTCTACGGGTGTCACTTCCATTCCCATTCCCATTCCCATTCCCATATCCATTTCCGGCAACTGTGCTGGAATCAGAGCCGGCACCGAGGTCTCTGCGAAACTTAAAAACAGAAAATAAATAAATATAAATAAAAACGAAAAGCAACAGCAAAAGCAAAATCTAAGCCAGCGATTGTCGCCGCCATTCGGTCGAGTGAATCACTTCCCAAATTCGCCGGGGACCCAAAAGGCAAATTTCGAGTAGTTTCACTTGAGCGCCTCGTGACCTCGAGCCCGACAAAAGCATCCGGCGCAGATATGAAAGCCGCCACGCCAACTGCCACCACCACGCAACCGCAGAGCCACACAATTCGTTGAAGGTGGGTACGGGGGCTCTCTCCCACTGCCAGAGTCATCCGAGTCAAGTTTAAATCCAAATTTTAACACAAATCCCAGCTCCAAAGCTAGTCCCAGCATTGTTTTCCTTTGCCGGCCGACTCCTCCAGATACATTTATTCATGGCCTTCTTGTAGATATTTCTTTGCTCTTTCTCTGCCTCTGATAAGATGAACTCATTTGTCCCAAAGATTTCCGATGATTAGTAACCTAGGAATAGCTGGAAATATAGATAAATCCATACATTAGTGATATTTGATGCTAAATTCTATATATAAAAAGAAAATTTTAAGTTGGGATACATTATGAGAAAATTTGATATAATAAATTGCAGTTTTTTAATATATTTTTATGATATTGATATTTTTAACTTAATTGAGATATTTATCAATATTAACATGACAATATATCAAAGCTTACGTATTTTTATAAAATATATGTAAAGAGTAGGATTAGGAATATCAGAATGTATGGAATAATCGCTGCTCTACTGAAATTTAACCCTGAAAAGGAAATATAAATAAATAATTTTGGGTTGCTATATACAAATATGCATTAAATTGAAATATTTCATATAATTCATGTGAAATTTTTCATTATATTGGTTTGAAAAGGTTAAATTCTATACATTTTCCTATAAAAATATTAATTTATAGATATATGTATATTGAGAAACTTCCACTCAATAAACTATCTAGATATTTTGTTGTTTCCAAAAAACTCTCCATTGATAGTATTACCAATTTTTAGACCCTTGCAGAGGGTTTTATAATTTTAATCAGTGAAGGAGTCATTTCCGACCCTATAAATCATATATATTCTTGATCCGTATCAACAGACAAATCTTTCTAGCTACCTCCGGCAGAAAAATAAAATTTTTATTTTTTTCATCATTTTTAAAGGGGTTACATCGTTAAAATATAAAAAAAAAATTTATGAATTTTCGAATTTTTTTACATATTAAATTGAGTACTCAGATTTGTTAACCCTTTAAAAACTAATATTAAAGTGCTTTCCAATTAAAATGTAGTGTCTTTTTGGCTTAGTTATGGGATTTTTAAACTTCGGTTGTCATGTAAAAATAATTGCATATTTAGTACATATTTTTATACCTTTTATGGTATTTTCACTTTAGTCAAGAGCTTGCAATACAGTGAAGGAGGCATTTCCGACCCTATATTTCATATATATTCTTGATCAGTATCAACAGGCGAATCTATCTAGACATGTCGGAAAGAAAAAAAATTTTTAAATATTTTTTAAAAATTTTATAAGGGGTTACATCGTTAAAATTTAAAAAAAGTTGAAAAAAATTTCAATTTTTGAAAATATTTTATGCAGTATGCAGATTTATTAACCTTGTAAAAACTTGCACAAAACAGGTTTCCGAATTGAAATTAAAGCTTCTTTGGCTGAGTTATGTTATTTTTAAACTTTGGTTTGACTAAAAAATAACATAAAAATATTGCTTTAAAAAATGAGAATGTTTTTGGTCTTCTTGAAGGCATAAAGTGCCAAACAAAGTCAGTCATTGCCAAAAGCCATGTACCTTTCGATTAACAATTAAAATCTTAATTAATTAACAGTCAAATATATAGAATTCAATTATTTTTTGGCTATGAAATTCAATAAAAACCTGCAAGGATATCCAATTTCTTCTTCCCAAAGTTAGCTTTCTTTCTTATTACCTTTGTCTCCTCCATTGCAGTGCAAAGGGCGCGGGGTCTGCTCACCAAAGGCAAGAATGGCACCAACAATTGCTTCGTCACCATTGCCCTGGGCAAGGAGAAGTACCAGACGTCCGTCAAGGACAAGGCTGAGACGAGCGTCAACTGGAACGAGGAGTGTGAACTGTAAGTTAGTGATCTTATTTTCAAGTTTCTGTATTAATATTGTATACCTTTCATAGCAAAATCCCCGATCAGGGCAATCGCGCCGAGCTGACGCTGACCTGCCTGCACAGAAACAACCTGGGCATCGATGAATTCCTCGGCCAGGCCTCGCTGCCCCTCAACGAAATGGATGTGTACGACAGGCCGCGTGCCAAGTGGTTCAAGCTGGAGAGCAAGCCCGGCAAGGAGAAGAAGAATAAGGAGCGTGGCGAGCTGGAGGTCCGCATTGCCTTCGTGGTCAAATCCGGCTCGCTGACCGACCTTAGTAAGAAGGACAAGCACAAGTCTTCCATTGGCCAGCTGGCCAGTTCCGTGGGCGGCAGCCTGCTGTCCATTGGCAATGGCGAGAAGCGGCGTAGCATCAAGAAGCTGGCCGGTTCGCTTAGCTCCAAATTGCACATTCGCAGCAAGAAGAAGCAGGAGGCTGGCGGCGACGATAGCAGCTCCTTTGGCGGCTCCTTTGCCAGCCTGGGCACTCCCAATAGCTCAGCGGGCAGGGGCCAAAACGGAGGCAGTGGCCGGCGACGAGGTGGCCAGCGGGCAGGCGAGGCCGATCCCGGTGTGATTAGCGAGGACGAGGATGAGTTTGTCTTCGATAACCTGTCGCACAAGAGCTCCGGCAGCTCGCTCAACATTCAGCGGACCGGTTTGCAGCCACCGCCAGCAGCTGGGACGCCCAATTTTGCGCCGCGCCATCCATCGCCCTTGCTGAGCAACGGCGTCGTCGGCGGCATCAACAATGGCAGCGGGAAAGGTAAGCCATCGGTTTTGCCAGCTACCCTCGATGAGGACGCACCCATCGACGCGGAGATGGAACAGCTTGAGCTCGATTTCAGTGTCCGTGCCCATGCCCGCGCCAATGCCAATGTGAATGGTAGCGGTGCCAGCAGCAACCTGCCGCCTCCCTCGAAGCCGCCACGCATTCCCTCCTCATCGTCGTCGTCGCAGGCGGAGCAGGAGCAGGAGGAGGAGCAGCAGCAGCCCGTAATTAGGGCCCTGGAACGAGAAAAGCCAAAGGAGAAGCAAGTGGAACCGGATACAAGCAAGGACGAGTGGGCTTCAAAATTATATGGCAGCGGCAAGTACCTGGATATTGGAAGCAGTGATTCCCTGAAGCGTCGCAGCTGGGAGGCACGCGTACCACTGCCCGCCAGTGTCGAGGAGCCACCGCCAATCCCCACATCCAGCTCTTCGTCCAGTTCCAGCTCGGACAGTGATGAGGATGACGAGGAGCAGCCACCGCGGGCAGCTCCTCCACCAGTACCCGTTGCAGCTTCCATTACCGCTACTGTTTCTGGTAAAGCTCCTATTGCTCCTGCTCCAGCTCCTGCTCCACCTGCTGCCGCTGTAGCCACTACCACCACCTCATCCTCACTCTTCTCACCCGACGTGGAGCATCGCAATTTCGATACCTTCAATGCTAGCTTCGCCAAGTACGAGCAGCGCAATAGCACAGCCATCTTTGCAGATGAACCTGAGCTGGATGAGCTGGATGTTGAGCCAGAGAAGCTGCCGGTGCCTACACCCACAGCACGTCCCAAGCCGCAGCCGCGGGTAATGCCCGATCTGAGGGCTGAGGAGGAGAAGGCCAGGGAAGAGGCTGCCCGGCAACTGCGTGCCGAGGAGGATGCTCGCTTGGAGGAGGAGCTGCGTTTAAATGAGCAGCGACTGCATGAGGAGGAAGCGGCCCTGCAGCGAGAGCTAGAGGAGGAGGCCAAGGAGCGGCAACAGCTAGAGGAGCAGCGGCGGCGTGAAACCAAGCGCTGGGAGGAGGACCAGAGGCTGCTCAGCTTCGCCACGCGCTCAACGTCCCTAGAGGAGCCAGCAGTAGCTGTGGCTGTGGCCACTGAGAAGCGTGAACGGGAATTGGAACAGGAGCCGGAGGGTGAACTGGCTGAGCCAGAGCACAATTTCCTCACGCCCGAGCAATCGCCCAAGGAGTTCCAGACGAATGGCGGTGGCAGCGGCACTGGCGAACGCTGGGAGAAGCGGCTGGGCAAGTTCAAATACGGCAACAAGCGAGGTGAGCTGATGAACCCGATCCGATCCGAACCGAACCGTTACCGTTACCGATACCGATCCAAGTCCAGGCTTGCCCTGCACAACCACTTGAACCTCTCAATCAAAAAACTTGATTATCCTGACCTCTCCAATGCATCCGGCGGCGGGCAGGGAATGCGGCGGGCATAAACGCTGGCGGAACGCGAAGCGCACACAAGAAACCGAACCAAGCTAACTTCCAATCAACGCTGTCATCTGTCGCGTCTCATATTCCTGCAAAGTGTTCCTTAAAACATCTCCATGCACTCCCTCTTGTTTCCTGTATCTATTTTCCTATTCTGTTCCCTATTTCCCAAACTGTGTTTTCTTTTGTTTCCGTTGTGTTTTTTTTGCATCCGCCAGTGTTTAAGCATTCCTACCACATCCGCACGCCTATGAAAGTAGCTTCTATTAATCTTGTTTTGATTTTTAGATAAATACAACAATGACAACGAGAGCAACTCGCCCAGTCCCAAGTCCACAGAGCGCATCATCATTGGCCACGAAAAGTCTGGATCGCATGCAGAGCGCCGCTCGGAAATATCCGCCCAGCTGGCCAAGAAATACGAGGGAAAGTCCCGGGAGGTTAGTTTATATTAATATATATACATATTCCCCTCTAACCGATCCTCTTCTCCCCTTTTCAGGAACTAATGCTAATTGCCAATGGAATGGAGAACGAAGCTCTGCTGCAGCGGCAGCGGGTTAAGGAACTAGAGGACTATCTGGACAACCTGCTACTGCGTGTAATGGAAACGCATCCGAAGATCCTGCAGAATCCCTATTCGCGCACCACATCCGCCAAGAGGTACGGCCCCAAATCGTTCTGGTCGCTACCAAGGACCACGCTCACCCACTAACCAAGCAACCAACCAACTGCATGCATGACCCTGACCGCCGGTAGGATTGTTGAAAGCCGTTAGCCATGATTAGTCTTTTACTAAATTCCTTCGTTGCCGTGAAAAGCGGAATTTAAATGTTGATTCGTATCCAATCCAAATTATTATTTTCTTATACATAATATATTGTGTGTTATGTCGCTTTAAATTATGAACCAACAATCCGGCTACGATTAATTCAGTGTCTGTCAAACACAAACCATAAGCAAAGATCTTATTATAACAAGATGAGTAAAGACATTCTATTTTTTTTGCACTCCAATGCTTTCTCCAGAATCTTTTGAAGAAAGCAATTGGTTGCTTGTAAAATAAATGTATTTTTTCATCTTGTAATTATAAAACTTTTGCCATAACCCACAGCCATAATCATTTGTGTGTGTCTTCCCTATAACATTTAACATACATATTCCTATTGTGTCTGCCTTTTCTGTTCGTTTCTTGTCGCCCCTATGTGTCTTGTTGTTATTTTTCGTTTCCCTTTTTTTAACCGAATGCATTTTTGTAATTTCTTTTTTATTTAGTTATAAAAATTACATCAATATGAATGACTTTCTAAAGTAAGTGCTGTGCATGGCTGCTGCTATTTGCATTTAAGTAGAAAATGATTTAAATGAAAGATAAGAAAACACTCGATTCACCAACAACTACAACTACAACATCACCAACAACTACACCACAACAACAACAACAACCACAGCTAATGTGATGACAAGATGATGAAGAAGAAGAAGGAAGAAGCTACTAAATACTGAAGCGGCAACGAAGTAAGATGAACCCGATGAACAATCAACTATTCATCCCATTTCTCTGTTGTCTCGCTCGCTCGCTAGCTAGCTCTCTGTCTCTTTCCCTTTCGCCTGACTGTTGTGATTTTTTTTCTCTGACTGGTGGTCCATGGTTTACCCTCTCTCCTCTCCGCTTGAGCATCCCTATGTAGTTCGCCTAATGCCTAACCATACCCAACCTCAGACCAAAATTTGCTTGCTTACTCATCACAATCATTCCATTCTGTATATTGCAGCGGTTAAGAAAAAAGAACAGCCAAACTTGTCAGCGTCACCAACTTGATATACACTTGTCACACACACACAGCCTCGCCAGAGGAGGAGGCAGAGAAGTAGAAGGAGAAGGAGGAGCTAAAGACGCTGCTGGAGGAGATCAAACACCATGTTGCCTTTGTCGTGAACAGCGAAATTCAAGTGCTTTCTAAATCGTAATACTAAGAAGAATGGGGAGGTGGGGATAACCACTACGATCGTACACTTAAGGGGTGCGAAATTGAATGGTATGTTCACCCAACCCCCTCCCAGATTATTCCCCGTACTAAACTGAACTACATTAATTATACTATACTATATATATATATAAATACGATATGTATGTGTATCGCCAGGCATGCGAGTTGCATTATCGATTGGTTCTCGAGTCCTTTTTATCAATTGATTGAAATTATCCAAAAGTATTTTGTTTTTTTTAATGTCCCATTTTTTATGTAATATTTGTTGTGCAAAAAAAAAAAAGTATAAGATGAGTTTTGAGGAGAAGTTTTTGTAAATCGCCAGAGCGGCCTTTAGTGAATTAAGTCTTAAATTATTTATGTTTTAGCTGTTAAGCAAAAAAGGGGGGACACACACGCATACACACAGTTGAGAAATATGTTGATATCCTACAATGATTTTACTTATTGATATACACCCAACCCAAAACCGGAATAAAAACATTTTTAACATTAATAAAATTTGTCCGTGCGTTTTTAATGGAATTATCGGGTTTCTGGGGCCAATAAACCATTAAATTTGATCATAATTTTGCAATTTTAAAGCTGTCCTTTACTTATATGCTGAATGTTAAGTAATAATTAACTTTATTTTAATTTTAAATGAGAGAATTTAAAATCAAAACAAGTTTTTAACGGTGAATACAAATTTTAACATCTGTTTTAGGTGCTTTCTTATCAAAATTTTTCCTTTCTATGTAAATTTGTATTATGCCCTGCAGGGTATTATAATTTCAGTCAGAAGCTTAAAAAACAGTAAAGGAGTCATTTCCGAACCTATAAATCAAATATTCTTGATTAGTATCAACAGGCGAATCGATTTAGGTATGTCTGGTGGGAAAACAATTTTTTTAATTTTTTGAAAATTTTATAAGGGGTTACATCGTTAAATTTTACAAAAAGTGGCCTCATTTTTTTAACTTTTTTTTTAATTTTAAATTTACTATAGAGATTTATAAACCTTATAAAAACTAGTTCAGAACAGCTTTCTAAATTTAAATTAATGCATTTTTGGCTTAGTTATGATTTTTTGAAAATTTTATTTCCCTATAAAATATCGAGATTTTTATATGAAAATTTTTTCGGCAAATAAAAATTTGAAAATCTCGTAGCTAAGCCAAAAATGCATTAATTTAACTTTCGAAAACTAGTCTGTGTTAGTTTTTAATATGGTAATAATTCTGCATACTACATTTACAAAATAAAATTTTTGTCAAATTTTGAAAATTTTAACGATGTTTTTTAAAAAAATGTAAATTTTCGAAAAATTTTTATTTCTGACGGAGCTTAGCTAGGAAGATTCGCCTGTTGATGCTGATCAAGAATATATATGGTTTAAAAAGTCGGAAATAACTCCTTCACAGCGTTTTAAGCTTCTGAATAAAATCATAATAACATGCAAAGGTATTAGTATATAGCCAAAATACTATTTATAATTAAATGAGGCTGTTAATATAAAATGCTGTATCACTTGAAATGCAAATTTAGTAATGGGGATCATGGCAATAAATACATAGGACAACTAATTTTTACCTTAAGATAATATCATAATATAATTGTCATTGTTAAGACTTACCCCAGTAGGTGGAACACGGTGACTTCAATTAGGCATGGTCATCTTCTTCCTGTTTATCCAGATCCATTCCATTGATTTGTTGACAATATTTGAGTCGAAGTGCACTATCACTATAAGAAAAGATATTATCACTGATAAGGCCACGTATATATTGAGCAATCTTCTTGCAGGTCATCCAGATGCATTACATCCGGTTAGTCGACATTATTTGGGTCCAAGTGCACTATCACTACCGCTTCCACTATCACTGGAGATGTTATCACTAGTAAGGCCACGTATATACTGAGTCGGCGCGCCTTCAACGCCCGTATTTATACTTTCCCAGCAGAGAGTAGATCAGAGAGTTTAAGAGCGAGAGCGCGAGAGTAAAAGAGATGCCTCTTGAGTGTAGCAGAGTGAGGCAGTGTGAGGCAGAGGGAGACAGCGAGAGTAAGGGATCCCAGAGAGACAGAGAGCGGCATACATTTAACGATTGTTCCTATGGGAGATACATATATGATATAGTCGACCGATTTTGATAAAATTAATACATTAATTATGAAATAATACCAAATGGCTTTATCTTTAATTAAAATATGATGCAAATATGCAGAAAATTGCAAGTTATAATTTGTTTTTATAAAATATATCGATCGTTCCTATGGCAGCTATATGATATAGTTTTTCGATCCGGCTCGTTCTGATATATAAAGTAGTGAGAGTATATAGAAGTCTTACTGAAGAGTTTAATTCAGATAGTTTTTAAACTGAGAGCATAGTTTACGTTGAAATGGACAAACGGATTTGGAATATAATAATATATAATTTATAGGGTCGGAAGTGACTCCTTTACATAGTTACAACCTTTTTAATAAAATTATAATACTCAGCAAGGGTATAGAAAGGGGTTGTAAGGGTAGGCTTCTTTCAATTTAATTTAAATTAATTCATAAATAAAATATAAAGAATAAAATGGAAAAATTAGATGATCGAAAGGTGAATGATTGTCAAATGAGGGCACCCAAATCTACCTCTTATAAATAATAAATAAATAAATAAAATTTTAAATCACTTTAAGAAAATGTATAAAATAAAGTAAATAAATCTCTTGCAGCTCACTCTTGGAGTAACAGATTAAATGTTTTCCTTTCTGCTTGTCCAACGACACCCAACACCCTTTTGTATCCGCCTGATTTAACGCCACTTAACGCTGCGACTCATCCATCAGCGTGGTGCGTGTGCCGCTCCTTATAGCCACTGGTGGGTGGTGACACCCACTGCCAGTGGGAGTGCCATGTGTGGGTGGGTGGGTGCTGAAGCGACCAGGACACCACACTTTAAACCCTAAACCCCAAACCAGAACCCGAGATGGAACCCCAAGTGCACTGCATGCGATTGCATGGGGCATGGTAATCGAATTATGTGGCACTTTGCAATTTTAAAAGGGAGAGGCGAATGTTGGGGATGGATGATGGTCATAGGGACATAGGGATGGGGGGGGGACACACATGCTGTGGCACTGCCACAATGGAAATGGGTCGTGGGGTGGAGGCGCCTCCTTTTCTCTGGTGTGTGAGAAAGGGTGGTGGTATGTGCAATCAGTTTCCAACCGTTCAGTTATTTTCACTTCAAGGGTGTTCCAAAAAACATTGAAAAATGGTTGAAAATCGAAATGTAAATATCATATGATTTTACTAAATTATTTTTCGATCGCTTTTATAGAAGCTATATATAATAATATATACCTATATTAATCAATGGTAAATTCTCTAGAGTGCTGAGTTATATTCATTATTTTTTCTACAATTCAATAAGAAATTAAGAATTCTTTAAATCAAAATTTATAGGTATTTTAATATAAATTTTACAGTTTGAAAAGGCCATAAATTTGTCAAAACACCATGGAATTAATTTTGGAAAGCTGTTTTGTGCTAGTTTTTATAAGGTTAATAAATCTGCATACCTAATTTCAAAATTGAACGAATTTAAATTTTTACACATTTTTTGAAAATTTTAACGATGTAACTCCTTTAAAAATTGTAAAAAATTTAAAAATTGTATGTTCTCAATATTTTATCCTTAATTAATTCGAATGTTAATGCCGATTCGGAGTATATTTGATTTTTGACAATCACTGGCTTTTTGGGTATTTTATTACCTCAAGAAGACCTACAAAAAGTCCTTTTTTGAATCTATATTAATGGATAATTTTTAATAATAATAATAAATGATCAAATAAAAGTTTAAAAAACTCATAACTAAGTCTCATAGGCATTTATTTCAATCATTTTCTTTCTTAGTTTTCATTAAAAGTATAAATCTTCATAATGAATTTAAAAACTTAAGAAATTTTTGTCTATTAATTTTCCTATCGTTCCTTTGACTTATTAATATATACTTAAACCTACAATAAAAATAATTGTACAAATTCTACAATTCTTCAAATATATATTTCCTATGGAAACCTGTTGCCCAACCTATTGACGTTTCAAAGGACTCCCACCAGATATTGAGAACAACCCGCAGGACTCACACTCAATATACCTTCAATGTCCAGCAGTCAATCCTGCAATTGCATTATGACTGCCAACACAATTAGGGCGTTCGAGCCAATGGCCAAAACCTCATACCGGCTCTCGTCCTGGTTCGTCCTGTTTCTGCTCGACAGACTCTGTTTCAGCATGTCGCTTCATGTCCATTGTAGTGGGCATAAATTATAAATATTTGCGACTGATGTGGACTAAAAAAGGAGGAGGAGGAACAACAGCAGCAGGAAAAGGTGGAGCAGACGAAATCAGGGTTGAAGGGGCGTATGTGGGTCCTGCCAGACGTTGACGTTCAAATTGATCAATTTTGCATTCTAGCACAACAAAAGCAGCCGGGGGGGCGTGATGGTGACCCCATTAACATGCCCAAGCCCCAAAAAGCTTACGATGCACTTTGGCCAAGGATTTCCTTTGCCTTTCTCTTCGGTTTTCGTTGCTCTTTCTCCTGCTTCATCGTCGTCTCTGTCTTGGTCTTCGTCTTCGTCTTCGTCTCCTTATCCCCCCAGTCTTTGTGTTTCTGTTTCTACCGGAAGTAAAGAAGGTGGAGCCAAAGTTTGAGGAGGCAGGAGCTAAGGCATAAGCAATAACTGTGTAGTAAACAATAGTCCATTCCGTTGATTGTATGTGTGTCGAGGTACAGTAGTCCTTGAGATAAAATAATATTGAAAAATCTTATTTTAAAATAAAGGATAGATCCAGAAATCTTCTCTTAAAAGATGTAGATTGGATGAGAATATAGAAACTAACCCTATTTGTGCTTAGAAATATAATGTTTATCCAGTATGATTCTATGACAACCACATCCCAATTGCTTAAGTTTTAGGTTGAAATCTTCCGTAAACTAAGGTTATATTTAATTTTGATCAAGAAAAGTGTTTTCTGGAACCACTGTGAACATGTTTAAATAAAAATAAGGTGGTTTAGACCCTTGAAATTACTTAGTATAAGTGTCAGAGAAAGGGTTAAGGGTAATTAATTCTTACAATGTATGGTGTTTTCGTATAATATTTTATAAATATTTATGAAATAATAAGAAGAGCTAAAACTAAATTTTTTAAATCAACACTTAACTCTTGCCTTGTAAATAATTAAATGATTTAAAAGTACAGTCAAAAAGAGATCAAAACAATAAGTAGAAAGTCACTAACAATGATTGGAATTAAGTTGCAAATATTATTGTTACAAATTATATTATAATATTTTATTATACATATTATATATTATAATTTTTTATATTTACATTATAATATTAAACATGTACATATGTATAAAAAATATAATATAAGAATATAACAAGTATTATAATATTATAAGAGGGTGGGTTCCTTTATGACATTTTTTGATATTCTATATAATATTAT